GTAAGCCTCTAATAAGTAATAAGAAATCTAAAATTATATTAGCTTTAATAAATATTAAAGCTAAAGAACTTACTAATATATAAAATTTAGAATTCTTATTATAATATTTATAATTCTTCTTATTAGGTACTATAATATATAAGATAAAGAAATTAATAAGTAAATACTTGAAATATTTCAAGTATTTACTAATAATAGGAAAAGAGGCTATAAGATTACCTTTATATTTATTATTATATAAGTAAATAATAAAGCCAGAAAAAGATATTATAGAATTAATTAAAAATAATTAAAGAAGGCTTAGAGAAAAGCAGAAAAAGAGGCTAAAAGATAATAATAGAAAAAGTTATTATATATATAATTATTAGAAAGAAAGAGAATATATAGTAATATAAAAAGATTCTTTTATAAAGATAAAGAACTACCTGGATTAATTATTAGTTTTCGTACTAGTCCTAATTAGAAACTAGTATAACTAATTAATATATATTTCTAGAAGCCCGTAAATAATCTCTAGAATCTCAGAAATATTTATATAAGTTTCTTATATAAATATTTATTAAATTCTTTCTATATAGCTATTTAGATTATTCTAATACAAGATCTAATAAATAGTATTAATTTCATAGAATAGTGCCTTAGTATTTTAGATCGAGCTAATTAGAATACTTAGATCCTAACCAAAATCGCAATTACCGGCTAGCCCCTATATCTGGGGTATAATTACCCTTCTTTCTTACTTACTTAGCTCTAATCTAATTAGACGATTTTTATATCTATTATCCAGATTATATTAGTAAAACTATCTCTCAAGATACTGGAAGTTTACCTCAATTAAATAATTAATTAATTAAATATTTACCAGGATAGATTAATAGATCTTGGGAATAAGATCCTAGGAAGAAGGTATAATTATAATATATATAGGATTATATATAACTTAAGAGTATATAATAAACCTCGGATATTACAGGTATTAATTAGGGAGATTAGAGGCCCTTTGACTTTATAACTAATTACTATTTATATTATAAGTATTAGGCTTATAAATCACTAATTATATATATGTTATCGGGGCCTCTTATTTAGAGGGGGCTTTTCTGGACCTTATAGGAGGAATAGAGATTAGTTCTGTACTGAATTTAATACTATGGTTTCACAACTCACTAATTCATTCTATTGTCTTATTACCTACTAATAAACACCTCACACTTTACTTATCTTTATAAATAAGTACTATAGTAGGGGCTTTGACTTCTCTAGTTACGGGAGTACGGTTATGTAATATCCAGAGCAAATAATTCACATATATATTACCTTGCTCTCTTTCTCTCTTCTTTGGAAATTAATTAACCTTTATACTCTTTATGCTTTAGTCGTATATTATTTAAAGAAAAAGAAGAGAATTTATTATTTATATAACTTTTATATAGATTTCACGTGATAATTAGAAATAATTAACTATATTTAATTATAATTTTTCTAATAATTAATTTTTTTTTGAAAGTTAATAATCAAATTATAATTAATTATTTACTTGATTTAATTAAATATAATTAATTACCTTAATTATTTTTTGACACACTGGCAAGCAATATCTAGATAATGATTTATATGAATATATGCCTATGTCCTCAGGATGACGATCAAGCAGACACTCGTAGGATAATCCAATCCACAGCTTTCTGTTCAATCATTAGAGGATATATGACCATCAAAGCTCACGACCATATCCGAGTATAGTATAGTTTCGGAAGCATCCATATTTGCCCCAGACTTATCGTTCACGCCCTGACTAAAGATAACAAGATCGGGAAACCAAAGACCTCCACTTGAGACGTCGAGTAGGTAGTCAAATTTGGTGGATTCGTCGCCGTTAGTGCTGGTTGTGACTTCTGTTATTTTATTTCGTCAGCTAAGTTCCTGTGACTAGATGTGGAAAATACCTGTGCCGAAGCGGTAGTCCTTCAAGTGGTTTTGTATTTTATCAGGTTTTTGAACATATTCACACCCATTCGCACAAGCTTCCTTGCCGAATTTGTGTTGAAATCGGTGATGACGATCTAGATCGTATTTCCTCCCATAGCTGATAGGGCAATCCATAAAGAACAAGGGAACTAGCGATAGTACACGGCTTGGTGCTCTTTTAATTGGCAAAGGTCATGGAAATAATGAGAACACCTTTTGGATCTGTAAACATATGCCTCTAATGGTGGATCTATGATAATAAGCGAAGAATAGAGAGTTTGTCTCTTAGCAACGGCACAAACAGTGGACGCCGAAGTCGATAGTTGGCCTGAACAGAAGACTCTTTAATGTGCTTCTCACTAACAGGCCATTAAAACTCCTGAGCTTAATATTCTCGTACACATATTTGTACTACAAGGCTAATCATGAACTCCTCCTTGTTCAGATCCTATCGGGTCTGCTCAATTTGATAGTAAGCAAGAGGACAAGCTGTGCTCTACAACTATCTAATATGAAGTGTCAGCAACGAATAGCTGAAGACGTAGAATCGATCCATTGGATACAAAGGCTGTAATGGTGAACCGAGAGCAGTAGGTCAACGCTGCACGCATTCGATGTGACGATTGTGTTCCTCTGTAATATTTGACTTGCCACCCTCTCCTTGCTTCGACGTAATGCTATTTGTAGCGACCGAGGAAAGCCACTCCCCACGTTCGTCTACAGAGAGCGTCGCCATTGAAGCAAGGGAATTGAACAAACTTCTAATGATTAAGGATGAGCAGAAGTAAATATGCTCAAGATACAATTGTGTTCATTGTCGGGGGAGTCATTGTAATCGAGATCAGCCTAGGTTTTGTCCTATCCGGTTCTCGTTATATATATTCATATGCCGCTATCCGATCACTTGCGCATCATATATGTGCAGTGATTTTAGATAAAAACACGCCGAATGGTTGGTGTCAAGAGAGGCTGGCTTCAGGAGCAGTGTTGACGCTCTTTCGGCAAATGGCTATCCGTGTCTTGGGGATTTAACGCGGAAAATGTTAGTCTTGTTTTTGATAATCGCCTGCGTGATAAAAAGGTAGAAATCGGGAGACAGTATATTTTTAGATGCTGAGAAAAACACTAGATTTTAAAGGGAAAGGTAAAAGCACATACCATGCTTTTGCACCTGGTGTGAGATTTGCATATCTCCAGTTGGCTTTGGTATTTGTCTTCGCGTAAGGAGCCCCATTGGGGTCAAAGGGAACCACGATGGCTTGTGTGACAAGCCCATTTTCAGCTTGCTGTTGGAGAGCGGGGAACTCTTGCAACGGCCAGATACCAACTGCGGGTTTGATTAGCTTTAACTTAGCCCGCGGAGGAGTACGAAGATTGCACTCAAAGAGAGGCTGTACTATCTGGAGATTATTTGATTATCTGTCATAGCGTAGAAGTTCCTGAACACGAAAGAGCCATGACCCGGCTCATATAGGAAAAGAAGGTATTTATGGGACCTTGAAAGGGCTCCTTGTTGTTAAACACATTTCCGGCCGCTTTCCAGGCTATATCTGCATTGTATATTGGCTTCAACTAGTTCCAAGCGTTTCGTTGGGAAGGGCATTATTGAACATTACCTAGTAGTTTCCTTGATCAGACTCGGCCCACCACAGTCGGAACGTCATACCCTGTTGTAGAAATAGGAATTCAGGAGCTTGGGGGTCCGAAACTTCGAGTGCTACTGCTGGCCCAAACCGGAGCTGCTTCGGAGAGTCCATTGATACCATACCCGGCGATGGCCTCTGAGCGTAGAAAACAGACATCTCTTTTAATTGTGACGTTGGAACGATTCTGGTCCTCAAGAAGAAGTTCATGGTAAACTTGTCGATGGTCCAGCCATCCATGGAGGCATCTCCGGCACAGCCAATGCACTGAGGAAAGGGCAATAGAGCTCCTTGGTTTGGATTCCGTTTCCGAATAAGTTCCAATCAACTACACATGCAGCAGGCATAGACCCAGTAACACACGTTAATGGCGGCCCAGCGCGTTTGACATGGCGCTGCCCTGCATCTAGATCAACTACATCCCTAGATAGCATACGAGCCAGCTCGGGGTCGTTCCAGGAGAACTCTTTGTCAAGATTTTGATATAGAAGGCTTGAAACTTTCCTGGCAGTAACATGATCCAACCTGTTTATAGTAAACTCAAAGCTCTTATCTCTTTTAATAATATACGACTTATTTAGTTATATAGTATTGAATCTAGATTTAGAAGCACAAATAATTAGCATACCTAGATGCGAACTATTACTCGAGGCTTCGGATATAGGAGGGCCTTGTTATAATATATATAGTTTATACTCCTTTCCGTAATATATTAAGATTATTATATAATACTCAAGTATATAGGAAGAAGCTTTAGCCTCGACTTTTATACCGAGTATATTCTTTTCGAAAAGAAAAATAATAAAAAAGAAGTTAGCTATCGAGGCCTTTATTACATAATCCTAGTTTATAAATTGGAATAGTAGGATATTTGACTTACTTCTTTTGTTTTCTTTTGTTTTCAGGGACATGATTTCATGTTTTTTTGGTTTTTTCTTCAAAGTCTGTGTTTGTATCTTTGCGGGCAAGCAGCTAGGGGCATCTGCAGCTACCGTCTAGCGCTGCTTCGCTATTGCATTTTTCCAGGCAAGACAGAAACCGTCTAGTCTTGCAATTAATGAGAGCTGGTCACGAGACAAGGAAGTCAGTCTCGGCTGCTCTAGATTGAGAGTTTTTCTGGGAGAGGACGTTAGCGATAGAGCTAGGATAAGTTTATTTTAGGAAATTGCTTAGGGCCTCGACAATAGCGCCAGCTTTTGTTCGGAAAATAACCTTACAGTGAATTATATACTGCTTGGGAATGCAAGTCTCTTGAGCCCCCCGAATTGATTAAGCGAAAAGGTGGTACTTTAAGCGAGACAAGGCCTTGTTCTAGGGGCGTAGACGCTAAAATTTAGTGATGTAACTACCCTGACTCGGGTGTTTATTTACTTCAACTGCCTTGGCGAGATCGCGTCTCCCAAACGCGACTCGACCTGAAAATCTCAACACTTGCACCCATTATCAGAAATCAACGATACAATCATGGCTTCGCCACACCGCCCACCTCTTGGTGTGATTACTAGCAATTCGATCATCGCTCCGCCCGCAGCCTCTACCCTCTCCAAACCTGCATCCAACAAGCGCAAAGCCCCCACCGAGAAGCCGAAATACGACATCGACGATGACATCTGCCAAAGCGTCACCATCTCCTGCACCGCAGTCCGGAACAAGATCAAACAGTTTGTCGATAGCGGAGAGATGAAAGTCGGAGAGTTCCAGAAGGCGATTGGAGCGAGTAGCAGCACATACAGTTCGTTCATGAAGAAGACGGGCACGATGGATGGTGCAGGCTCAAGCGTCTACCGCAACGCATTTGCCTTCTTCAAACTGCGGGAACTTAATGGGGAGAATCGGAAGAAGAAGGTTAAGGCTGGAGGGGATGGGGAGAGTAAGAAGAAAGAGGCAGAAGGGGAAGATTTCAAGGGCTTGATATTGGAAGGCGAGGAAGAGGGCGAGGTCCCTGTTTTCGATAGCTGTGAGGAGGTGAGGAGGAAGATCAATCAGTATCTCTCGAAGAGCGGGATGAGTAAAGCTGCTTTTGGGCGGGAGATTGGCAAGTTATTTGGGGGAGAGGAGGAGAAGAAGATTAGTGGGGGGTCGGTGACGCAGTTTTTGGCAAAGAGAGGCCCGATGGCGGGGAACACGACCGGTGTTTATTATGGTGCTTATGTCTTCTTTGAGAAGATTAGGGTGAGGGATGGGAAGCCGATGACGGAGCATAGAGAGGTTATGGAGGATGTCTGGGATGGGTGTGATCTGAGGTTCTGGAGAAAGGAGGGAGTTGATCGGAGCAAGGTCATTGATCGGATAGAGTACATTACTCTTGTTGGTGGACCGGATGTATATCAAGATGAGTACGGTAAACCTGTTATGGGTTGGTAGATTCGGTTCATTGGGGTGTTGGAGACTTTTTCTTGCTTCTGGTGCTGGGCTAGCTTCTGAACGGCTGAGACAGATTGTACGATATTGTAATATCTCACTTCCCTTTGCATTGTTTGATCATTGTTTCTTGCGTTTCGACGAGATGTGCGATCATTCCGCTTCCTGCCTCTGTCCTTTCAAATATATGACCTTGCAAGTGCTGCCGTCTCCAGGACACGAAGCAAGACGCGTTCCCGGAAATGAGGAGAGGCTGAATGAAAATGGGACTGGGGAAAGGGAGTATCAAGTGCCTGACGAGCAGAACCTAAGAGGCAATGTTGCGAACAATGGGATCCCTCTCGGGTAGCTCCAGGGGCGTCAGAAATTACTTCCTCGGTAGTCACAAGCAGAAAAAGCAGCTTTTTTCGGCATTCGGTGAGTTTCGTGAAACGTAGGTCATCCTGGATAAGAATACGGACACAACACTGACTGCAAAGTGTGCCAGAGTACGTACATAAACATATGCGATTCATTGGCAATACTTCAGTGGCGCCAATATACAAAATTCGTGGTTAGTGGCTCAATTGGGTAGCAGCGACGAGTCTGATGCAGGCTCAACGATGCACCCTGATCCTCGTAACGCCAGTCCGAGAAATCTGTATGCCGAATTGCCGATTGAGACAAACGAGCCGCAGCCGCTTCCAAAGCAACAGTATGTCGTGCTTGGAATCTTGGGGACCAAGAAAGGCTTCTCGAAGAAGTGATGGTCTATATAGATGGACCAGCAAAGTCAACGCACTTGTATAGTGGAACACGACATCTTTTCAGGGTCCCCATTTTGAGGGAAATGACGAGCTTTTGGTTGCATAAGGTAGTTCATTACGCATAAAGCTCGTGGCCACAGGTTGCTGATCTCGGTAGTGCGACATAAAAGACGGGTACACGTTCGAGTTGATAATAGCTCTGAGGATAAAGCCAGCCTCAATTCCTTATTTACTAACATAATGAAAATGGCCAAACTACCACTATTTGAGACATATGTTGGAGCTCGGCAGAACAACGGCACGGGTGCTAAATTTCAAGCTACCAAGACTTTTTCCAGCCCCATCACATCTGAGGTTCTTCGTCGCCGAACTGTATTTCGCGTATTATAACTGGCTTGGCTTAGTCAAAAGGCCTGATGCAAATGAGGAAACGGCGTGGTGTGAATGGTTGCAGCAGAACCTCAATGGTGTCATTAGGAAACCACCGGATCTCTATGGGAACCACGACGCTCCGTCAGATCCTCCACCAGCTCCATCTGCAGGGCAGTACTCGATCGAGGTCATTGTGGGTTGGTCCCGACGCAGAATCCTGGTAATTGTGGCTATATCCTTCATCCTGTTTCTCACCTGCACTACGGCGTTTGTAATCCCTTGCTCATTCCATCTCGGAGCCCATCACAGCAATGTAGGAGCGTGATTTAGCATTGTTTCGTATTTTGCTGGACTGGCAGGAGGTGAGTTCTCTGTCCGATGCTTGATCCCCATGCTAACAGTTGTGCTTTCCAGCTTCTGTTGCTCTCGTTGGCTTCTTTGGTGGCAGTCTGGCGTAGAAGTGAGAGGTGTTATTTTCGAAATGTGTTTGTACTGGCTATTTTTTCTGGCGTCATGACTAGCTTTTCGTTGCTTTTAGTGCTGGGATAGCCTCTGAACATTGATGTGAGCACAAGCATCAACCATAAGAGAATATAAAACATTGCAAGCAAACTCACCTCCTACAAGTCCAGCAAAGTATGCAGCAGTACTAAACACCTCAGAACGAGACCATTGCCGAGTAGATGGTGGCGGTAGCGGCCGCAGAACTAATGTCTAACCAGTTGGATATCAAGTCGCTTCATTACAATGATCCATCTCTGTCTAGAACAATTTCAGAGTGCATTCCGTCCAACGATCTTTATGCCACTCTTTCGTGTCGTAGTCCTCTTCCTTGCAATTAAACCGAAGTCGGTGGATAGGATGCCGATATGCCGGTGAAATATCCAACTTCCGCGCTGCAGGGATTTTGCAGAGATTATAGCATGCCAGCTTCACAAGTCCGATCCGTTTGAAGCTGTCAGGATCCTGCATTTTCTCGAGAAGGAGCGCATAGACAAGTCGACGACCCCGAATTTCCTTGCTGATCTGGAACATAAGCAGTTCCTTCCATACATGATCAAGCTGATCTGGTTGGCTAAGATAGGCATAGATTTGCTCAGGCATAGCCTGATCGAGAAGAATATTTTTGATGAAGGGGCCATCTGGGCCATCGGCTTCTGGAGATAGTTTGACCGTCGAAATCCACAGTTTTCGGCAGTGTCCAGAAACTTCAATGAAAGACCCTTCCAAGGTATCGATGTACGGATTATCACTATTGTGGAGGAGGTGAGTGTTGACGAGGCAAGGCCCATAATAATTCTCCCAGTGATCAATCTCATATCGGGCTTCTTCCAAAACGGCTTGCTTGAAAACGTACTGGTTAAACAGGTACGAGTCGACTTCAAGAGGTCCATTCACAGCTGCCCAGCTCCAGCTCGGGGCTCGGTACTTCAAAGGAGGATCGTATTCCCTTGCAGTTAGAGTTCTTGCGGCCTTCTGGGCGATTATTGACCGCCGCGCAGGGGCAAGTCTGTTCCATGCCAAGCCGCGGAACAGATCGTGCTCCCAAAGACCGGCCATATATTGGCCGAGTTCTGGTCTGCTGAATGCACCTGCCAAGCCTGCTATCGCAGCGAGCTTGTCAGAAGCTCGTGTCAGGCGGCGGTTAGAAAATTCAGAAACACAGCCGCACCAAGCCTGCGCAGCTCTTTCGATGTCGCGTGTTGGATTGACGGCAGCGGGTTCTGTTTGATGAATACATCGCCCGATCTTGTGGCTCCAACTGTCCCACCAGACTATATCGCTCCGAAGATCCCGAATATATCCTTCCGCCCATCGAGCGTTCCTGCAATGCCACACCACCTGGCTCTGGGTAAAATGAATGACTCGTGGTGACAGTAAACGTTCCTGCAGTGTCCAGGCACGCTTGCCAATGCACGAGTTGTGGTCGAGATCATCATCTCCTGGTAGAGGCTGTCGAAGGACATAGAGTTCGCCGTCTTCACCAGGAATTGGAGGCGAGTAATGATGGCGACGGGAGCCCAAGAATCCAACATGACAGTTTATAGCATCGGCGATGGCGAGTGTCACAGTTGCACTCTCGTAGTATCCTGCCATCCGGCCTGCTTCATGCCTCCAGTCCTGCAAGTCTTGCTGTATTATACAGAGACTGTCAATCCAAAGGTACTCGTACCCAAGGCGCCGTGTGAAAGATATGGCGTCGCGGAAATTCAGGGGTAATTGGGATAGTTCAAGACCCAAGGTCTTCCGCTCGGTAATATTTTGTGTGGTCGTCGAGAACGTATCCTCAGTTGAGCCCCAACAATGGCTGAGTGCAACATAGGACCCCACTAAGCGCTCACTTTCGACGATCTTGGGATTCTCCGTCCGAACGTCGATGACTCGTGTGGGCAGCGGTCGTGACTTCTGTTCTTTACAAGGGGAATGACGGCGACAACACAGAAGCCAATCCTTCACCACTCCGACAGTTGCTTCCGAGAGCGGATCAGAGTTTACTATCCGAGGTAGATAGCTAGTTACAAGCATCCCGGTATGAGGCTCGGGGTGTTTTCCGTTGAAGACACCCAATCCGTCACCTGTGGGTTCTTTCTTGAGTTTGCAAATGTCGTACACTACTAGAGATGGCTGGCCCTTGCCAAGCGAGAGCCCCACTCGTGTTGGTCGGGAATAATCAGACCATTTAGCATTATTGATTGTGCGCAATGAAACTATCATATCGACCTTGTTTTGGACACAAGCCTCCGAGATTTTCAAACTCATGTGGCTTGTCAAGAAGCGACAAAGGTCACAAGGGCTCCTCCGTTTGGCAGCTTTGACCATGTCACTGACTCTGCGAGTATAGATAATTTCATGGACTTCATAGAGTGTTGAACTTCTCCGAGGGATTCGGAATGAAGCGCAGTATTTGCAAAGAGTTGTCGATGTGCCAGACTTGGTGGCCGTTGTCCGGCACCGGGTGGACCGCCGAAGAGGAACGTCGACTCCTGGGTCGTCTTCATGATGACGCTTCATGTCTTGAGGCTTGCGCTGTATGTGGAAGAGATAGAATGATGAAGGTGGTCGGACGTGCAAGTGTGAAAAGGATACGAATTGTCTGTCAAAATTGACTTGCAGCCTCGCGAAGCTGCGGCTGCCTATTTAGATGTGCACGTGGTCAAGCCTCGCTTCCATAATTGGCAGGGTGCAGCTGAAGCTGGCGACGTACAGAACCCAAGAACAGAAGGTGAAAGTGCTCTGACCTTCGAGTACTTCCTCATATTGTTCCACGCACAAAGATCAGGAACAAGAGTCTAGGATGTGCGTCAGGAGGCGGGAAGTGGAAGAATAGACTGCACTTGCAGTATTTGTCTCAGAGAAATTTTAGGTTTCTGGAGAGCGGACACATTCAAACAATCCAATATTCTCATCTCAAAATTACAATAATCTAACCAAGGTGCAAGCACTTAAACCCAACCAGCGCTTCACCCCCCAAACTCCATGCACATAAGCAGAGAGCACCTCACTCATTAAAAGGCCCAAACAGAGACTCTATAGATCCTCTATGCTGCACTAGCAAGGATCATCTCTGCCCTTCCCACACCTTTCAGACAAGGGGGGAAAGTTACGCCATCCGATCAACAAGCTCATACCTCTCCTTCGCACTAATCCGCCTCCAAAGCCCTCTCTTCCCTTTACCCCCAATGCCACGCATAACCCACATACTCCACAGACTCCAAAGACACAAACCGACCACACCCGCTATCGCAAATCCAGCAACAGTAAGCAACACCCAGTGCTTCCCCATCCAGAAAATTGTCTGCGCGTCCTTGCCATGCCAACTGCTGCCGCGAGAGATGTTGAAGAAGCTCCACTTGAACCCTTTGTACTCGTCCGGCATCAAAATGCGTACATGTTCCTCAGCTGGTCGCGGGACATCCATGTATTCTTTCCAGATGACCGAGAGGAAGAGCGGGCCCGTAGAGTACATGACCGTGATGTACGGCATGACCCAATGTCTGTTGTACCCGGACAGCGATTCAATAACGCGGAGAAAGAACGGATGTTGAGGCACCGAGCCCATGGCGTCGTTACTTATGCCTGTTGGAACGGTACGCCGTACCCATGCTGGGTACGAGAGCAGAGGGTCGAGGCGCCTGTTGCAGCCATCGTCGAGATCGATGTATATGCCGCCGTAGAAGGCGAGCACGAAGTACCGGATGGCGTCGGCGCGTTGGATGGGGAAGCGGTAGCTGTCGAAGGTGGAGAGGAACCAGGGGTACTCTGCGCTGATGAACTCGCGGGAGAGGTCGTCGGTCCAGAGCTATTTCTTGTCAGCGCAATTCTTATTTTTCAATACAAGACCCAATCCTGGACTTGGATGGGAACGGAAATGTACCTTGTACTCGTAATCATCATGCAAGTCTATACAACTCTGCTGCCCAGCCTTCCATTGTGCGGGAATACTCTCGTTTATGTAGGTCTGATGTATGATCTTTGGGATCAACTGTGTTCGATTATCGATAAGCTCTGAACCCGGGGCGGGGATTTCCGCGCGGTGGATGGCATCGCTGGAGCCGTCTTCGAAGAGGAGGCCGATGAGGGTGGAGAAGGCGTTGAGGAGGAAGCCGATCACGAGGAGGTTGATGACGAGGAAGATGATGGTGCCGCGGCGCATCTTGGAGATTTTCCCAGCAGCGAGGGTGAGGGGAGATAGTATACAAGAGGGGGGATGTCGTAGGTTAGGTCTGCATCGAGGTCGAGGATGTATATACAAATGTCGAAGGGATGCGCGTCGGCCAAGCTGCCAAGGAAGCCCAATGCTCACTGCCACAAATTTCACAGCCGTTAAAATGTGCAAAGGAGCGTCGTCGGGTCAATCGCAAGCCGCACGTTGGAAAGAAGAAAAGGATCGTAGAGAGGAGAAGAAGGAATTTAGGAGGTTGGAGAAGAGGTGAGGTGAGGCGAGGTGAGGTTGAAATGAAGAGGCAAGGGCACGCGCGAGAATAAATTCTCTTATCGGTCAAGGCGGGCCTCCGTTTTTCATGTCAAATCTCCAGGGGTTTCAATTCGGCTCCGAGTTCTTGACACGCCGGGGCCGCGATCGAGTCCGTCTCCGCTTTCTTGCTGCGCCAGCGAGTAAATCCATTTACTATGTAAGCACGCACTCCATACCGCATCCAGAATGGGACGGAAGTTGTCAACCGGTTAGCAGGGCATCTCACTGGCCCATCATCGTCGCAAACCGAGCGCCGAGGGAGCCGTCTCTGCTTGACGTGATTCTGAGGCGTGGGCGTCAGACGAGGGAGAGGCCATTGGAGTGTGCAAAAGCAGACGCGTGGCCAAGCCTCAGGACTTGAGGGTCTGATTGTCGTGTTTATGCTTGTTTGACTTTCTGCAGTAGTATGTCGTACGTAGCACCGGATGGAGGGGCAGCAATGCGGGACGATCCCACCTTTTTGGAGCCAGTGGAGGGGTTCCAGTGACATTCCCAGTTGAGTGTAATCAGATGGACCGATTGATTCCGAGTATCTGGCTCTGGTGCGAAGCTTTGAGGCTTTCAGGTTTATGCATGATTCGTCTGCTGAGCTGATGCCCGGCAAGTTCGGATGAGCACAAAGCTTCAAGGCCCTCCCTTGTCATTCATTGCATCCCCTTCTGCAGGAGCCTGGAACAAACTTTGAGCTTTCCACAGCCTGAAAAGTGGGCTTCGCATTGGAAGGCGGAATAGCGAATGCGAGGTTGTCCGACGCTTAGTGGCGGTGATGATGAGAGTGAGCTTATTATCCTAGTATGAGTTGGCAGATGTGATTCCAAACTCAGCTCTAAGGATACCCACGTGGAAGTCACAGATACTTATAGATTCTTATCTTTCTGGACGCCAGCTTCACAAGTTTTGGAAGGCAAGAGAGAGTCGCTCGCGATGGATGCAGCATCAAAAACGTGAGCCAATTCCTCTACACTGCTCGTTTCAAGCTCATGAACTTCACGAGTTTCACACTTTCATCTTGATATTTTTTGTCTAGCCAGTATCAGCCTATTTACTAAGTCGCTGCTCTATTTAACGGAGAGAATCTTGTTTGAAGTGTAAGAATTTTCTCACACCTATATGCGTTATGTTCTGTTGTAATCCCTACACCTAGAGTCACCACAGCAAGACACAAATTCCTCGCAAGAGATCCTTTTCTAAAAACTCATTTCCTATTGCATTACCAAGCATTTCCGAGCATAATCCTCAATGACGTCTCAATTCTCCTTTGCGTCTCTCTCCTCCGTTCACATTTCCATCAAACACAGATACGTCCGTAGTTTCGGGCGTTTGCCTCCCTGTTCACTAATCACCCCTCCAACATTTCCCCAATCCAGTATCTCCGGCCTCTCAACAACATCCAATCCCCATCCCCCGACAGGCTAAACTCCGAAGCAATGTTCCGAAACGGAAAGGTTGTGGCTGTCTTCGCATACCCTCCTGTACAACTCTGGATTTACATGGCAGACGGATATACAGAATTGCCTCAGGAGCAGCAAGCTCGACGCCGCACAGCGTCAATAATGACCAGGCAACGATTTATAAGCGGGTTGAAGTGAATGGAGATGCAGAGCTATCGCCGGTGTGGATTGGATATATAAGAGGTAGCTCAAGGTGAACTGTGAACTCAATTGCAACAACACAAAACAACACTTTCTTAAGCACATTCCATAACTTGTCTCATCTCATCACCACCTTCACATAAAACCACAAACCCCCAACCCGAACAGACTCACATCATGTCTCGCACAATAGTCGTCACCGGCGCAGCCAGAGGTTTGGGAGTGCGTCCCCATGTCAACACCCTGACTACCCTGCTTCCTCGCTGACACTGTACTCGTAGCTGGAATGGGTGAAACAGCTCACCCAAGACCCCCAAAACCTCGTGATAGCAGTCGTCCGAGACCCGTCCAAAGCAACTCAACTCCAACCACTTCTCGGACCACGTGTCGTCGCAGTAAAAGCTGATCTCGGAGCCTTCGACTCCTTCCCCGTTGTCGCTGAAGAAATCTCTAAAGTCGGAGGAGGCAAAATCGACGTCCTGATTAAGTAAGTTTTCGTTTTGATGAAGAGAATATGGAAAATGCTAACACAAAAACAGCAACGCAGGAATCATGACCGGCGCCGGCGCCTCCTTCGACCAAGGAATCTCGCACTCGACACCCCAGGAATGGGACGAGCAGTTCCGCATCAACGTCACGGCGCAAGTCTTCTTCACGCTCGCCCTCCTCCCCCTCCTATCCAACGGTACCGAGAAGAAGGTCGTCAATCTCGCTTCCATGCTCGGTGATATCAAGTACTCAGAGGAGAATCCGCATCTGAATTTTGCGAGTTATTCCGTGACGAAGGCCGGCATCACGATGGCTAGTCTTAAATTCCACAATGAGTATGCTTTCACCAGCATGAGAAATGAACTGTACTGACGGAAGTAGGTTTAAGGAGAGAGGGTTCACGTTTTTGGCACTGAATCCAGGGTGGGCGAATACTGATCTTGCTGGTGAGGGGATGGGTGCTTATGTGAGTTACTCCGGTGCAAGTTTGAGAAGCAAGAAACGTTCTGATATTTGTTGATAGGCGCCACTGCAGCCTGAAGAATCGATCAGACGATGTCTGAGCTTTGTGAATCGGGCTACAACTGCGGAGAGTGGAAAGTTCTGGAGTCTTGATGGACTGAAGGATGCTGTGACGCAGTGAGGCGTGAATGAAGGAAGCTGCCCACTTGAGCTGGGGAAGGAGAAGAAAATAATTCAAGTACAGCGCTTTGTATCAGTACGGAAGAAACTTAGCAGACACTCGTTGCTATTCAGAATTCATCACCAAAAGCTCATGAAGGAAAATGAGTTGAGATATTTCGATTGAGTCAAGTCATCCCCAACCCACCCGGCATGCTCCCAGGCATCGCATACTCCTCGCCCCTCGCACGTCTCCGCCACCTGAGACCTTCCGCCTCAACCCTCTCACTTTCCACCTTGGCCCTCTGTTCCGCCTCTACCTCTCTCCTCGCCTCCTCCCTCAGATCTCTCTGGACCTCCTTCCCTTTCGCCCTGCCCAAACTCTCCCTCTCGACTCCTACTCCCTCCTCCCCACCCCTAGTATTCTTCTTCCTTGGCCACAAACTAGGTAGCTCGATCTGTTGAAAGCGTGGCTCAACGCAGCGTTCGTCGAACCACATATGCAGTCTCTGCTCTACTAATTGAGCGATCTTAGGAACATCTTGTAATCGGCTTCTGCTTCCTACAAGACTCCGGATCGACAAATCGAGTCGGTAATCATCGAGAAAACTAAAAGCGAGTGTGGTAGCGTTCCCTGCTGTCCCGGGAACGAAAGATATTGACAAAGTCCCCGAAAACCTCACAACAGATACCGCGAGAGCAACGGGTAGAATAGCAACCAGCGGTTTCGGGTAGTTGAGCAAGAGCTTAGTTTCCAGAGCCAGGGTGATGAAATCCGATAAATCAACATCCATCCTCGCCTGCAACCTCCCATGCTCCCTTTCCCCTCCCCCCACTCCCCCTTTCCTTATATCGCCCAACACAAGCCCATCCTCATCCACAGGAATAACTCTACAATTGCTGAAAATCGGGAAATCCTCCCCAAGACTTAGCTCCGTGATTTTAATCTCATCCAGAAAGTCAGGCCTCGAATTAGAATTCAGGGCCTGCGTAAGAGACGTTAGAATAGCGTCATCGTGTTGTGCATCTGAACGGAACTGTGCGATGGTCTGGGCAATCAGCACATTGAACCAATCCAGACTTTCCGGCTGATGTGCATCAACGTTATAATATGTCTTACTCAGTATCGTATTCGTCGTCAAAGGTGGAGGATTTCTTAGCACCGAAGACCTTTTTTTCTGCAACGTGCGAGTTTGAGAAGATGGAGTGGAGGTGGAGCGGAGGGAGAGGAGAGAGCGTTTGTGTGCCAAAGTGCGAGAACGCCGTTCGGTGGCGCGCAGAGAGGCAGTTACGTCTGCGGACGGCGGGTCCCCGAAGATGAAGAATTTTATGAATGCGCCGAGCAGGAGAACGATGGAGAGTTGGCCGAGGAGCAGGCCTTGGGTGAAGGAGAGTCTGAGGGGGTAGAGTGTCAGCCTTGCGTGATTCGAGGCGATTAGGCAGCTTACGAGGATTCGGTCTTGGGGAGTGGAGGTGCGGCATCGGGAGCTGCCATTACAGACGGACTCTTGAGCTTCCCCAGAGGTTCGGGGAAGAATTGGGGCTGTGGTTGAATGGCGAGACCAGCTCGTTCATTGAAGTGTGGTCAGGACATTGAAACAACGCGAGAGAAATTTGGAGGCGCGACTTCGACGTCATTGGTGCAGCCGAGGCAAGGCTGAAGCCCGCTTCACTCCCTCGCATCATTCACAAGAGAACGGATGAGAGTTATTATCATGAGACTGCATCCCCATTCCTCAAACATGAACTGCACTTAAGCCCTCTTTTCTATCATCTCTATATCTCTTTAATTCCGAGATGAACTATATCAAGCCCTCAAATCAACCATGTCCTCTTCGTACACCAAAAACTTCACTTGCTCCGTCCTCGCAACCCCAATCCACACCACCCTCGGCGTAACCCTCAAATCCCAATTTAACAACCTCGCAATTCTCAACTTCACAACCGCGCCCATCCACTTAACGCCCTCTAACACCGTACATGGCGGCATCTCCTCCCTGCTCATCGATTCCGCATGTTTCCTGGCCGTTATCCCGAGTTTGAAAGATGGAGAGTCGGTAGCTACCATTGCGTCGAGTTTTCAGATATTAGATGCTATGCCTGGGGAGGGGAAAGTGTACGAGGTTGAGGGACGGGTGGTGAGAAGGGGGAAGAAGGTCGTGTTTTGTGAGGGGCATGTGAAGTGTGAAGGGAAACTCATTGCCAAAGGGAACTTGACGAAAGTTGTTACGTGGGAGAGGAGCAAATTATGATGGAGAAGCTAAGAAGAACAAGGGATTTGAGAGAGAAGGGGGGAAATGGGAGAAGAACAAGACATGATTTCTAGATACCATTATTCATATTCTGCTGTTCTTGCGTGCCACCATACTCCCTACACTATTTGCGCCCACCCGAATCGATTCTATCAACTCTTCAACCCCTCATGCATATCGCAAACCAAGGAATCCATCCTTCCACCCCACCTTCTAAAAGCGCAAGTCAAGGAATAAAGAACAAAGAAGAAGAAAAAGGTATAATACACAAATGAAGATCTTCTCCGTCCCCGCACGGTCGTTAATTAAACCGTTCTAGATGAAGCTTCTATTCCCAAATCTACGAAAAGGGGGGTGGAAAGTCTATGCACTTGAAGCATCTCGACTGCTCTGCGAACTAGCGCTCATAACTGGTTGCGAGGTCGGTAACTGCATCTTGTTCATCTGTGTCTGTCTGACTTTTGCCCAGGTGTAGACGATTCCGCTGATGAAGCCGATGATAATTGCGGACACAGATCCGAATGTGACGGGTGCGGCGAAGAAGACGAGTCCTGAGACGGCGATGGGGAGTTTGTTGAGGGCGCCGACCATGGAGTAGGTAGTTGAGGAGGTGACTCGGATGCACCAGGCAGAGCAGTAGGATATGAAAATTGTTGCTAGACCAGAGTAGATGAATCCAATAATGAGATTGTTTCGGGATTCGATGGGGAAGTTCAGGGCAATGTTATCGTGGGTCCAGTTTTCGAAGATGAATGAGCAGAGGAGGAGAACGGGGATGGTCAGGAGGTTGTTGTAGAACATTGCTGCAAGAGGTTAGCATCCATTGAGGATTCCGGGGCCTAATAACGTACTGTCCCAATCCTTGAAGTTCATCTTCTTGATAACCTTTCGCATTGACAGAACGTATGCGGCTGTGCAGAAAACGTTCATTCCCATCCACGCATATCCAGCATTCAAAGTTGAGAGAGCCAACGCAGCATCTGAGCCTTTGATCTCTGCTTGGCCGTATAACGCATGCTGGATATCCGCCCACGCAGCAACCACAGAGCTGAGAACCATGAGCCCGAAAGAGAAGAGTGCTGATGCCGTAACGCTCCCTCCGAACCACAGGACTTCTCCATATGCAATGACAATAGTCGTCAAATTCTTGAAAATCGTGTATACCGGGACGGAAAGGAATTGAAGCGCTTTGGTGCTCGTATAGATCATGCCAACGAGGAGGAGAGAGATAGGGAACCCTATTAAATATCAGCCATTGCACGCTTCTGGGATTAGAATTCCTGCTTACATGTCTTTGCCTTTTTCGAGTCAAACGGCGCCAAATTCGTGATCAAGCCCGCTTGTTTGCACAACATAATGGCAACAATACACACAAGAGACTACCTATTGTCAGCCACGTACCCCTCTCTTGGACACAGAACACAAACTTGAATCGCCAAGTAAAAGAAGTTCAGATTCCAGTTCGCGCCTGAGACACAATATTTATTGGTAATCGTCATAGATATCGAAGCCAAACAATACGCCAAAATTGAGATCGGGGGACTATTCGTGATGTTCGAAAGGCCTAGGTGATGGTGGGCGCTGGACCTTGTACTCTTCCTCGCGCCGCCGAGGAAAGGTTCCTGCTGCGTAGGCGACGCCCGCCCATTGAAGTTGCGCATCTCGATCTCGGGCATCTTGATGGCATAGTCTTCACTCTTCTTGTCATCCATCTTGAAGGTTGGGTGTGGTGTCTGCTACAAGGGGCTTTGCCGGACGCGCAAGTGTCACAAAGGGGAAATTGGAGGGAGCGATGGGATCGTCGGCGTAGAAGGATTCGCGAAAAGTGCAGGGCCGTCAGTATCGCTGCATCGGTCGGCGTTTCTCGCACTGTTGAAATGAGCGGTGGTGGATTCGGGGTCCTGGAGAAAAGGTTGATGTTGCTGAACGGAATAAAGTATTTGGCCTCTCCTTACGAAATCTTAGCGGTCGTTAATTTTAGACGGGATGACAGGGGTATGACGCAAGATGTGAATGGGTTTTGGAGGATACGAGTCTCTTCCAACTTTTATTCTCAAGACAAGCAAAATAGTACAAATACGAAGAAGGTAGGAATGAGCTATTTCCTCGAAATGCCGTCTCACAAGAAAGTCGTTCTTTTAATGCAGGCCGTTTGAGGGGAAACGGTCGTCCACATCTGGCTAGAGCCACGCGTGAAACTCCCTGCACCGGCAGATTTGCAGTGGCTTCAACGCGTGTTCCTCGCCAGTGCTCTCCCCTCCTCAAATTAATTCGCATCCCATCCCCGCAACCACAATGGCCAACCTGGATTCACACGTTGCCTCTATACTCGATGCCAACAATTCCGACGACGAAGATGCTCTGATAGCATCCCTCGAAGACTCACCAGCCCTCGACGCCTTCCGCGAACAGAGAATTCAACAATTGCATTCCGAATTCACGCGTGCGAAAGCGCAGAAAAATGAAGGGTTTGGCAATTATACAGAGATCAAGGAGGAGAAAGCCTTGATGGATTTGACGACAACTGTTAAGTATGCAGTCGTGCATTTTGCAAAGGAAGATTTCGCTAGGTGTGGGGTTATGGATGGGCATTTGGAGGTGATACCTCTTCCTCTTTTGACTGGAACGGAAATTGATATCTGGTAGAGTCTGGCACCAAAGCATTTCGATACCAGATTCCTGAAAATGAATGTCGAGAATGCCCCATTTCTGGTTACGAAGCTGAAGATCCAGGTTCTTCCTTGCGTGCTAGCATTCGTCAACGGGGTCAGTGTGGACCGGATTGTGGGGTTTGAGGGTTTGGGATATACACAAGATACGTTTACCACGAAAGATCTGGAGGCGAGGTTATTGCAATGTGGCGTCATACAGAGGGCGAAGGCTACGGTGGATGCTTCGATTAAGTTTGGTGTGAAGAAGGCCAAGAAGGATGACAGTGATGATGGTGATGACTGGGATTGAGAGGAGAGCTGCAGAACTGTTGCCCCTGTGAGCCTCACATCAGCCTAGCATTTGGTTCTATCATGATTATCAAGCCAACTGGGGACCAGTGTCCATGCGGTGGATGGAATCGAAGTCCTGAGTCAGCAGCGCATAGCAAGGGCCCGCTATGGCTTGTAGGTTTGGAGACCAGAGGCGGTGGACATACAATTGTGTCCGCATACGAAGCTGCCCGGCGGAGGATCCTCGAAGCCACACCCATCCTGTATTGAGAGATGCACGGTCATAATGCACCAGGAGCTCTTAGCATATTAGCTAACAGATGATCGCACCTGCATACATGTCGGAGCTACCATTCACTGCATGGTTGGTTAATTACAATCCTCCCTTTGGTCTATTAAAAAGCTCTTCCTCGCTTCAACAATGCCAGCACAAGAACTTAATCACCATGAGAGAATACGATCATTCTTCTCCACTTCGTACCCTCACCTAAAGGGTGTAACTAGGCATACAATTCCTTGTCGCTTGCTACTTCATTCTTTTACTTCCAATGACCATCCTCTATCAGTATCTCTACTTTATTCAGTTTTGCAACTTCTTCATTTGGCGGCGAAAGAGAAGTTGACAGCGCCGTCAGTTCGGTCAAAAGCAAGACCAGATGAAAGGAACCACAAATGAAACATTTCTCTGAAAGTTCATTAATTGTGTTGACAAACTACATTACTCCTCAACACCTCCCCCTTCTCAATTCCTAAACTCTCTGCTTAACCCCAGGAACAACAAATAAAACCAGTCTCTCCCAATCCCAAAAACTCGTCTCAGGGTATGCAAGGAAAACACCAAACTCCAGCGCTCCCAAGCACCAACTTCTGCCTCACCACGGAAAATAGCGAAAGACCTTCTCCGTCATCATGTCCACACCACTTCGTCCCCCATCCCCCTTTGCAACCCCATCTTGTCTCGAAGACCGTCTGTTTCCCGCTCCACCAATGCCAACATGGTAGCTCTGTCGTTCGCTTCGGAGGGTGGCTCGCTCTAGTTGTGGTGGGGCCATTTCTTCGACGCTGTGTCTGTTCCCGAAGCCTCCGATACCAGCATGGAACATGCTTGTCGTCGAAGAGGAGCTACGTGATGAGATGGTGGAAAAGGATTGGGATTGAGGGGCAGTGGATGGAATAGGAAGGAAGTTCCCTGCGCCGCCGATGGAGGTCTTGACGTATTTTTGAGGAAGATTTGGGGTGATGAGGGAGGAGGTGCTGCTTGTTTCTGAGGTGTACGAAGACATTTTGTGCGGATGTATGGAGATGGAGTGCGTCGAGGTGAAGTGTATCGAGTTGAGGATTGAAGCTTGAAGTGGGAGGATGAATAGAAGCTTTTATGGAGTGGAAGTAAGGAGGTGAGTTGCTTAGAATTGGTCTGTTAAGTTGTGATGTGATGTGATGTGATATGATATGAGCGAGAGATGACAGACTTTATATATCCCAGACATTCGTTTCTCAGCACGGCCACTCAAGTGTCAATGCTCACAGCGTCAACACAGTGAATAGCTGAAGGCTGAAATGATAGGACTGTAGCCATACAAATCTCAATCGGCTGTCCCATCAGGGCCTTGCCAAGAAGGGAACTCCGAATTCAAGTCAGCGACAATACATCACCTTGTTGATTAATCCCCTTGGCGATCTCCATACCGCCTGCACGGGAGATCACCAACATCCATAACTGGACTGCACTTTACAATGGGTGTTGTCCGTGCAGGCCTGCCTCCAGATCGCACGCGCTTTGCTGTGGCTGTGGTAGCCAGTACCGGTCTCTCTCAGCGAAACACGTTGTTGGAAAAAGGTTCGTGGCTTGCGTCAAAATCCGATAACCTATCCGAGTCAACACAAGAATCGCAAGGCGGAGCTTGTGTCTCTCCACCACTTGGCACTAAGCGAGCGAAGCCCCTTTTAGACCAATGAAAAGGGGAAAACGGAGCAGCCGAAAAGTGGCTTACAGATGCTTTGTCCTCATTAGCATAGCAGCCACGCAAAGTTTATTCTTCCTTCATTTACTATGGGACATCCGTTGAGCGGTATAACCGAAGTGCTGTTTTGTCCTGAATTAATAAGCTCATGGCAAAAGATACTGGCACCAACAAATCGCTTTTATAAGTCTTGGCTGATGAATGACGGAACCAAGAATGAAAGTGCGGCACTAGTACTTGATTTTCGGCCTCGCTATTCGACTACTGCGACGTACTCGCTTCGTTCCTGAACTACTGAACTTGACAGCGGAGCGCTAAAGTTGACAGCACAATCCAAGACTGAGCTGCAGCGGAGAATCGCCTCTGGCTGAAGACAACCCCCGAAACAAAACCAATAGGCCCCTTGAACCACTTCAATAACCCAATAAACACAGTAAAGTAATACATCAACAACTATGTGTTCCTCACTGTCCTTAAGCTCCTTCCCCTCGCATCCATCTCCAACCCCAAAATACGAACTTCTTCTCACCGCCCCTTTCTAGTCATCACGAGTCCCAGTATCCGCTCCCTGCCTCCAAACATCAAATCCCCACTTGCCCGAGCACGAAAGCCAAGGATCCGCCGACGGAACCCCGATGTCAGTCAGCCACTTTTCGGCTGTTCCGCTACTCGCACTCTCCCATTGGCCGAATAGGAGGCCCTTTTCGCTCTAGCGAAGCCCAAAAACACGCCTTCACGGCAGACGCAAGCCACAAGCCTTATTCTTCTCCAAGCGAAACAGCAAATGTTCCTACTGGCCTTTCATCTTGGGGCTAAGGGGCTGAGAGTAGACAACAAACAAGTGGCCCGGTCCAGCTATCGCGGTCCCTGATCTCCCATGCAGGCGGTATGGAGATCACAGTACATGCTAGAGGGTTGGTTATGGGTTCCGAAGTGGAGGTAGAGCAAGCGCGTTGTTCTGAAGGCTGCGTTGACATCCAGTCCAGTTATCGCTGTTGCTGATCTCCCTTGCAGCATATAGTTCTACAGAGTTTGGATTCAGGGATGCTCCTATTCTTCGTGCAGTCAGCTTAAATCGATTGAGAGGACTTCGGCCTCGCATTCTTTGCATGCCGATTTGAGAGAGCTGAGTGAGCCATTGTGTTGATTTGTAAGGTTTTGGTTTGGCTGCAATCCTGTCATTCAACCTTTGGTGTTCTGTTGACTGTGTTGTGACTGTGTTTTCTTGGCGGCACCCGCAGCAGCCGCAGATTCTCCATATTGTCTTATTTATATCAGATCTTACTTCCTTTCTCTCTTGGCTCTAAGCCCTGCAGTGCGCTAGCCCGTATGGGGCCTAGCGTCCTAAATTTCCCATGCGCATTCCCTTAGCAATGCAGTCGCGTCACGTGCTGGTCATGTGACTTATGGACAACCAAGGGCAACCAGAGCCCGTTTTAGTAGTAAGAATATATCTCTATAGGCCTGTACTTTAATTACGTACTAACCTCACGCCGCTGGGCGAGTGTACCTTAAGCCTTAAATCTCGGGTGCTAAAACTACGCAGATCAATGTATAGCAGTGCTTCAAGCCACAGGGCAGAGGCTGAGCATTTATAAAGGTGGGAAGCAAAAACTTAAATGCTGTACCTATACGCAGATCGCATTTTGGCTCTCTTGCGACTGCTTTTTTTCTAGAGCTAGTCTTGACGTTTTCGACCACAGTTGATATAAAAAGCTAAAAGTCGTGTGCTTTATATAATCAAGCGTTTGAGTTCTCTAGGATAGTGGCTAAGGTTACTCGACTCCGCTCGATGCTACTTCCTCAGAAAGTTCCTCTGCTACTTTGACCAACTGAACACTTCATTTATCACACGCCCGATCTAAGTTTCGAACCATCCCGGTGTATCCATTACAGAAAGCAAGTGCTAACAGCATTTCATCCACTGCGACATACTATTTCAAAGAGTACTGCTGGGATGGCAGGGCTCTTGAGTTATCAGACTAGTAAAACGTTACTTTATAGGACTAAGGAGGCAATTATTAGGATTTTGGAAGATAACATTGGGGTATTGTTCTATTATCGGAATATTTTACGTTCAGACATACAAAGGATTTATTAAATCAAAAGCTGCTCCCAAAGATAAAAATATCGTACAATGAGTGACATACTACCAGAACGAGCAGTTCCCCTTCGCCATCATAGTATGTACCGCTCTCTAGAGCGAAGCCATTCCAAACCCCCTCCGACTTCCTGCTTTTTTTAGTTACCGAAGCCTCCTTGGAGCCGTTACCTACACTCAATCTGTTACGATCGACTCTGTTAGACAAAATTTTCATACCTCATAATCCGATACTCATCCTCCGCATAATTAATTCTGCCTCTAATCACCAAATTATCGTCATTTTGGGCTTGCCATCATCTTCATTCATTGGCCTTACGCCATCAGACGCGCAAGAAGTATCACTTTCGTCGTCCCCAGACTCGGAGCTGGCGTTTTCTGTGAAAATAGCCTTGAAGACAAGATCACCTATAGATAAACTTATTATAAATACTCGTACCAAGAGGTGGAGAAATTACCTTCAGTATCTGAATAAACACTCCACTTGCTGGGAATTGAAGCGTTTGTTCGATCCTCCACCATTTTGTAAAAACATCTCCAGCATATCCTTCTGGTCTTTGGCAGGAGCCAGACATCGCAACTTTGCTGAATGCTAACTGCTGCAGCTGCAAGTCTTCCGCACCAATTATTATGAGCTCTTATAATTGATATGTGGGAAGGCGGGTCCAAAAGCTCTTCCCAGTTATCAATGGAAACTAGCGAGTGCCCAGATAATTGTTGTTTGTCGTAAGTTATAGTCTTGTCATGATAAGGAATTCCCCCAGGAACCTCTTTCTTTCTGACAGCGTTCCAATACTCTGCTTCCGTATCATAGGTATCTGTAGGGCAAAGTGGAAATCTGTGAAGTCTTGCACTTCCAAGGGCCCCGAGAATATCTAGATCCGCGACCCATTCACCTTTATCATGAACAGAAACCAGGGCCTCCACGAAGAAAGCCTGTCTTTCCCTTCCGCCGTGTGATCCAGTATCGACAGGCAGTTCGTATTCTGTGAAAGAGAGATGCAATGAGGTAGATTGAAAGCTATCTGATGCCTTCCCATCAAAACTGGCGTGTGTGATCTGTTGCCAAGTGGACGGGGAATAAGAACGGATCCGAGGCCTAGCAGGCGGCACAAGTAATGCCAAACCGGCTTTACCTATGTTTCCAGTGAGTCGACGAATTTCCTGCCCTCGTAAAGAGACAGATGGATCTCTGAGCAGTGCCGCCGCGACGAAGAGAGAATTTCCAGCGGATAAAGCCATCACATTTCTCAATGAGTCCGGATCTAAGTCAATACCACCAGACTCAAAATTTGCTATGCAAGCAAAGGACTGCGCCCTTGTTAAGAATGAGGTGTCCAGGTCTGCTCGGTCTCGTACCCAAGAAAATCTGCTGACGCATTTGGTTGCCGCATTCAAGTCAATTGTTGCTCCAGGTAAGTTTTCATATAGGTTTTTAGCGGCAACCAAGCTGAGTAAAGAGTTGAAGTATCGTTTTGCTAAGGATCCATTACGGTATGCTTCGTCTTCCGGCATCCTGCGATGGAAATTTCCCTGCTGAACCCCTTCGGTATCAGAAGATGTCAGGCCACGAAGGTACTGCAGAAGGAGATTTGGATTAACACGTTTCGTATCCAAGACTCCCAACAGTGCCTTTGGAGTGTTCATGTGCTCTGTTGGGCTAGCAATTGATCGCTTCGGTTGTTTGTCCTGCCTAAGAAATATTGCAGCAGAGTCGGGATCGCCAAAAAGAAGTTTGTAGTTAACCCTGTCGTCTCCATTTCCTTGCACATCACAGCCACCATTCCTTGCCCACCAAAATATGAGATCACTGGTATCTTCGATATCGTTCGGATTAACTTCACGCGCTGATTCACCCAATGCTATGACTTTTGCGTGTCTCCGAGCAATTTCGATTTCGAGCTGGAACTGTCTTGTATTGTGGGGTAGATTCGAACATGTCATGGATTCCAGCGACTGCTCTATAAATCTCGCTTTGTGGCAATCGACGGTACATTTCCTGTGTGACAACCTGCAGGGGCAATCATTCCCACATACATTTCCACAGGTGCTAGTGCATTTCGAAGTGCTGTGAGAAACGGTGATCCACTCAGGCCCCGAGTGTGAGTCTTCTGGCACAATCTCATCGCCTCTATCCCGAGGACTTGCTCTTACAATCCACCGAACATGGTCAAAGGTCTGGCGCTCAGATCCTAGTTGATTCCGCTTTACAGAAGTCCGTGGGTATGGTAACAACGTCGCGTACTCGTAATAATTTCGGCAAACCAGTTGGCTTATACTCGGGACCGCGACACGAATGAAGATATCACAAGGATCAAAAGCAAGATTACTTGCGATTTGACGCAATATGGAAATCCAGTCCTCTTCCTCTGGCAACAAACTGAAAATTGTGGAGTACATGGACAGCCCAAAAACAGGTGAAGGATGAAACTGGGCAGCAGCCAGGAACGTTCGTGCTCGCCTCTGGCCAAAAGCGAAGAGTCGCAAGTAAGAATCTCGAGAAATGTCCTTGGCTTCTGAAAAGCGAGTTGCAGCATCAACTAACAAAGTGAGCCATGGCGGTATAAGCTTACCACCCTCTGAAACTTCTTGTAGATATTTTCCGAGAGTTATCAAAAGGTTCGCGGCCTGAAGAACGTCAATAGCCTGGTCGCTCCATTTATATAACGCACTGCCTAAGATGACCTGAGAAAGTTCATCGAATGATATGCGGCCAGTATCAGTGGCCAACGAGCGTAAGGAACGAACTGGATCCCCATAGAATCGTAGATGGGCCAGTGGCAGAGACCAGAAAACACCATGATCCCTATCAGGGCTGGTAGACTTGAGGCCAACCGTCAAGATGCCTTCTCTTGGGATCAGAGGATCTCGTTGATCTACTTCCGTAGTCTTGCTGCCCAAAACAAGGATATTAGGATACAAGTGCCACGAAATTAGACCAAGCAATACAGCACCGTCCTGCACACGTTGAGGTTTCCCATTGAGCAACAATTCAGTAGTCGTGAGGGCAGTTGACCATGCCCGCATTACCCCATTGTATACATCCATGTCTCGATTGACTGGCAGGTTGACGTTGTTTACGATGAGTAATATTTGGAGGTGCTTTCGCTCCAGAGCCTTGTCCGCACTTTGAAGCCAAGATCGCGCTCCATTGTCCCATATCCTCAGCTGGTCCCGTGTGACAGACACTCTGGCAACCGCGGAGGTGGCAGAGAATGGGTTCGAGGAATCTTCTTGGCGCGAAGAAAGTTCTTTCTTCCGCTCTGCTAGGAGTTCCGCCCAGATAGACACTGCCTCGGAAGCACTCCATATTCTGGCAAGCATGCATGCCAATAGATGCACCGCAATCGCCCCTTTCCCCGATGTTGCCGCAGCCCATATGTTTGTACCATCTGCCCCAATATGATTTGCGAGAAATCCATCGTCGCGTGTTCCTTTTGGATTGATCTTTGGCGATGCAGCAACTTCGGACGCTCGACGGCCGTAAGACTTTATCAACTGAGGTATTTCTGGAATTGCTTCATCAAAAAGAGCGCCCAGCTTTCGAGCCGTCACGTGAATAGATCCATCTTCTGCCTCATACCGGCGTTGGGTGCTTAGAGCATTGCCTAATCCGTGATATTCCAGTGGCCCTTCGATTTTAAGAATCGAAAAATCGAAACTTATGTTTGCAAGGGCAAGTGTGGCCTCTGTTGTCGCAGAGACTGCTGCTCCGGCGAATTTCCCAATCATAGCCATGACCACAGCTTTTGTTGCGAGCTTCGCTGCGTACGAAGATTGCTGGTCACCACCAGGGCATAGTACGAAAGCACAGAATAGTGCAGAACAGAAGCGAAAAATCGTCACAGCCGTCTATACAACCTCAGGCACTCCGGCAACAGTGTTTTTCCGCCTAAGGCAGGCGGAATGTGTAACACGACACCCTCCGGGGTGTCGATTGGGGTGTCGATTGGGGGCCACTAACCCAAAGTAGAGGCGCTCGAACAAGAACACCAAAAATCTAGCTTTCTCTTTAGTTTAATTTAACTTTATAAAGAATTAATATAATTTAATACTTCTCTTACTTAGTTATAGCGCTAATTAAGGGCTATTTGAATATAAACTTTGTATAAAATTTAGATTAGTAATAGCTCTTAAAATTAAAAAGGTTAAAAATTTCCCATTTTATGCCTAAAGGTAAGCTTAAGAAAGCCTAGAAATTTAGCGAATAAGTCCCTAAAACTGGACATGAGAGCCCTATAAGCACCTAATATACAGGGCCTTATAGGGCCTAAAAACTAGAACTTAATTAATTAGTATAAAAAGTCCTTCAATTAAATTCTATTTTAAGGAATCATTTTATTATAAATTAAGAAGCACATAATTATATTATAAGCCTTATACTATACTAGCTTATACTTATATTTAAAAATCTAACTTAAGGTCCCAAAATACCCCGGCCCCCAATCGACATCCCAATCGACACCCGGGGTTGTGTCGTTTTATTACACATTCCCGTCGACATACTGCGTAAGCGGCGATGCGTGACAGGTTGCACTGCAATTTTAGTGTTCTCAAGGAGGATCAATCCGTGCTCCGTTAGGGTTGAAGGCCTGGAAAAGATGCTCCGTCATCACTTCGCCCCTTCGCGACGTGCATCTGAAACTAGTGAAATTCACCACCTAATATTTTATCCTGTTTTAAGAGCAACACTTGAGGCTGAACTGGCGAAGATAGAAAATCACAGATAATGTAAGTCTGAGAAATTCTCAGTCATCGTTGGCAACTTTGCCACAGCCGTATCCGTGCATCCTCTACTTTTAACAAACATCCAAATGGCGATCCTTAACAAACAGAGCAACGAATTCGTAGTTTCGCAAAACAGTTTGCAAAGGGAAGTTGGACCAAGAATGGCGGGGCAGCCCCCTGGCACTTACTCGGCCCTACGGCCACCTCTAAACCGCATTGGGAATGCTCGTCCCGTGCAATGACAGATCAACAAAACGTGGGGTTTGCGTGAATTAAAATCTGACTTCGAACGACAGAATACAAAAGAACAACCTCAACCTCGCCTCCCTCTCTTGCTTTGTCTTACAATCAATCCACCTTTTAAAATCCAATTACAGATCAGCAAAAATGAGAGCATACTGGTTCGACAACGCAGAGGTAGGAGCTCTTGAATCCCCTCGAAGAAGAGGACTGACAACTCTAGGGCGACCAACGCCTCCCCCACGACTCTGGCCGCGCCGTATCCGCAGACTACCTCTCCCAACTGGGCGTCCTCTACTACAACATCCCCTCCGAATCGGACGTCGACAAGCTAGCCTTGGAACGGAGCTACAAGAATCGCGACATGATCACCGTCTCCCCCGAAAAGATGGGCGCCATCTACGAAGAGAAAGTCAAGTCATTCTTCCACGAGCACTTACACGAGGATGAGGAGATCAGATACATCCGGGATGGGGCAGGATTCTTTGATGTGCGAAGTGAGGGCGATGAGTGGGTGCGGATCTTTTTGGAGAAGGATGATTTAATTGTAGGTTGAATATGCTGAAAGGTGGGGAATCGGTGCTGATGAAAGCAGATTTTACCCGCCGGCATTTACCATCGATTTACGACTGATGAAAAGAATGTAAGTGAAGATTCTTTTGGTATAAGGGACATGTCTGACGAGATGCAGTACATTGTGGCTATGCGGTTGTTCAAGGAGGAGCCGAAGTGGACACCGCTCAACCGTGGTCCGGACGTCGATGTTAACCCGTTCCGTAAGGAGTATTTGCAGACACGACAAGTTAAGGCATAAAGAGAGAGCGAGATGTGGCATGAATTACGATCGCAATGTTGTGTACAATGAGTTGGGGAATCAATACGTCGTTTTCTCGAATCCCCTGCCCCCTCTCTCGATCCCACCACCCTTCATATCGCAGATGCCAAAATATGTTCGGCTATCACTCTTCATTTTCTGGAATATAGAAATCAGATGTACTCACAAGATGCTTCGGGTAGAGGCAGTGATCGCCAGCATCGCAGGCGGCAAGGGCCCATGTTATTTCTGCCGCCATTGCAATGAGCATCTCATGAGGAAAGTCTGAAGGGCGCTCATAGAAAGTAACTTGTTTGAGTGCATGTAATGGATGATGGATAGCAAATTTACGGGGATGGCTGTTAGTCGAGGTATTGGCGTAGATGTACGGAATCCACGTTGTACTTATATCTGAACGTGTTGCCCATCCTAGCTAGCGAATATTTTCAAACGCGAGGTTTTGAAGTGCGGAATTAGGAGCTTATCTGCCAACACCCACAGTTACACCAATTTCAAAATCTCCTCATTGGATTCTCCTTGTGTTGCCAAGCAGAGATCGAACTAGTTGGAGATTTGTTTGTTACCCATGAACTTTGTTAGCCGAGTCGTTGGGCGAGAAAGTGGCGGATGAAGGAGGTGTTTGCCTTACCAGATTTTGACTTGGGCAAATGTTTTGGATTGTGGGATGCAAGGGGCCTCTGGGGACTTTCCAAGTATGTTCTAGAAAGGATCTGCGTTTCACTTCTTCTAATTGCGCGGAGAGAAGTTTCTAATTACTTCTCGAACGAAACATATAACCTGCGGCAATTTCTTCATCCTTCCCTCTGTCGGGAAGCAGCCACCAGTTCCACATCTACTCCGTTTGTTCTCAATGAAGTAGTGGGTCAGAAGCTCGTAATTTACGATGGAGTTTCTAAACCATGTACCCCTTGTTCCCCTCGTGTCGCAGCTTAGGATGAGCCTTCCGGAACCATATAGTCCCGGGTTAGCCTGGTGTGGACATATCTCGACCCGCTTTTGCTACTTAGTGTCGCTCCACAGGCCAGGTCAACGAGTAATTCGCGGGGAAAGTGGTTCTGACATTGCTTCTTCCCGTAGGCTGGCACCTGATAGAGAAGGACGTCGACTGCAAATCTTCTGAGAGGGCTGTCAGAGCTTGTGCTTTCATAAGCTGTAGCCATCCATAGGGTGCTCCAAGATTCCTCCGACATTTCCACAAGTGAATCCATGATGAAATTTTGGAGTCTGGGGATGATGAGTCGCTCTGCCAGAATCCAAAGTTTGACCATGTTCAGGTACATCGAATCAATCTCTGCCGAGGGAAACTCTGCTTCGGAAACTTCAACGATAGACTGCTCCTCGATGATGCTTTCTGCGCTATTGGCTGTAGAATGCTTGAAGGTTTGCTTGTAGAACCATTGTATAAGGAGTCGAAAGATATCTGGGTCGGTATCTTCCACTCGATAGGTCTGAGTTTGGCCTTCGACGAAGGAGCTAGTGAAAGCAGCTTTCAGTACCGGGGAATAGTAGCATGCATGTTCTGGTTTCCGTCAGCAACTGGAATTTGGCAAAGAAAAGGATAAAACCTCACCTTTATGAACGGGAATTGTCTCCTCAACGCCATCCTTGCCCACGACGAAGGCGACAAGTTCAACTGGTTCCCTAGCTATTGTCAGTTGATGCGATGATTGGTGGTTGATGGGTGCTCACTTGAATTCAGGTCCTTCCCAGACGAATCGTGGGTTGCTTGAAAATTGGTCCGCCATGTCCGGTGTGCCTTGCAGGTCAGAGAGGTACTCAATGTAGAAACTTGGAGGCAATCGGGGGTGGTTGTGCAATAAATTATAGGTATATAAAGCCTATTACTTACGGAGGACGCGGCCAAAAGTCTTGCAACTCCTAGGGTTTGACGCCAGACTCGCTTAAATGGCAAGGGCGTTGCACAGCAACCAGAGGCCGCTATAATTACAGGGTCTTATAGGCTTGTCATGCTTTAACAATAGCACTCAAGCCCTGTAAACATTACTAACAGCGATGTTCCTTCAGGCCCTAAGCACCGTTGCTATGCCAGAGCTATGTGGCGTCCTTAGGCTTGGCGCCCACCCCTGCCAGTTGCAAGGCTTTTGGCCGCGTCCTCCAAGAAATACAAAATCAGTGTGCTGCTGATTCATATGCACGTGCATATTAATTGGCAGGGGTACATTATACCTTTGTACGACACGCGCACAAAAGGCGGGCCAGAAGCACGTCGCTGGTCTGCAACGACTCAAAACCTCCTCGCGGTCACCATTGGCATGCGCGGCTACTGTAGTCAGTATATAGCTCTAGGGGGCTAGGTCCTTATATACGGACCTAGTCCCATCAGGTCGAGCTAATAAAAAGAACCTCGTAAGGGATCCTTAACTTTCTTTTACTAAAATTTAGTGAAGAAATCCTTAAATAAATAAAAAAGCTGAGAAATATCTTTACTAAAATTTAATAGAGAAATCCTTAAATAAAAAAATAAAGCTAGAAAACATCTTTACTAGAATTCGGTAAAGAAATCCTTGACTGCTTTCTTGTTGGTGATTTCCTTGTCGGCGAGGGTGTCCTCGTTCGAAGTCGTGAAATCTCCTGAACAGAGCCACTGAACGAAGAGACGGAATGCGTTTGGGCGAATATCCTCGAGCTTGTAGGTATATTCTCCGCCCTCAGAGGCAGCTTTGAAGACCGGGGAGTAGAAGCAAACAGACTCTATACTATTGTACAAGTACTTTACCAAGTAACGCTAAGGCATCTGATTCACCTTTGTGCACTGTGAACTTCTCCTCGACTACTTCCTTGCCGACTTGGAAGGTGACCATCTCAGTTGCGTTTCTATTTGATCAAGCCAGCCTTGCGTAAAAGTGTCGATTTTGGTACTCACGAGGACAAGGATCTCTCCATATTTTTGTTCGACCGGATGCTGGTAGAGTGAGCTTCCACAAGAGTCGAGAGACGTAAACCTTGATGGTTTCGAAATCGTAGAAGTGGTGGGTAAGGTAGGCGATTGATTAACTTGAAGAACAAGGCGCCGTTTTTAAATAACACACGGGGTTAAAGAAATGAAAGATCGATGTTTTAAAGGAGGTCAGTGAATTGGGCGAGAGGGACCCGCGGGGTGATGCGGGCTTCAACCAATGGATTCTGTGCCGCTCTTCCGATGACTGAATTATGAGTCTCTTAATTCTGCAACAACCACAGCAATACCAGCGCTCGAGGGAGTTTCTCATTATTTCGGGTTGGTTTCATGAATTGAGCAGCAACGAGACCTTTCGTTTACCCTGGTTGCTTTGGAAGGGCAGGGTGGAAAGGGGTCAAGCTCTAAGCGAACCCCTGCCTTCAACGTCATTTCAGATAGAACACTTCGATATATTTATATTTCCATAGTTCCCACACTGGTGAGAATCAGAAAGATGACAATGAAATCGGTCGTAACTATGTTCTTCGCTCACTTTCCAAGATTAAATAAAGTGCAGATTTAAATTTTTCGAAGTATTGTGAGTACACAATTCGTAAGTGCAAGAAGGGTGGTTAAATTCATACAATAATCAGCAGAAATTACTCCAACTAGCTCAAACTTTGAGTTCAACCTCCGCTACCTTTTCACTTACTTTCAAGTTCTCCAAGCCATTGACAATCTGCTCCCTCTCTTCCGGAGCTCTGTTAATCGTGACATTGCCAAACTCATCAACCTCCGCCGTCTCCTTGAGCTTGTTGTATCTGAATTTCGCTGCTTGATGCTCATCTGGCAAGTACGGCTTCCCTGGTCTTCCGTGCAAGTTCTCTCTGAAAGTTCCACCAGGTACTGCGTAATCTGCCCACATCAGTCGCCGCTTTTGGAGGACTGGGACTAGATATTCGACGATATCTTCGTATGAGCCAGGATTGGAGACGTCTGTGTTGAGATGTTAGCGAACTGGTCTCACAAATAGGTGGGGGGCTTACAAGCAAGATTGAACCCATCAATATCCCCCACGTTAGCCCACTCCTCAATCCGATCCGCAATCATCTCCGGCGTCCCCGTCGGCATATCTCCAAACCCACAGAACGCAAACTCGGCCCCCAGCTGTCTAGGAGTCAACCTCTGCCCACCCGAACTAACCGCCTTCAGCGCCTCCAGCATCGTGTGAATCGAAGCATCGGCACCATCGATCTCAAACGGCTCGTCGAGCGGATATTTACTCAGATCTGTGTTCAAAAATGAGCTGACTTTGACGAGGCCACCTCGGCAATCGGCGTACTTTTCGAGCTCTTTACGCTTTGCTTGCGCTTCTTCGAGAGTCTTGCCGATGATAGGTGTTATCATGGGGAAGAACTTGAGCTCGGATGGGTCGCGTCCTTCTGCCGTGGCTGCGACTCGCATTTCTTTAACTAATGGAGCTACTCCTGCGGGTGTTCGGCCACCGATGAAGAGAGCTTCGGCGTGTTTTGCTCCAAATGCTTTCCCAGCTTTCGATGAACCAGCTTGAAACAAGACCGGGGTCCTTTGAGGCGATGGGTGAGTCTGTTGGTATGCTGAAGTACTGTGGTATTTCCCATTGAAGGTAATCTTGTGGATCTTGTTCGGGTCATATGCACCTGTCTCAGGGTCCCAGATTTGAGCTCCGTCTTCCCATGATCCTTCCCATAGTCTGGAATGTCAGAATTAAGTTTGGGGTGGGAAGGGGGTACTGACGAATACATTAGATCCATATACTCATGTGCCTCTTCGTACCGCTGGTCATGAGGGGTGATCTTCTTCTTTCCCATTGCTTTGGCGGAACTGTCTCCGTAACTCGTGACAACATTCCATGCAACTCTGCCCTTTGAAGCATGGTCAAGAGTGCCCCATGTCCTCGCTAGAATGTATGGCTATGAAGTGTCAGCAAACTTTCAGGTTTGGGGAGAGAAGTATCCTACAGTGAGATACGAAGTGCTACCGGTTATGCCAAAGGAAACAGATTGAGTAACTGCCGCCATAGCAGAAACATAAACAACTGGATCTAACGTGGCAACCGTTGAACCGGCAAGATATGCAAAATCTGCATTATTTCCAAATGTGGTCTCGACTATTGATGATCAGATATTTTGAACCTTTGAGAGATTGATAGAGAAAGTATGATCTTACCTCCATATACATCAGCGAAGAATATACACGTGATCTTTCCTTTCTCGGCAAGCTGAGCAAGCCAAGTGTAGTACTCGACGCTATCTTTCGTCCTTGTATTGTCTCCGGGAACCCTTTCAGAAATTAGTTCTTGGAAGTAGCAGCGACATCGAAGGTGCGAGTTACTTACTTCCAAGCGCCAATGCTCATGTGATTTCCAGCACATGTAACATCGAAAAAGTTCAAATGGATTTTCTTTTGAGGAGCCATCTTGCAATGGCTTGAATCTGAAGAGGGGTGAATTAAAGCACTTGCAATTCTAGAGCAAAAACTGGAAGGCAGAAGATATGTATTCATGAGTAGGATCACCTTGGCTCTTAGAATATTTTATGCAACATTCTCGAACGATACTTGGCGTCTTTAGCGGTATAGCTGCCGACAGGGCGGCAGGTGGACGAGGATTCGGGATGAGCAGCCGATGGAGCTGGTGCCTGACAATTAAGGCGAGGAGACTTGGATGACCCGTAAGTGGGACTACAACCTCAAGAGCCCCCTTTATTACTTCTTCGAATTAAATTGCAGTTTTAAGTTCCCATCTGAAATTGGCGGCAAACGGCATGTTTTTGCTGCAACTTCACAGCTGTAGTAAAGCGAGCAAAAGAGGACAATTTCTCAGGGCCAAAAAACCTACAGCTTGACAGATGATATCCAACTGGATATTTCCTTCCTCATCAGTTCTGTAGGCGTTCCTTTACTAATCTATCTAGTTATTCCTCGTCCTCTGGAACGTAATAGCTTCTCCATGTTCGATGACACTGGTAACGTGGGAGTGCTGGGACGTCCCCGATAAAGTATTCATCTTCATCATCTACCCAGATGTCTTCTTCTACCCCATGATCGAAATCATTTTCATTGCCATTCCCAGAGGCACTGGTATTATTGTCGTCGTCAACTGCAAAGGTCCCAGGGGAGGAAAGGGCGGCGTCTTCTTCCTCCCCGCTATCCGAGATGAAGTCATCATCATGTTCTTTCTCTTCATCATCTGAGTGCGTGAAATCATCATGCCTCCAGATCGACACAGCTTTGCTGAGTATCATAGCCATATCCAAGAGAACCTCTTTCGGGAAGTCCTCGGAATGTGCAGCAAAGACTTCTGGACTGATCTTGTATGCACAAATGTCAGCCGCAAAATTGCGAAGCGGGCTTCCGACTATCGTATGCTCATATGCATACGGAATCCAAGCCGTGCTGGGTCCTCCATGAGGCACAAATGGCTCTTCCCAAAATTATTCTAGCACGTTGATGACGGCGTTCTGGAGCGGACGAATAAGCAGCTTGTCGGCAACGATCCATAATTGAATTAGGTTCAAATCTTGATCCACCCAGAGCTTCTCAATTCCAGGATCGTCCTCGTCATTTTCACAGTCGAGATCGTCCTCTTTGAAGATATCGAATTCCTCGTTGTAGAACCATTGAACCAGCAAGCGAAAAGCGGAAGTACTGATTTCCTCCAGACGGTAAGTCTGGGTCTCTCCTTCCACGAAGTTGCTGTTGAAAGCGGCTTTGAGGACCGGGGAATGGTGACAAGCAAATTCTAGAACAATTTAGCATGGCGGCCAGTGAAGTGTGGATGGACTTACCCTTGTGGACGGGGAATTTCTCGTCATTGCCTTCCGGCCCAATCAGAAATGTGACCATTTCGGTGGGAGCACTGAGAACAATAAGTCAATTGCATCAAGGCAATAGAACTCAACTGACGAGAAGTTAGGGCCTCGTAGTTTCCATGCTTTCTTTGCTGATGGAGCCTCCATAGATGATCTGGTCGACATCCTCTTTCGTTTGTTTGGGGGCATCTTCATCCAGTCTTTGGAAACGTCAGTGGCATGGATAACCAATTGAATAGGAACCCACAAACTATAATCCCAACGAGGGAGGTGTCTAGTTCCTCTATTAGACTCTGACCTGACGTTCGGGCTGAACGCTGAACACTGAACGCGATCGTTTTCCAAAATGTTAGGAAACGACGAAAGGAAGGGCAATTGTGTGCCAGAAGCTATAGATAACGCGGTTGAGAAGATTAAGGAATTGAGCGCGATGAGCTGCCGTGGTTTGAAGAAGTTTGTGCATATGGTTGGTGAAATGAAAGTTGAGGTGAAGTTGGATCAAAGCCCCGAATATCAGTGAACCCCTGCCACGCTAAATCACCCCCTCTAAGCCCATTTCGGGCCCACGCCAAATAAAAGCAACCTTTCCGCCAATTTGAGGGCTATTGGTCACATGAACAATGTTAATCTCACTCTAGTAATTTGACCCTTAATATTGCTATATAGCGTTCGTTTTCAGGTCAAATTTCATATTTAAAGACGTAAGGATACTAAAAAATCAACCCCTTTAAATAAATCTAAGAAAATGGATATTCTGCGAGTGCCTCTGCCGGCCCCTGCCAAATCCCTGTTCAGCTCGCATAGCATTCCCAATCCAGGATTGTTCACCCAAAGGAGTCATATTTGTGCTCGATAGGATATCGACTATCTTTTGGTTATATGCTAATGCTGGCTAGTGCAGTCCTGGGAGTATGTTATGTAAAGAGATGAATTCTTTTGCCTCTCCTGACCTCTCACGTTCAAAAAACCTCGATACTGTGAGCTTCTCCTTTACATACCCTATTTCTCGTGTGCTATCTTGCGGCCCGCCTCGTTGGATATGACCCATGTCCATGCCTTCTTCTTAAGGTATGCCTTTTGTTGAGCCTTGCGAAGAGCTTCATTTTCCCCGCCTATAGCTTTCATATTCCAGCACTATTCCACGGGGCGCGTCTCCTACTCGTGCATATAGATGCAGCTTTGCACGTAAATATACGTCTACAAGGGGGACGGGACGGAATGTGGAGGCCGGAAAGTGGACATTACATCCGTATTCTGGCTCTGTTCGTATTCACCAATTTGACTTGACCCAATTACCCCCGCCTGGCCGATTAATTCGTCGATCTTTCTTTATTAGTCTAGAACTGCCTTCATGATGCTACTATGATTACCCCCAGCCATATAAATATTCACAACCTTGAACACCGCTCTTTATAGCAACTCATGCCACTACAAATATTTCCCTCTCAACCATTAATAAATATTAAATTAATTTTTTTAATTAATTTTTATAAGCTTTAAATATTATTTAAAGAGTCCTAGAGAGCTTAGAGGTCAGAATAATGGGGTGTTCAAAGAGTTGCTTTGATTTGATGTAAAAGTGACTCTCAATACAAGTAATGCTCACCATTCATCCTGGATGATTTTGTTCCTCCATGCCATCTAACTGTTCTCACCTTCCGGAACATGATAGCTTCCCCACGTCCGCTTGTACTTATATCTCGGCCTCTCCTCATCATCTCGACCATTTTCGTCTTTCTCATAAATCGTCGTCGGGGTGATTCCTGAGCTCATGAGACGAGCAAGATCAAGCAGCATTTCATGAGGAAAAGCTGCCGGATCTTCGAGAAACATATCACTGTGTAAGCCATACGCGCAATGATCAAGTGTAAGGGCTCTGAGGGGGCTGTCAACCGAAGTATGTTCGTAAACGAATGGTACCCAACTAACGTCTACCGCTCGATCGGTCCGAAGATTCCACATGATCTCGAGCTCTCTCACTATAGCGTTCTGAAGCGAAGGAATGAGTAACCTATCGGCAAGAACCCAGAAATGAATGAAGTCTATCTCTTGTTGTAATTCTTGGTCAGCCACAGCTTCGAATCCAGCAGAGATGTATCGCTGAAGCGAGGTATCGACTTTTCCAGTGTAGAAAAAGCATAGGAGGAGGCGGATCACCCTAACGGTGACGTCTTCGAGTCGATAGCATTGCGTCTGGCCCTCTGTGAATGAGCTTTCGAAAGCAGCCTTTAAGACGGGTGAATAATAGCAAGCAAATTCTGTTCCGTGTTAATTTGTATCGATAATAGACAATAGGAATATCTCTACCCTTGTGGACAATGAATCGTTCATCTTCACCTTCCTTGCCAACGATAATCGTAACCATTTCGGTAGGAGTACTACATTATGTGAGTGATTGTGAGGGAAAGCAAAAGACTCTGTACTTGAAGTCTGGCTTAATTGGCGTAGTTTTCGTCTTCTTCGTAGCGGGAGAGTCATCCTTAGAAATCTCTGACGACCTCTTCCGTTTCGGATGGGCGTTCGATGACATTTTTGACCTGCTAAAGGTGAGCTGGCTGCAATTCTAATGTATTCTGTCAAGATTGACCCCTCTCACAAAGCTAGGATTCGAGGATCGAAGGCGAATGAGTCTTCATCACCGGCTTGCCCTCTAAGAGGAAAGCTAGAACGTGTGGAGGAGGATGGTGCGAGCTTAGGATAAGTTGTCGGTGAGCATGCGCGTTCAATGCGATAAATGTAGGTATCTAAGTTGGAAGGTGGCGGTGGGTCGTGCTCAATTGGTGAATGCGGACCCTTCCAGCGTTTGAGCCTGCGCAATCCCAGCTTGGACAGACTACATCCCCTGAATACCTCAGGAGTAAGCGCAGGGTGCGAACGTTGGAAAGATTAAGCTCGTGTGAAAACAGAAAAATAGAAGTGTGAACGAGGGGATATCATTCCCACCCCAGACACCATAGCCGCAAATTCTGTATGGGAATATCGTACAGTTATCAGCAGCGACAAGTGAATAGCGGCCATTTATTACTGATTCTCGTCAATAAGATAGCCCCTATAGGTTCTGGTACAATGATATCTCTCGAAATCCATCAGCGGTTGCTTGGAGAATTCCTTATGTGGAGCCAAGTCCTGATTCGCCTTGTGACCTGGAAGTATGGGAAGAACTGCTTTATTGTAAACAAGCATCAACATCGAAAAGCATTTCATGGGGAAACTCCTGTCGGTGACATTGTTTCACACCGTATCCCATACATACATAACTTGTAAAGCTTCGGGTTAATATTACTTGACAGGGGAAGGAAAATATGAATGCACCACCACTGGTGGGATATTCGAGCTGAGGAAAGAGGGAGAGGATATCCATACCGCGTTCTGCAGATGAGACATAAGGAGTCTGTCGCCAGCCACCCAGAGCTGAGCATATTCAAGATCTTGAGCCCGCCAAGCTTCTGAAGCCTTGTCGCAGCCGCCGTCGTTTGTACCAGCGTCCGCAGCACCATCCACAGCTCCAAGTTTTTCACGATCACAAACACCATTCTCATTAACATTCTCCGCACTTTCTAAAACAGAGTCGATTTCAATGTGAGGATCAATCTTTTGAGTATAAAGCCACTGGACGAGGAGATAAAACACCGAAGGATTTACATAATCGTGTCGATATGTATTGCTTTGGCCTTCGAGGAAAGGGCCAGTAAAAGCCGCTCTCAAAACAGGCGAATAACAGCACGCAAATTCTAGAACGCGCCAGCATGTGAATTATATAGGCGAGAATGCACTTACCCTTGTGTACTGCGAACGGTTCCTCGTCTCTCCCCACCAGGAACGTTACAAGCTCAGTCGGGGCACTGAAGTCGGTCAGTAGAAGCCTGCGAAACCGAAGTGTGTTCATACGAGAAATAAGGAGCCCTCATATTGGCCCCCATTCCCCCAGACGAGTCTTCTGAAGACCTCTTTCGCTTCGAGTTGATTGCTGGCGTCGCCTCCGACAAGCTGCGTGTAGGATTCGCGGTAGTGCTCGTAGTCGCTATCGAGTGAGAAAGTTTTCGAATAACCCGGGTCAAGGTAGAAACTAGGACGGATGAGAAACCTTCTTTTTGATGAGATGAAGAGTAAAGAGTTGAGATCCGCGGGAGAATGACCTGCTTAATATATTTGAGTTGATAAGACAAAGAGCGAGCAACATGCTGCCCCCCCCCCCCCCCCCCCCCCCCCCCCCCCCCGAAACCTATCTAGAGAGCACCAGCTCTTGGATAGTAGGCCCTGTATGCGCAATAGAAGGAAATGAGTTCAAGGAATTGAAAGATCTCGGGCAGCAGCATCCCGAGCATAAAGCATCGCTGGTGTGACCCTCATGGCATGTCTTTACAAGAGCTCCTCACATGCGAACCATGTTCAGAGTTGATCGCACTTGCGGAGCTTCACATCCGTTGATTTATGATTGGGCATAGAAGACAAAAGAAAGGAATTTTTCTGACATATTTCATTCTCCTTTCTAGGCATACTTGAAGTTTAACATAGCCCAACGCCTAAAATGCACCCAACCACATGCACAACTTTTGGTATCTCCCAAACTCCACTCCACCCGGACGAAATAAGAATCTACTCCCAACTCTGAAGATTCTTCAAGACACAACCCTCTCCTGATCTCGGGACGAGGGTGCCAATCGTGTAGACTTTCTCGCCTGCAGCTTCGAGCTCAGAGATGACTTGTGCTGCGTTTTCTTTGCTAACCACAGCTACCATTCCAACACCTGTGTTGAACGTGCGGCCCATCTCGGGGGCGGAGACGTTACCTGCTCGCTTCAACCACTTGAAGACGGGTGGTAAGGTCCAGTTTGCTACGTCAACCCTGAGGGATGTCAACTTCACTGGCCAATGAGGACCTGGTTGTGGAACGACTTACTCAGCTGCCAAATGCTCAGGCAGCATTCGTGGGATGTTTTCTGTCAATCCACCACCAGTGATATGTGAGAGACCCTTGATGAGCTTCTTGTTCGTGACCTCGAGTATGGAACGAACATAGATTCTCGTGGGAGTCAGAAGGCTTAGCCCAGTACTTGTTGATTGATCCCATGGAGCGGGGTCAGTATATGACAGTTCTTCTCTAGCAATAATTCTGCGGACCAACGAGAAGCCATTCGAGTGCACTCCATTCGAAGCTAAACCGAGCAATACATCTCCCTCGAGCATACTCGAAATCCGAGGAAGCCTGTACTCCTTGTGCATTGTGCCAATCGCAGCTCCAGCAGCATCGTAGTCATCTCCTTGGTACATGCCCGGCATCTCAGCCGTTTCACCACCAACAAGAGCGCAATTGGCATCTCTACATCCAGCTGCAACACCTTCGACAAATGCAGTTGCGTTCTTCTGCGTAAGTTTGCTGCAACCGTAGTAATCAAGGAACATGAGGGGCTCGGCACCTTGGACAACCAGATCGTTGACGTTCATGGCCACCAAATCGATGCCGACGGTGTCGTGTTTCTCCATTGCCTGGGCGATTGCGAGCTTTGTACCGACACCGTCGATTGCACCAACCATGATGGGGCCACCAGCGTAACCAGCTTGCTCTAAGTCCACTTCGCCTCCAAAGCCTCCAATTTCTGCATCAGCGCCAGGTCGGCGAGTTGATGCAACAGCCTGAGCAAAATTAGTTCCATTATTCTTGAAGTGGTAAATATTGAAGCACATACCTTCTTGATTCGCGTGACAAACTCATTCCCAGCTTCAATACTTACACCAGCAGAAGCGTACGTTAAAGCTTCTCGCGTTGCAGCTGTGGGCTTGAAAGCTCGATGAGCAATATCCTTGCGGTAAAACATTTTGTCGAACTGGATGAATTCGAGACCAGAGTACGCTTTCTTCACAGCCTGTTCCAGATCCTCTGCAGTTGCCTGTGCAGCAATCACCCTTCCCCCAGAAGTTTGCAGTTGTTCATCCTTGATCGTCGTCCCCGCATGGAAAATATTCGTACTTTCCGGAGGTGCTTGAACATCCATAGGCGTTCCCTTGGCATATGATCCCGGATATCCTCCTGCCGCTACCACCACGGTCACACTCGCTCCTGGCTTCACATCTACCGAAACAGCGGAAAGGTAATGATCTGTACAGGCAATCATAACCTTAGCTAAATCGGTCTCCATCAAAGGAAGCAGCGTCTGAGTCTCAGGATCACCAAATCGAACATTGTATTCCAAGACTTTGGGACCATTCTTCGTAATCATAAGACCAGTGAATAAAGTTCCGACGAAAGGGAAGGCCTCATTCCTCATTCCATCAATCGTAGGTTGTAAAATCGTCCGTTCAACCTCCTCCAGAAGTTCTTTTGTGGCAATGTTCGTTGGCGCATAACATCCCATTCCACCCGTGTTCGGTCCTTGATCTCCATCGAAGATTCTCTTGTGGTCTTGAGCTGGAGGGAGGGATCGAATGGTATACCCGTCGCTGAAGCTCAAGATACTGAGCTCATCGCCTTCCAGAAATTCTTCTATAACAACCTCATCTCCAGCAGAACCAAATTCCTTGTCTAGCATAATCTCCCTCAGTGCGGCTTGTGCTTCATCTTTGGTTGTTGGAATGATAACTCCCTTCCCCGCAGCCAATCCACTTGCCTTGATCACCACATTATGATCAATATTATCCAAGTATTTCCGCGCGTTCTCGTAGTTCGAGAAGTTTTCGTAGGCCGCGGTAGGAATATTGCGTCTCTTCATGAAGTCCTTTGAGAACGTCTTGCTTCCCTCCATACGCGCCGCGAGTTTCGAAGGTCCAAAACATCTGATTCCCACTGCGCGGAAGTATCCCTCAATTCCATCCACCAGGGGCGCCTCTGGTCCGGGGACCACCAGGTTGATGTCTTTCTCCTGCGCGAGTGCAACAAGACCAGGATAATCGTCTGGTTTAACACTCGAACAATTGGTAACTTTCGGACAGGTCGATGTACCGCCATTCCCAGGAACAACGAGGATAGATTCTACCAAAGGTGACTGGGACAATTTCCAGGCCAGGGCGTGCTCGCGGCCGCCGTTACCGACTAACAAGACTCGAATTGGCTCCATTGTTGTAAAAGTGACGAGTTGTGAAAGTTGTTGTCGTTGAAAGAAGGGAAGAAAGCTCGTGACAAAAATTTCAGCCCTGCAAAAATGTTTGGCGGGGTCAATTTGGCTGCAGTTGGAAAATCAACCAGCCCCTTACATTAATAGAAATGTTTAAATCAGGAAATTTTCAATACCATTTAACAGTTCAATACATAATCTTATTTTAATATTCCTTTCGTATTTTATTACCAATGTTTAATGTACTTACAAGCAAAATGAGCACTCCCGGGCATGCATTTTTGCTTGGTGGGGTAAACGATGACCAGGCACACGCATCTGGTTAGTCGTGATACACTGAAAGCTGGGCTGAAATCAACCCCCAATTACTTTCTTTAACAGCCAGCACACTTAGGCTCCCTTAAAAAATAACATCAATTAATGCGCAGTCCATAGGATTACCCTCGATAAAATTGTAAACTTGATTGTCACTGCTATGGAAGTTAATATAAGAACATTGATTTTCGGCCCGGATTTCGGTGTATCACGACTAACCGGAGGCGCGTGGCAGACTAAAAATGACTGCAGACCACGAGGCTGGCGAAACACTTCATAGAAATTCCAAACATCGCCAGAAACCTCTCCTCGCGCTTATTTCCTCTACCACTGTCCTCTACACCTTGGGCACTGGCTCTTAAACCATGATCACCATAAGTACGTCCATGGCCTCTCCAAATGACCCATACTGACCCCACGGCAGAAGTACCCTGCTCCTCCGCAAACATTGGCCCTGGATTCGATGTCATTGGCCTTGCGCTCTCGATCTGGCTCGAACTTCGCGTTGAAGTGGTGAAATCCGAGGCGTCGGATGCTCCTCTGAACTGTGTGATAACGTATGAGGGAGAGGGCGCAGAGGAGGTGCCATTGAGCGCAGACAGCAACCTGGTCACGCGAACAGCCCTCTATGTGCTTCGATGCCATGGTCAGAGAGCATTTCCCGCGGAAACAAGAGTACATATCATAAACCCCATACCATTGGGGAGAGGATTGGGGTCTTCCGGAGCAGCAGTGGTAGCAGGTGTGGTGCTGGGAAACGAGGTGGGAAAGCTGGGACTGACTAAGGCTCGTATGTTGGACTATTGTTTGATGATTGGTATTTCCCCTCCCTTCTCTCTTCTTGGACATTGGAAAGTTAAAACGGAATAGAACGTCATCCAGACAACGTAGCAGCAGCCCTATACGGCGGTTTCGTCGGCACCTACCTGAACGACCTCTCCCCCGAAGACACCTCCCGCAAAGAAATCCCTCTCTCCGAAGTCCTCGTTGAGCCCGCCGGCGGAGTGGACACAGGAAAGGCACCACCAGAACCACCGCATAATATTGGACATTATATGAAGTTCTCTTGGGCCCCAGAAATAAAAGCCATAGCCATAATCCCGCAATTCGAAGTCTCGACCGCTAAAGCACGAGACGTGCTACCTACCTCTTATTCGAGGGCCGATTTGGTATTTAATCTGCAGAGGATAGCCTTGCTGCCAAGTGCATTAGGAAGGAGCCCGCCGGATGCAGAGCAGATTTATCTGGCCATGCAGGATAAGGTGCATCAGCCGTATAGGAAAGAATTGATTCCTGGACTGCCAGAGATTCTGCATAGTGTGACGCCGAAGAGTCATCCAGGACTTTGTGGGATCTGTTTGAGTGGAGCGGGACCGACCATTTTGGCGTTGGCAACAGAGAACTTTGAGGGGATTGCGAAAGTGATTTTGGAAATGTTCAAAAAGACAGGGATTGAGTGTACATGGAAGCTATTGGAGCCTGCGGAGGAAGGGACGACGGTTACATATGGCTAGACATAGAAGGGGAAATATCCCGCTAGAAAGCTCAAAAAGTACAAAAGTAGATCCATGGAGAGAGGGAATCGGGAGTACATTGACCTCAACTTTATTCGTTTCATTATACAAAGTTAACACGCTCAACGGACGTTGTTTCCATGGCCGCTCTTTCCCATCAGCCATCCCTAAACGCCTTGGAGCAAAACACTCGTACAAGCAAAATAATGGCAGAAAACCCGTCTCCCAAGCTCAACCCAGACCACCCCACGCACCCCTGATTCTTCTCGCCAGTTGAATATCCTTCTGCATGATCGTCACTCTCTTCGCATGTATCGCACATAAGCTAGGAAAAACAGCAAGTTAGCAATTTCCTCATAAGAAAGAGCTCATGGAGACACTTTGCTCTCTGGGACGTACTTTGTGTCCTCAAATAAATGCACTAAGAACGCCTCCGATGCCTCCTGCAATGCCTGAATAGCCTGGCTCTGCCATCTCATGCCCTCACCCGCCGGCCGCAACGTCAAAGCAATCTCTCGAACCTGTCCATATCAGCCCTCTATCCCCTTCCCTCTTCCCCTTCCCCTTGAAACTTACGAGACGCGAAAATGGCAGTTTCCTCAATAGGAGGTCCGTAGAGCGCTGGTATTTCCGGATCTCCTGAAGCGCGCGGGTACCAGGCTTAAACCGGTGTTTTCTCTTATTATGAGGAAGCGGGTCTCCTGCTACATTCGACTCAACATCAGCATCCCATTTCATCCCTCCCTTTCCCAATCCCCCTCAAGCTCTTCACGCGTGTCTCCATATCCAGGGCCAACTCACGTTCAATCGCATTCCCAGTACTAACTCTCTTCCCCTTCCCCTTGCCACCCGTACTAAGTCTCTTTCCCGCCTTCTTGGGACCCATATCGACAGGTACGCTCTTTCCGCCTGGTCGTCCTCTCTTGCGCGCGGAGCCGGGTGTCGATGCTTCGCCTAGGTTCTGGCGCATGCGCTGAGCTTGCGACATATTGCGAGGTGAGCGCGTCGCTATGAGTGTGGAATTTGGGGGGGGTGTTCGGATTGGGGTTGTGAGAGGAATGTGCTCGAATTGGGAGCAATTGGAGGTAATGGGGGTGGCTGGGAGAGGGTTCGTTGGCGCGTGAGCGACGCGAAGGTGGGAAATTTTTATGCGCAGCTTAAAACTCGGGCCTCGGGATTTAAGAGCAATTCTCTTGAAGCCAAAACTGAATTTCAGAATTCCGATCCGCCCTATGCAGGGAATTGGAAGATCTTGAAATCCGTTCAAGAACTTAGAAGAGGTTGCGATTTCGTGTGCATTGTTTACTTGCCGGTTGGTGCAGGGATATCGATGTGAGCGGGAGAGGCTGGTCGTTTGTGGCGGTGCCAGCTTAATCCGAAATGCCGATAACGCCACGCAGCTGTTCCCTATCGATCAATCATCACCTCGACGAAGAGGCCACTTCAACCTCGCTCATTCATACCCACCGCCTCACCCCCTCTCTTATCCCATCCAACTTTATGACTTTCGCGTCCCCATAGCCAGATTCTTATTTGACAATTCTACGACTTTACGATTCCACGATCAGAGAAGAAAGAGGGCAGATAGAAAGGATTAGAAAGCAACATGGACATGGACCAAATGGGCGCAATGGGAGCGCAAGCCGGCTTCCCCCTCGAGACCTGGTTCTGGGAGATGCCACTGTGCACCCGCTGGTGGACAACAGCTACGGTTTTGACCTCTGCGCTCGTACAATGCCAGATCGTCACGCCGTTCCAGCTCTTCTACTCTTTCCGCGCTGTGTTCTATAAGAACCAGGTACGTTACCCTCTCCCCCCTGCGAGCCTGCGAGCCCCTCACATCCGCCCCCTCCTCAGCCTCTACCATACCTGGATAGTGACTAACAAGAAATAGTACTGGCGCCTCCTCACAACATTCCTCTACTTCGGCCCCCTCTCTCTCGACCTCGTCTTCCACGTCTTCTTCCTAACTCGCTACTCCCGCCTCCTCGAAGAATCCTCCGGCCGCTCCCCCGCCCATTTCTCCTGGCTCCTCCTCTACGCAACCACCTGTCTGATCCTGCTCTCGCCTCTCGTCAGCATGCCCTTCCTAGGCCATCCTCTCAGCTCAACACTCGTCTACATCTGGTCCCGTCGAAACCCTGACACTCGCCTTTCCTTCCTGGGGCTGCTAGTGTTCACCGCACCATATTTGCCCTGGGTATTGATGGGGTTTAGCCTGGTGGTGCATGGCATAGTGCCTAAGGATGAGATTATGGGGGTGGTGATAGGCCATGTGTGGTACTTTTTCAATGATGTGTATCCGCCGTTGCATGGGGGGTCCAAGCCGTTTGATCCGCCGATGTGGTGGAGGAGGATTTTTGAGGGCCCGGTGAGAAGGGAGGAGAGTGCTGATGCAATTAATAATGAGATTGCAGTTGCGGCGGCGCCGGAGGTGAGATAGGGAAAGGCGTGTACATTTGATCCCATTTGGTTGGCATATCAGGCATTGAGGAGTTTGGGTGGGCGTTCAGGGAATGAGTGTTGATTACTTTGGGAATTGGGTGGTTAGAGAGAATAAGAGAAAAGCCTCGAAGGTTTCAGGTATTTAAAGCTGCCATTCATTCATGCTACGAGGTCGTGTCCATTCGTCCATCTTCGTTATCTTCATCTTTGTCTTCGTTAAGGTTTGCATCTGGTGCAACAGGGAAATGCAGGTGTTTCCAATCCTCCAGCTCTTCAATAATAGACCGCAATCGATCCCGGATACTCTCAATGGCATAACTCCCCAGCAACAACCGCAAAGGTGGATATGAACAGTGCCCCAGCTGCCATACCAACTCCGCACACTTCACTGCACTCGTTGGCTGCTTATCCCCCAACCACTGCACCATCCTCTTCGCATGCAACGCCGGGCTCGTCGCCTGACTATACGGCTCGCTCGCCGGCTTGATCAGAAAGTGGCCCCAAGTAGGCAACGGACTCGAAGCCCAATCCGGCTCGTCCCTCCTTACAAGTCCTGGCTCCACAAGCGTAGCTTTGATATTGAACGAGTCGATCTCATACAGCATCGCCTCAATCAGTCCCTCTACCGCATACTTCGTCGCACAGTACGGACCCAGACCCGGGACACCCAACGCTCCACTCGTCGAGCTAAAAATAAGATACCGTCCCGCGCCCTGTTCCCTAAAATACGGCAAACTCAGTTGTATAATATGCAAAGTGCCCATAAAGTTCGTCTCAAACTGATTCCGGACCTCATGTTCATCCTGGTCTTCGCAAGCACCGATGACGCCGTACCCAGAGCAGTTGGCAATCACGTCGATGCGACCAAAGTGGGAGAGAGAGGTGGAGATCACTTCTTCAACTGATTCTCGAGCACGTACGTCGCAGAGGAGCCCGAGGCAGTTGTCGTGCCAGTTTTGCATGCTGGCGAGCGTGTTCTCGAAGACGCGGCCGACGGCTACGACGAGGTCGCCGTGGTTGAGACAGGAGCGGACCAGCGAGCGGCCCATGTGTCCTGTGCTGCCGAAGACCTGGGTGGGGGTGTTAGTGAAGTGTCTTTGTAGTGTATTGCTCAATCATTGTCCCAAGCTGGAGATTTGAGGTGGGGGAAGGAGACATACAATCCACACAAGCTGCTTCGCAGGATTCCCAGGCACGGGAGGATCACAACTCATCGGCAGCTGCAGCTTCGACGGCGGTTTGTCTCTGCTGTCTGGAGACGGCATGGCCACTTCGCCATTCTGCAGCTGCGGCTGCTCGAATGCTGGATAATCGTATGCTTCTCCAAGGTTGACTCCATCTTGGAGATCCATGTGTGTCAAGTCTTGAGGGCAATCCTTGGCTGCACGGCATTCTACATGGCGGAAAGGTGATGGGTTGATTGGAAGAGACGGATGAGGTTAGTACAAATGCGGGAAGCACAAGGTAGGTGGCTGGGCAGGGGTTCGCGTTTGGCGAGTTCGTGTGACGACGCGCTGAGTAAGTTCATCTATAAGACTACCAGGACAACTTTTTGGATAACCTCGAAAGCTACATCAATTGGTAAGTTGGATTCTCTTCAATCTACAAGTCCTCCTTTCGCAATGTTCTGGGAATCGCTGCATACATTTTCTTCAATCACACGCAACGTTGACGAATGTGGTGTATTCACCCAACAAATGTTGAATTCCCGGCGCTTGAGCAATTTCGGGTCCTTGTGGTCCGAGAGGAATGGACAAACTCTCTTCCTTTGGATGTATTGAACCTTTCAACTTACCATATGCAAAACGACCACGATGACAACCCCAGCAACGAACTCCAAGCGGAAGCGGACCACAGACGAGGTTGCAGCTGGCTCCTCAGCGTCGCAGGAGAAGAAGGCCAAGCTGAGAGCACCTCATTTCTCGCAAGTGATCGCTCTACGGCCTCATTGTTAGGTTTTGCTAACGCATTACAGGGCACCAGCTGAGATGGTCACGTTTCTGGTTGGTAAAGCAGGAAGCGAAGAACCCTTTTTAGTCCACAAAGGTACGTTAATCTATTTGTCACTGCCAGAGCATCCGTTTTCGCCTAATGTTCTGCAAACCGCGGTTCATTCGTGTTCCTTTGTACTCCTCAGTGCCATAGTTCTCTCCCCTATAAGCAGTCGGATTTGCCTCACCTTCCCCACTGAAAAAGCACGGTATCCAATGCTCAACATCGTTAGAATTCGTTTGCTATTATTCGCCAGCCTTACGAGCCGCGTTCAATAGTTCCTTCGTTGAAGGCCAAACGCAAACTTATCGACTTGAAGATATCAGCACGAATGCATTCCGTCTCTTTGTGCAATGGCTTTACAGTCAAAAGATGGACCTTCATGTTGGCATCGACAGTGTTCCAGACAACTCTGTTCAACCTGTTGCAGGTGCTGGAAAGAATGGAAGCAATGGGCCCGGCAGTGGAAGCGATGGAAACGATGGAAACAAAGAAGACAAAGAAGAGGCTCGGAGAGCTCAAGACCTCGATCTTGCTCAGTTATGGGTAGTAGGCGACCGACTCTTCATACCCAGCCTTCAGAATGCTGTCATCTTGGCGTGGTATAAGCTCTGGCACAGCAATGACGGAAGGTCATGTTCCACGAGTTGGATCAATTACGCTTATGAGCATACGTGCGTAGGAAGTCATTTGAGAAACCTGGCTGTTGACGAGCTCGCGTATCCGGTCAACCCTGATGAAATTAAGAAGCACGCAGAAGAGCTTCCTCGCGAGATGCTCATTGATTTGACCCTAGTCTATTCCAAAGCTGTCTGGCCAATAGACGAGGAGGACGACTTCCAGAAGGAGTGGGCGGGCGAGTATTCGGACAAGAGGCCTGGCAGCATGAGGAGAATAGGACATCGATACCGATGTACCAGAACTTGGAGGAACTATCTCGTTCCGGAGGACGAAGGCTGAATGGCGCTCTGTTTTGGAATAAGGCTCATGGTTTCTACCATGTCGCTGAGGAACCTCGGAGATGGAGGATCCCTCTATTTACTTTCAAACCTGGTAGCGGAATGATACCCCTTGCCTAACGAATTATGAGTATTTGAAGAAAATTAGAGACGAAGTGTGCTTGGATCGCTCTGAAAAGATCGAATAAAATGTACTCCAAGCATTCCCTATCCTCACATCGTCTTCCCCAACCTCATGCCTGCCAAGTTTCGCAAGTGCGAATAAAAGAAACAAAGATCGCTTGCTGGAAACGAGCGCCCTATTCCCTTTATGATGCAGATTTTTCTGATAATGAGTCTGGTCCCGGGGCAGTTTCTTATCTTGTCAAATGGAATAGGACTGAAGCATCCATTATGCAAGGTAGCACCGAGTCCATGACATTTGTCCAATGGTCGTTTGCTGCGAGAAGAACTTAGCAACTTCTATGCTAGTCTACACCGGTAGATTAAAACTTACTCGGCGATTTTATCTTGAGTGCATAAACCTCTCTAGGGACGTTGCCTTCGATGACAGATTTCAGAGGTTCAATGAATGCCTTGCTGATCGGCGGAAGTTATTGGAATTCTCTCCTGGTCGTATAAGTCTGTACACACGACCTGGGTCGCTCCTGAAGTAGCCAAAGCTTACAATTTCCAAGAAGAGAAAACGAATGATGAGGAATTGCAAGAACGGTTGAGAATTTGGATTTTTTGACGTCCTAACCTTGATCCTATTGTACATTTATTCTACATGAGAAGCCGTTCCAACTTCGTTCAGAAGTGTAACCCGGGCAGCTTATTTCAAGATCTCCTTCTCATCGTTCTCTTTACTAAAGTCCTCACCCCCAACCCTGCGCCGAAAAGTAAAATGCAAGGACTGCATAGAACGAAAAAGGCCACCTCGCAGCACCTTAAAGGTGGGTCATGGTACTCTCTGGCCGTGGCCCGGTCGTTTACCTTCTGAAGTCAGAACCAGTCTCTTCCATTCGCAATCAACCTCATGAATTCAACATCTCAAGTTGTCCCCGGAGTGAAGTGGACGGGGAGGATTCATCTACTCACAGGCTCAGCACCGAACGCCCTCCACTCAACCTTGAACTCTCCAACCACCTTGCTCTCTATAGCCACATGGGCTTCATCCTGCCACGGTAACCTAACCACAAAATTCCCTCCCTCCAAGACCTTCACACTAGACAACCCCTTCAATATATTTTCTCCCCAAATCAGCTGATGGGTTTCATTCCAGAATTCGATTTCCAGATTCCTCAAGCCGGCCATCCTCGACAGTGCCATACAGCAGGTCAGCCAGTAGATCTCCGTTTCTTGCCTTTTGATCTGAACCGCGATGGGCATTTCACTTGGGTGAACGGAACCAAAGAGATGGATGTCTGGAATGATTGTTGTTACGTGCAAGCTTTGGATTAGATTAAGGTGCTGTGGAGAGACGGTGGTGAGGAAGCGGTGCATCGTGCCTAGCGAGGTGATTGCAAAACTGTGTTCACTGTACAACAGCCCAATTGCTTCTTCGTAACTGGGCGATGTTCTCAATTGAGAGTTCTTGAATCAGATTATGAAGTCACTCACATTCTTCGACAAGAAAGGAAAAAGTTCAGATATGTTCCTTGCAAGGGTGGAGGGGCTTGGCCGGTCGCCTTCCATCCTTGGCACCACTCGTGCTGCGTTGGCCAAGATGGAGAGTAGCCATATGTGTTTTGGCTCAATGGGAGTTGGTCTCTAGGTGGCAATGTACAGGGAATGTAGGTAAGTTGTGAGGTGACTTCTTTTTGTTTTCCGTAACGCTCAATTGGTTGCTGGTTCCGGCTGAAAATATGCAATTTATTGCCCCAGGAGAAGGAGGCTATCACCTCCTTGTAAATATGCTGACGAATTTCGAAGGGGAGGAGTGTGAGGAATGAGGATGCGAGCTGTGGGTTGGGAGCTTGAGAGTCAGTGGTTGCCCGGGATGTTGAGGGTCCTGAGATTTGGGGCTGTGAAAGGGACATTGTCGTGGTGAGGCATGCCTTTTCATATGATGTTAGGAACAGAATGCTAATTGATTCGGGACCAGAATTGATTCATGAATGAGAGCAACCCCTTTTATTTGCAGCTGAGCAGATGGGATGCAGTCAAAAGTGGCAATGTGAGACATCTGCAGCCTGATGGCTGATGGCGCCCGTATGACGGCGCCACATCAGCCCCCAGTCACATCTTGACCCCAAATCTCATCACAATTTCAAACTCACAGACCTCTTCTCAAAAGCCAAAATGTACGCCACTGGCTTAAATTAGCCACTTCGACAAGATATCCTCCTATCACTAGCGAAATCTCATTCCCACAGACGGCCAGGGTTTTGGCAAGATACCTTCGCCCCAGCCCAGTATCGTCAAATTAATCATGTTGCCAGACAGCATCACCAACCTCTACACCCCCCTTTCCGAGAATGAGATTCGAATCTAGCTCTCCTTCCTGGAAAGTTCGACGATCCCATGGAATGCCGTTTAATTCAAGGCCGTGACTTACCAGGCGGCGTTCCCGACGAAGCCCTTTCCTCCCCATCCAGAACACATGATCATTGTCAACGGAGTCAGAGCTGCAACCCGGGAAAACCTTCGGAATACTTTATGCTGACTTCGAAAGAAAGAAGGAGAGCGTCTCTTGTGGGTAGATGCTATTTGTATTTATGTCGATCGACATTTAATAAAAGGTTGCAGAAACTTGAGGGTTGAACCTCGATTTTCTGAGGGGTTTCATTTTGCGCGTACTAGCGTCCGCAGATACTTCGATCAAAACCGCCTTGCGGCTAACTTTTTCTTCTCAAGAGGTGGTAGGGACGTCAGCCATGCCGGCAAGTTTGTCACAAGTATAGCGGTGCAGCTTGCAGGTAGCTTGCAGACTTTGGAGCAGCATATTTATAACGCTATCTCGGAGGACACCAAGATCGCTAGCAAAAGTCTACGAGGCCAGTGGATTCAGCTCATTGTCGGACCACTCTCCCAGCTATCCGCCCGCTCCGTTCCGTTATCACTTCCATTGTAATCGACGCGTTGGATGAATGCGAAGTGGGTAATGATATTCGATCTATCCTTCAACTCCTGGCCGAGACAAACGCATTACGTACCGCCCGACTCCAGTTCTTACTACCTAGTCGACCAGAAACACCTATTATATTTGGCTTCCGCGCAATGCCAGGGATTATTCACCACGGTGGATTCATCATTGGCATTATCCGTCAAGTGGGAGAAGAACTAGCTCAGGAGAAACTTTGTATTAATAGTATTACCTGAGGGGAGAATCTTGTGGAAGACGTGCTGATATTGGGAGTTTTGATAAGCAATAATTAATTCATGCTGCCATTATTGGATCAAGTGACGCGAAATGAGCAGATCGTGCAATAGTAAGAGTTTTTGTCCGCATCTTTGAAATGTGAGACGCAATTATTTCACGGAGATAACAAACTGAACTAAACACCATCATATCTCTAGGCAGAGAACACGGATCGTGAGAGTTCGGTGTTAGTGGGCGAGAAAAACGGTTGGCTTGCGGCAAGAATAACGCTGAAATTTGGGCACTTACAGTCGTATCTCCTAGATCGGCAAGTGTGGTCAACGTGACTGAGGATATTTAATGATAAAGAATTGTTAATGTATCCCCATACAATATGTAGGCATAGGTGAGGGAATGACAGTTGCTGGGGAATATATAAGTATGAATCTGTATAACTTGAAACTTCGATCCTGCCTCGAAAATTTGATCACCTTTTATTTGCTCTCCATAGGAGTGTTGTTGCATTAAACTGAGCTTTCTTGCCTTCTTTCTGCGTACAAATCTGGGTATTAACCAAACTTTTTGAAGTGTTGTGTTAGAAAAATCAGCCACGAGCAAAAATTTCCTGGGAGCTGGAACGGATACGCGCTTCAATCTTGGCTATTATTCTGGTAGACATTCTAAAGGATATTCATGATTCACGCTGACATTGGAAATGATCTCAGGATGCTTTTCCCTCATATGTCTGAGCAGATTCGCATGTCCAGAGTAGCCATTTACTCCCTTTCTTCTACAGTTGGGAACAGAACAGTCGAATAGACTCTCTCCATGCACCTCCCTAAGATGTTTCGTATAGTGACTAAACTTCGAAAATGCTCGAACACTACTCATTGGGCCTTCGGCGAAGCTGCAATTCCTGTGTGGGCAAAAGCCAGGCACCAAATCCTCCTGGCTCAAAGAGTGCACTCTCCGCAAATGCTGGTTTAAGTGGTCCTTGCGCTTGAATGCCCTCTTACCACAATATCTGTCGCAGTGTTGACATGGGTAGCGCGGCTCTTCGCTGGTGGACTTCTTGTGCGGTTTCGCTGCTGATCGGTGCAGGGAGTCGACCAACCCGGGTGTAGCTGGTGTGATTGATGCCGGGCTCAACTTGGTTGAGGTCGAACTCGGCGACCCTTGTTCTGGTGAATGCGATGGCAAGGAGATCGCGTTCCGCGGCTGGGAACCAGAAGATTCGTAGCTCAATAATGGCAAGGGAACTAATTGTGGAAGGGTCGTGGCTTGAAAAACGTCTACTGAACTCCAAAATTGATTCCAGAAATCCTCGTCTGAGTCACCGTCTGGGGTCTTTTGCAAAGCCCTTGCAAATGCCTCCTGGTCTATCTCAAGATCCACGGAGGAGGAAACATCGCAGCGATCTGAAAGGGGTATACTCGGACTTGCAAAGATTTCTACCCCATTGTTTGCTGGCTCAAACGGCGCTGGTACAATCGGGTCGGTAGCAATAGAACCAGAAGATGAAACGGTGGTAATGAAGCTCTCATCGGAAAGGGGTGGGAAAGTGGCTTTAAGAAAAGCCAAATCAGGTTGCCCATGTAGACTCGTGCCGTTACTTGGCATTGTTTTGGTTGTAATTCCATGAGTTTGAGAGAGCCCTGACAAATATTCTAGAAGGGATTTGGTTAGACTCCACAAGAATTAAAGTTCGCAAATCAAATATTTACCTAGATATCTAGAAGGCTGTGGTATGCTGCAGTCGCATCTCAAATTCATATGGTCGTCTAGCTTGCCTGGAGGCATTGTCAGCACGTGTATAGAGTCGACCTGTAGTGAACTCAGGTTGGGCTATGGGAATCACTTACAAGATCTCTTTCTCTTGCTATCATGCAGCTGGCATAATTGGGGAGCTTCTGGTGATGTTGATTTGCGTTTCAAAGCTCGGCAACAAGGGCAGGACGGAACCGAGAATTGATACCCGTCACACCACTGATTATGATCCGAACAAGATTCTGAAAGCTTGATATCGGTACAGTTTTCATCTCTTTCTACTGATATTTCTGTCCCAGATGGTAGCCTCAATCCACTGAAGAAATCGTATCCATATTCAGGACTTTGTGATGAATAAATTCTGGGAATCTCCCATGATTCCATCGACCGTCCTTCGTCGGCTCCCGATAGAGAGATTTGAGCCGTTTGCACTTGAGGTATTGCTGTCGGCATCGGCACGAGTGGTGGAATGCTCTTCCTAATCTTTCTGGACTGAGCGTTTGAAGTGAAGACCAAAGTTTGTGCTTTCCGTCTTCCCATAGCATGCTTGTTGCAAAGAGCTTCTTCGACTTTTCTCAGCGCAGAAGCTTTTTGTAATGTGGAGAGAAGCCCTGTGTAGTATGGGTCAAGATGCAAGAGGGAGACGCAAGGTAATAGAGAAGAAATATCTCCCTGAAGGGCTCTTCGGTGGGCCAGGGCGGTGGTGGCGAATCAGGATCAAAGATGTCCACGCACGTCTTGGGTCAATGGTCGTGTCAGCCATCCTTGTCCTCCAGTACCCTGCAAGGCGCGAAAAGATGTGGTCACAGCCAAAATGCACCAACAAGCGCACCGTATCGTTTCTGCTCGACTTTTCCCCTACAAGACTCAAGTTTTACCCTACGGTAGGGGAAAAGTCGACTCAACATTGCTCTTTGTGGAAATGTGATGAAACATCGAAAGTTATCCCCTATTTCGACTTGATAAAAGCTCAGCAACTTCCGTTTTCAACATGCTTGCGGCCATGTTCTCTCTTCGGCGACAGCAATCATTAGCTATCTTACCTCTACAACTTTCAATCCGACCCTCGCAGAATGCCTTCCTTGGCACGAGCCTTAGCGGGGATGTTCGGCAAGACCCCTACTGCCGCTAAGAAACGCCACCACAATTTTCCCGCCGACGACACGAGGCTTTCTTGACGTCCCACATACCAACAACTGCATTTCGATACATACCAGCAAAACTCGACAAATCTTCTCAAAAGCTAATTGGCACTATGCCTCAAAATAGAATATCATCTGAAATATGGTGATTGTTGAGAGCAACATCGGGACTTTTTCAGCCTCCTCCTCACCCTGCAGTGCTTCATCATGATGGAGATGGCGCAGCAAGGCTCCCGACCCTCGCTTCTACGCTCGTTGTCATCGCCGTCCCGGGCGTTGCGCCATACGTCTTCCTGTCAATGCGTCTCGAGGAGATAACTGTTCATTGGTTTGATGCAAAACACTAGGCTCCCCCAGCTGCTCACACCAGGGTCATCTGTGTGGGTTTGTGTCATTAGGTGCTCTCCTGAGTGGTGGGGGATCCCAGCCTAACGCCAGCCATGGCCTGCAGACAGTGCCAGCAGGTGATGCTATTGTATGCTCTCCTAAGTGGTGGGGATTTCAACCTAACGCCAGCCATGGCCTGCAGACAGTGCCAGCAGGTTTTGATGCTATCGGGTACTCTCCTGAGTGGTGGGGGATTCCAGCCTAACGCCAGCCACGGCCTGCAGACAGCATCAGCAGGTTTTGATGCCATCGTGTGATCTCCTGAGTGGTAAGAGATCCCGGCCCAACGCCAGCCACGGCCTGCAGATAGCACCAGCAGGTTTTGATGCCATCGTGTACTCTCCTGAGTGGTGAGGGATTCCAGCCCAACGCCAACCACGGCCTGCAGACAGCATCAGCAGGTTTTGATGCCATCGTGTGCTCTCCTGAGTGGTGCATTGGGGATACGGACATGCACTAGTCTGGGAACCCCAGTTGGGTTCGTTGCCCTCCCGTTACCGGAACGTCTTGAGCACAGCGAGGAGAGCGCGATATTCGCTGCTGGTCACAGATGGCCTAGAGCAGTGACCTTGGCTTCTACTCCCCGGATGGAGCACATCGACGTTGATAAAGCAGGTCAAAGATTCGACGCTCTGAGGAACTCCATCAGCCGTCAATGAGAGGTTGGAAGTGGAATGCCGGGGTTATTCTCAGATATTGCGAGCATTGGTTCACTTTTCCGGTCGACCGCGAGTCTTCGGGAGCAACCACAGTCTGCCTTGCTCTTTTACGGGCCGTCAACCACCTATCATCTCCCCTCCGTGCCCACCCTCCTCTTTCCCAGGCTGCTGTGAGAGCCAAAAGCGGCGGGAATGGGTTTTCCCCGGGCTCCTCATGCAACTGAGTGAGCTAGACTCGGACCATTCCAATGAAAAGCTGCATATTCACAAGCAAGAACTTCCACTAAACCTTCTTGGTCCTGGTCGTTCTTTTCCCATCCAAGAAGTGGTGTCTGAGCAGTCTGGCTGCTGGGATGGGTCCCACTTCCTGAAAATGTCGGCTCAACTCGGATTCGCGATTGAGAGTCGAGACACCAAAGGAGATCTATCTCGCGATTGTCGACTCCCTCCACTAAGCCCTTTTGGTTCTCGTTAATTCCTGCCCCTTTGACAAACAATGCTTGAAAGCTCAAGCCGCGACGATGTGTTCCGGGCCTCGAGATCAACACTGTGTAGATCCATGACCAATTATCAGCGCTTTGAATTCAGTGGATGTTCGCTAAATTTTGCAACTCTGTGTAAGCTGTGTCGGCGAGGAAGAAGCACAAATCTTCGAACTCGTCTCTTTCTGTCCCGTCAAATCTTTTGTATAGCTTCCCACACCTCAGCTTAACCACGGAATCAGCACCAAAGCATCTCCAAATCGCTTCATTGCTTAGGGATTTCTGCTCATTCAAGCTCTCAACACGAAATCTCTCGTTGGTGCTGAGCTTCTGTGTTCGACAATGTCCGTCGTCACCGCTCCGGCTCCTGTGGCTGTTAGACACGCTGCTTTTCGCCAGGTCAGTTAAGCGGTTTTATTCAACATCTTGTTATCAACGGCAGACGAGCTTGATACTGACAAGACACAGGATGGAGAAGCAAGCAATGCAACTCTGAGCCATGACACTGGGGTTGTCGCTGGCAGAGAGACGTCAGATACCAGTCGTAAGTTGGAATGCCACCAAAAGCTACTTCTCTTACATTGAGGACTGCACTTACTATCTCTCCCCGAATCAGATCCTCGTCCGTTGCAACGATCCGCAAGGACAATGTCTTCGGCTGCTCCGAGCGGAAAAACTATGTCTCTCCATCACGCTGCTACCGACGAACTTCGCTCATCCCAGAGCGATTTCCGTGGCCGTGGGACTGCATGGGCAATTATCTGTATCGCCCTATGCGCCGTCACCGGGTTCACCTTTGCCTACTTCTATACGGCTCATTTTGAATGGCAAGCGAGTTCTGTTTGGGCATTGGTCTCGGCTTCGATTCTACGAGCCGTCGGCCTCTGTGCCGTCATGGTCCCGGCTCTGTTTCGCAGGACAGGCTTTCGTCTGGAGCGTCGACGCACTTTCGTCTTTCTATGTCTTCTGAGTCTCATGTCAGTGGTTGCAGCCTGGGTACTTTGGCACTTCCGCTCCCCCAAGTGGCCGCAGGTTCTGCTCACGGTTTCGGACGTGTTCTCGGCCATCGCAGGTGCTCAATTGGTGATATCTAGTGCCTATGAGCTGACGGCGATGCCCTACGATTCGATTGATATGGATGCGCGTTGGGCAGAGCTAGAAGCGCAGAACACCCACTAACGTCAAGAGCATGATCAGGATCACACTCTGAAGTTCGAGATGTCTATCGTAGAGGCTCACAATCACGGTATGAGAGGTCTTTTTCACTCGTCGCTTGGTTACTTGTCGTTTCATCCCCAGTGGGTCCAAATAAACACTGGGTGGGGGGTTTTTTTCTTCGTCACTTGTTACGTTTTCGTCGATTTTTGGCTCGGCGCTGGGATGACGAGCTGGTAAAGTGGAATTGGGGTTAGGTACTGTAATGGAGGTTGGAAGGTACTGGGAATCCATAGCTTTGTTGCAATTTACGATACACGCTTTATGAGAATTGGTTTCTTTGAATACTCCACTGGTGTCTTGATGAGGCTCAAAGTCACAACACCCACACAAGTTCCCAAACCACGGCTGCAGGCGGAGCCCGCCAGTCGCCGAGCCATGCTGGAGAAAATGGGGTGGGTGAGGCTAAACAGGGGAACGTGGCTTAAAGCAGCAGCGCGCGGTGCAAGTGGCGGCAGGGAGGCAAGGGCTGCAAAACAATTGGCCAACCAAACGCGCATGATGCGGCGGGGGCAGTGCTTGGACGAGGCGATCGCTATTGGTCCATATGGTGACACAGCGCTTCCCGGAGGCACCCCCCTTTTCGTCCAACTTCAGACACACTTCACGACATGCCCAACACGCATCACTCGACACCTCACACCTCACGCATCACGCATCACTCGACAGCTCACGCCCCAATGGCAAGAAATGGAAAAACGCTACTGTGCACTAGCGCTGTTGACATCTCATCCTTGTCAAGGATCTCCATGTTCCTGGGAGAAGCATCTCGCCATGATGACGCGAGGCCTGGGCCTTGGAGGAATGCCGCAGATGAGAAGCACCATCAATGGAGCCTCTCCTCTGCGTCGGTCCCCTTCTCCACCGCTCATGCTCGTCTCTCCCTAAAATTTCTGGCCGCTCTTTTTACCCGGCTGGCCCAAGCCTCCTCCAGTGTTTGGACGCCAGCTTCCAGCAATGGTCAACTCTGCCGACCTCGACCTGTTTTGCCGCTTGAGGTCCCTCCGATCACGAATCTCCAATCAAGTACACTCCCACATTTCCACGCCGCGCATGACCCGTACGTCAATGGACTTTGAAAAGCGATCTGGGTATTGTCCGTCTTGGCTCTCCCCTTCCCTTTTTCTCTGGAAACTTTGCCGTGGCATTACAGAAATCTCCATGGCCAATCATTCCGGCCTACGCCCTACACCGGACAATCTGATCTCGAGACACTGCGTCTAGCGGGACACTCTTCTCTCCCGCACAAATACCAGCTACAACACTTGTGAGTATTTGACCTTCCCGTTACCTTGAAGCTGCTCTTACAGATGATAAGGTCATACTGCACCAGAATCAAATCTGTGAACCTCCTGCCCCGATTTTGGCCTGGCACAGCAAAGTCAATCACCATCCTCTGATGAATTTTTCCTGCTGATCACGCTCCACTGTCGATATTCTCCCTGACAATGCCCGATCAACCTTTCAACTTCCCACAATGCGTCATAATCTTCTGGTTTCTCATGCAGCAGGCAGACGAGCATGACCGCTGGTTGGAAAGTAAGGGTCTCCCAAAGCGCTTTCAGAGCTCCCAGGGTGAAGCGGAGCGTTACAAAGGATGGATATTCTGGACGTTTCTCAGGAGGCGCAATGCCCGTGAGATGAAAGATGTTTTTACTTCACAAGGATGGTCTGCCACGACCAAGTAAGTTTCCTCAACCTGCCCTCACGGATAATGCCATTGACAAGAAGAAGTGACCGTTGGTTTGGATATAAGCTCAAAGCTTGGGGTTGGCCGAGGCCACCCCAGGGCGAGCCACCGCAGATCCTGGAAGCCTTCTTTAAATTCCTTCTCGACCTCGTCCCCGCCACCGAGATCGCTTTGAATAGAGACGGTATTTACCTAACATTGCATACCAGTCTATTTACTAACACAGTGCCAATTAGATCCGAGACTTTCCGACTATATCAAAGTCGGCGGTTGGGCTATGTTACCTAGGGTCAATCTTGATCACGAACCTACTTTCCGTGACTTCGAAGATCAAGCCATTGCGCTTCTTGGTGGCAACCAAGCCTTGTTATCGCAAGAAACTGTGAACCCTTACGGGCCGGTGAATAGTTTTAGTCCAAGTCCTGGTCCAAGTCTGCCAGCCATTGCTCACCGATCTCTCAAACGACTACCACCGACCTCCCCAGAACCACCAGGCTTCACGAACGTACCCACTCCTGATCCCAATGCACCCAACCACCCTTCATATTCTCAGCAATCTGGAAAGCGGAAAACACAACCCAACGAAGTCTCAACCGCCATCAATCGTAGCAACCGACCCTTTGTGGCAAGTCAAGACACGGATCATCAGTCAACTTTGGGACACACTCATTCCGCACATAACCCAAGAGAATCAGCATTGAAGAACATCGCGCATGTTGGCTCTCAAGCGCTGAGCAATTTCCCATCCCATCCCCTGAGGCAGCTTCATCCTAGCCCGGATTATCGACGACACCAAAACATTTCACCATTAATAGCCCGCTCCAAGCTGCCGCAACGGTCGCAGTCCGAAGGAGCGCAGGGTGGTAGTACTCATCAGGCGGCACCTACTCCCAAGCGCCAAAAGGCGGACGCCTCCAGTCCCGCTTCCTTCGACGGTAGCATCGCAACTTCGAGCAGCGCTTGGAGCCCATACTCCCAATCATCTCCTTCCACCAGCATGACCTCGGGTACACCATTGCAAGCTTGGTCGGTGAGCTCATCTCCCACGCCCTATTCGCATGGAACCAGACCAGGAAAGGAGCGCTCGGCACTTGATATCGAGGGGGATACGGAAGTTCCCGATCGACCGTCACTAATGTCTCCTGGTGCCGTGGTGCAGTTAGAGCAGTTGGAAAGCGTTTCGGAAGCCTCCACATCAGATCGCCGTTCAATCACTTCACGACACACTCTTCCACGTCGAGCTCTTGCATATGCTGACCCGCCCATGGAAAGCCCAGACGATGAAGCTGGCGGTCACACTCGAGGTGTTGCGAGTATTGCCCATGAGGCTATTCAGGTGCAAGATGTACAAACCAACGATGCTCTTGTCGAGGCCGAGAAAGCAAGCAGCGATAGCGGATCTGATATCTCTAGTACGGCGACGACGGATGAAGACGGAGACTCGCTTCTCGACTGTGATGGAAGTCGTGCGAATGCGGACGACCATGAGTATATATTGGGTAAGTTGATGGTCGACGATTTGATTCGCCTGAGTTAGTGAATCAGAAACAAGGACACCTTCTCTAATGGCATGGGCAAGAGGGTGTATTTAAATATTGTGTATATACCATCTTCATATCGTGTCATCTACCTGCGGGATGTTTAACTTGGTGCCATTTGGCGGGAATGACATGCACCTTTATGCTTTGCACCATGCTCCACATTTTTTCTTCGTGCGTACACTACGTGTTTTCGGATACCTGATGAAAATCAGCACATTGGTAGGTGCGTCAGAGAAATGCACACATCGCTTGAGCTTATAAGATTATAGTTCATGTAATCTTTCCAGACTCAACAGCTACTCTCGCCTGCTGCATCTGCTCTTGATTTCGGCGGATTCGCAGACAATGAGTGCTCCAGACTCGAGGCAATGTGTCTCTATATTTAAGAAAATTCCGGCTGGTTGATCGCTTCTAGCTTGGAGCCTTGTACCCATTAACATCCGTGCCGATCACGGCTCTCAACGGCGGGTCCTTTGTGATCGCAAACTCGTACATCGCCTTGGCTCCTTTCGGAGGATCACCAGCCTGCGTCCCATTTCTCTCGTCCATTTCCTTCTTCGCATTAATGTGGCCGTATACGAATAGTGTGAAATGAATCATCATATAAAGTCACAAGGCCTACGGTGATATTTGTAAGATGGTTTTCGTACACCAAGTGGTTGCTCCCGCTCCCCGCTTTGGTGTTTCCGAAAGTTGAAATATCATCACCTGAAGTTCTCTTCTTATAGTCATGACCCTGCCATATCGTTGCCTGCTATTCTATTCTCCAAACATGTTTTTCAATTCCTGGAATTTAAATAGAGACGCACAGATGAATCGTGGGGATCGCAGTCAGGTCAGGAATCAAGTCGATGATGGAGATTACTGAACCCTATTGCTATGGGATAACTACCCTTACCGCGCAGCCGCAGCTTGGGCGTTATGCTACGGCCTTTGTTTACTAGGTAATGCACTCAATACCTTCCTTCAAGTCTTTCGCACGTGAGCCATTCAAAAGTACGACAAAATTCGCTCTATTTCTAATTAATATCTCAGGGCACAACTCGAGAGGTCCACTGCGCTAAAAGGTGAGAAGACAAGTACGGTCATTGACGAGGCTGTCTCGTCTGCATCCAAAACTTCCTCCCGGATTCTGGCCTGGCCCGCAATCCAGAGAGCGACGAAGAAAATACTTCCGTTAAAGATTCAGGCTTCGGGGATGCCTCTTCAAACGCCTCTTTTTGCTATCACATAGGCATTGCCCGGGCCTACCTTAAGCGCCAGAAAACCACAGCTGACAGTACTGAGTTTCAGGACTCTCATAATAGGAAAAGTAGTAACGTATAAATTACAAAATTGCCCTGATATTGGAAGAAATCTAACACTTGTACAGTCGTACTGTTACTGCAACACTCTGCTGGTATCGTTGACCCATCATGGATGCGCGAGCTGAACAGCTTGCAGCAAAACCTGTATAAGTGCCAATAGAAGCCCAGCACCCCCAATAACGATAACTGCCCAGAACGTGAGCCAACTTGCAGAGTCTCTCTTGTCTTTCCACAGCTGTTTCCAATCTCGCGGCTTCATATTAGACATTTGGTGGCTGAGAGTAGCTAGCCGACTGCGCAAAATCGGGAAGTCTCGTTTGAGCCGATAGAAGTCCCGCTCCTTGAAAAGCTCTGGAAATTGATGATCCTTATTAGAGCATAACTGTTGTAGTATTATGTCATCTGCGCTGTTTATCATCTCTTTGAACCCCCTCCTAGACTCCTTGTCTTGCCCAAACAACAGGCGGTAAGAAAGGAGAATTTCATGAAGAAACTGTGATATCTCAACTTCAGATGCCCATTGGGAATTGTCATCGTCTTGGGTAGCGCAACTACAAGTATTAGCCAACCGATGAGATATTCAAGATTAGAGATTACTTACTTGTATATCATGCTGCGCATGCCAGATTCTTCCAACAGTGATAAATTCGCCATGCAAAAGGATGGGTGCCGAAATATGTACAGTTTGTTCGTCGCTTTGTCGAATTCAAGGTGGGGTGCCATCACATCAACCCATTCGACATCAATCCTCGCAAAGCGGTGGAGAAGAGACACGTTGATCTCTTCTGGCCTGACGATATCGATCTTTTCGTATGCTTGTAGGTCCTCAGTATCTTCACTGACACATATATTTTCTTTAGGAAGCATGAGCCCGAATCCCAAGAGAAAATCAGAGAGCGGACGTTTAACCGTAGAATGGTCCTGCTTGAATTTCATGAAGGCCTGGCCAGTGTATCCGTCCATCACATCGGCGAGCGCCATTAGCTGCAATGGGCAGGTCCCCAAAGCCGGCTGGAAGAGCATAGTTTGCCATCCCAAAATGGCGAATGCAATCGATCTTGCAATGAGTCTCTCATCTTGATCCTTTCCGGACTTTACTAGGTCCCATCTCAGTAAATGCGAAGCCAGGTCATCAATGCTGGTCCCCGGGGCCGTTTGAAGCGCGACTTCCTTGAATATTTCGGGCAGTGATTGTACACAATCTGTGATCCATGGTGGAATAGCCTCGAACTGGGTCTCCAACCACTTCGGGTACCAGTCGATTGCATTGTCCAGTTTACCAGACAATAATTGAGAACAGGTGATTGTTTTTTCGCCACCAACCAAAGCGTAAAAGGCGATGTCGTCAGAAACAGTTGGCCCTGTGGGACTTCATATTAGCTGAGGTGCATGATAGGAAACTCAAATTGCAACATACGTTTGACCTCCTGTCCGGTGATAATTTCCCTTAGAGGCATCGTCCAAGAAGGCGCTGCGTCACATGCACGATTGAATCGTAGAATCATCATAACACCCAGGTGGAGGTTGGTCCTGCGTCTTATCAATGCCAACCAACCCCAGTTACCTTTGTGTAACTTCGTGTTTCAGGAAGTTCTCGAAAAATCCAAGAAGGAGCAAACATAATAGTTCATCTCTGTTTTGGGCCTATTCATCCAATGGAACCGCCTGCGTATTGATAGGCCTAGCGGACGCATGTTCCAGAGCACATATTGACCTGTTAGAGGTTCTGTTGAGTTGACTCAGCCATCTAAGGTTAAATGATGTGTAAATTATTTGGAGATGACATTCAAATATTAACTTTGGTTCTGCAAGCTCGAATAAAAGGGCGGATTAAGCGTTTGCGGAAAGTGTGTTGGAAAGAAGTAATGTGAAGCTGCTGGGAGCCTTTATGGCTAGTGAATTAAGAATAAGAGTACACCGAAGTTGAGATACCGATCCACCACCACATCAGTTATGCAGCAGCCCAAGGTCAGCGGGATGGGCGGTCGGACGCCCCTGTCGGAGTCCAGCGAGTTATATCGCTCCCTCAAGCGCCAGGATGAATGTGTGTAACATACAGCGGGGCACAGGCGCTTCACTAGCTTACAGCGTGGCTTATCACGAAGTGTCTCGCAGTCGCACCTGCAAGCCGAGTATGAATGTGAACAGGACCTCTTTCTCTCCCTCTTGATCCTAGATTGCAGCGGCTTGCTTTTCAACAGTGCCTCTAGTGCTCATCTGAAAGATTCTTCTAAGCCCATACCCGCCATTTCATCACTGTAGCTCTGCCGCTGTAGTTGTCGATTAACACAATGGGCTCCGCGGGGTAGGTCTTCAGTCAACGTGTGATCGCAGGGGACGGAGGGGACCTTGGTGTGAGCCTGCTAACGATCAAATTACAGCCGTCTGCCTTCGCAGCAACGCCCACTCCTATCCCAAGCCCTCGATCGATTCCACTCCGAATTGAAGAGCGATGACGAGGCAATTCTTGATGTTGATAATGTTGAGGAGCTGCTTGCCCAGGCGAAGGCTATGGGGCCTGCCTTCCCGGGCAGAAACAAGCTATCATCGTTCAAACGCCTTGAGTTAATCCTGCCACATATAAACGATTTCGCTGCAATCATAGCTGTTTGTAGCGGTGCTGATGCCAAAGCGACGGGTCTGGTATGGGGCAGCTTGAAAGTCGTCTTCATGGTAGCGCCTGCCTGATCCACGCCTTCGTCTAGCACAAAACTAATAGCACCTACGCAGTTAGCATCTCCCTCGAGCGACACTCTAGAAGACATTATCAATATGTTAGACGAATTAAGCCTGTCCCTTCCACGATTTCGCTCGTATGAAGAAAATCTACCAATAGATGACGCGCTCGAGTCTGCACTGATCGAAGTATACACGGAAATGACCTGTTTCTGTGCCCGCACAATTAACTTCTTCCGGAGCAACCCGCATCGTAAGCCATTGTGTTCACCCTCGGATCTGATGTTCAACTAGACTAATACTCTTCAGGCCCCTTGATCAAAATGAGCTGGCCAAAATTTAACAACGATTTCAATCAGACAATAAAGAGACTGAAAAAGCTATCCCGCGTCGTTGATACAAAAGCAGAAGAAGTGCGGCTACGAGAAGACCGCGAGAGGAATACAGAGCTGCTATCAGCAATGGAGCTTATGAAAAATACCAAGATTGCAGACGAGGTGCTGCCGTGCTATCTCATACCCTTCGGCGTGGATGAGCAATTTCATGGCAGGCTGGATATTTTGGAAAAGATCCAAAACGGATTACGCCATGAGAATGGGGCTTTAAAAGTCAGTGTATTATGGGGAATGGGCGGCGTCGGCAAAACGAAGATTGCTCTCCAATACGTGAACAAATCCAGACAAGACTTTGACGCGATTTTCTGGATTTCCGCAGATAACTCAATTAAACTTACGCAAGATTTCCTCGAAGCCTCCAAGAAACTGCATCTTTCCCCCAACGTAGAGGATGCGCAAGATGCGGTTGCAGCAATGTCCAAAGTGAAGACGTGGCTTTCTACCACCAGTAAGTAATTCTAAATGGTCGTTTTCTGGATAAATCCTGACGGAATAGATTGCCGATGGCTTGTCGTGTTTGACAATGCCGACGATCCAGATATCTTATCCAACGCTTGGCCAGGTGCTGCAACTGGATCTATCCTCATCACCTCAAGAGATTCGACTGCCGCATTTGGTACTTCTGCCGAGACTATTCATGTTCTCCCTTTCGATGAAAATACAAGTGTTGAAGCTTTTATTCGCCTCGTTGGCCGAGATCCCAGCTCCACCTCTGACAGACATGCTGCCAGGGAAATATCTCGAGCACTGGGTGGCCTACCTTTAGCAATTAATCAAATAAGTGGTTTTATCGTTCAGCAGAAGTTGGCTCTCAAAGACTTCTTACCACTGTATCACAAAAATGCTGCAAAGATCGATGCACGAAAGTTGAAGCGAGGGGACTACGGTCACACTCTTAGCACTGTTTGGGGACTTTCCTTGGCGCAATTATCCGGTATATCAAGTACTTTGCAAAAACTCCTCGCCTTCTTCGATCCCGATAAGATCCACGAGAGTGTGCTCCTAGAGGGTGGTGAGCATCTTGAGGACGAGAAATTTGGATTCCTTAGGGATGACATGGAGTATGCTTATCATTGAAATATCCACGAACATTGCTGACAGATCAAGTTTTCTGGATGCCAAAGAGCCTCTTCTTAAAGCCGCCTTGATTGATCGGTCCAGCGAGGCAGAATCTCTAGCAATTCATCGCTTGGTACAAGCAGCAGTGATGAGACGACTTACTGAGGAGGAGAAGATTGATTACTTTGATGTTGCAATCACGATCTTGAGCAATGGGTTTCCTAACACCTGGAACACGGTCACGAGCCACCAGTTTACGGCCTGGGCGAAATGCGAACTGTGCTTACCACACGTCAGTTTTCTAATTGAGAAGACTAAAAAGTATAGCTTAAAAGCTAGTGATCCGAAGATGTTCTTCGAACTCATTCTCCGATGTTGCTGGTATGTCCTCGTTTGTGCCCATGGCTTTATTCTTTGGACGCTAATGTGAGGATAGGTATCTCTACGAGCGAGAACACTATAGTGAGGCACGCCAATTTATGAAAACAGCTCTGGAGAATCTTGATGAGAAAGACTCTCTTATGTACGCGAGTGCCGCCATGCTTGACGGTCTGATTGAACTTGATACGAATAACATCTCCAAGGCACTTGACTCATTCCTTCTGGCTTTCAAGATCAGGCAGCCCCTTATGGATCTGGATGATCCTTTCATTGCGTCTAGCCTCAATGCTCTGTCAATTGCATATACAGAGCTCGGTGACTTCGGCAGAGCCGTAGAAACAGGTCAAAGAGCTATTGATATACGTCTTCGTACCAAAAGCGATCGAATCGGTAACTCGTATAGCAATATGGCAAGTACACTCATGCGAATGGGCAACGCAAATGAAGCCGAAGAAATGCTCAAGAGGTGTCCTTCTCTAAAAGACTTCACCGATGAAACTTTCTTGCAGACCGGCAACCCCCGTTTCTCTGGGTAAGTTCAAATACTAAGAGGCTTCGAAAAAGCGACTGATAGGCAGCAACAGGGACATGGTTCTACTGGCCCGAATCCGTTTGCAACAAGGTCGGCTTGATGATGCGTTACGTCTAAGTTCCAAGGCTCTTGGGTTCCGTCAAAAGCTCCTTGGAAGTCGATTCAAAGTATGCGACTCTCTCTATCAAGTCGCAAGCGTGCTTGAAATAAGGGGTGATCTTAGTTCCTCTATGTGAGTCGCTTCCTAAATTATGCGTAGCCTAATTCTTTTATATAAAAAAAACTGACTTTGGGACACAGTAATTTACTAGAAGAATCTGTGTCTATCGCCGAAGCCATTCCCGAAGCAAAAGGCTATGAAGCTAGAGCTCAGTTCAGGTTGTCTCGGCTTTATACGACGCTGGGCAATGAAGAAAAGTCTCAACGATTTGAGATTGCGGCGAAGAAAGCTCACGGCGAGATTTCTCACAATAATCTTGAGACCGATTTAACGGAGAAAGATTATGATAGCTTAGTACTTTGGATGCTGTGGTGAAAGAATCAGTGTGCTCAATAGAAATCTCAACCATGATTCACGCCTTCCTCGACATGAAGCCATACTTCGCGAAGGGACTGGAATCATCTGTATCAAAACCACGTGAGGTGAAAATTTCCATGTCATCTCCCAAGCCTAAGCGCGCATGTAAGCCACGTGGCAGACGGAGCCTGCTTTTGTGCCGCCAACATCCCCGCTTTCTACACGCCTTATTGACGTTCATTGCCCGCAAGATCGATCCCCATCGTCAAAGCCTCTGATTGAGGCCCCATGAGCTTATAATTCTCCTGGACTACTTCCAAAGGCGCCAGTTGGTCTCTTTTGACGAAGTTGGAGGACAATGGCGCAAAACGACCCTGTGGCCATCAACAAGTCACCGGAAGTGTCTCGACTAGATATCCAAAAAGCTTTCACAAGCTTGACACCTAGGGAGAAACTCTACGCTCACCACTCAGCCAGGTACATTTGCTTTTGGTGGCCCCCCCGTAGACCGTGCTGATCGATCTGACTTTCTTTCTAGAGCTGCATGGAGCTGTGCACCGATCATCTTAAACCAGACTTCTCCTGAGTCGATCTCAATCTTCCAATTCATTTTGGAAATCTACAAATCATGTGAAGGAAACTGGCCAGAGCTTGCCTCCGGTGTAGGAATTGAAATTGAGGAATTGCGGCGATTCCTTGACTATGCTGCAGTATTTCTCGGTAATATCGGCAACTACTTTGTAAGTTATTCCACCTTCACCTTTTCGCTAGTCTAAAAATGTGCATCCTAGGGCCAAGGGGATCAGAAATTCGTTCCTGATGTGTCGGAAAGTGCTCTCCAGAAGCTGTCTCAATGTTCTGCGGTTGCCGGTAGCCTGTACGAGAAGATCGAACGGCCTCTGAGGGCAAGCCTACCGCTAACCCTCGGATTCCCAAGCGATGTTGCTCAAAGTTCATATTATCCAGGAGATCTTCGCATTTCTCGAGAAGAAATTTCCGAAGTGTCAAACATACTCACAAAATTAGGGATTGATCCGGAGAATACGCGCCTTCGCAAATCGATTGTGGGCCAGAATTCTTACTTCGATGTTCTGCAAAGCTCCGTTGAAGAAGACAGCCACCCGCAAGTGGTATACGAAAATTCTGACTTACTCATCCGTCTTGTCCGAGGCGGTCATAAGTCGGAGCTATCTCTTGTTTGCCGCTACCTAGAACATGCAAAAGAGAGCGCAGCGAACCCGCTTCAAGAATCTTTCATTGCTGAATACCAGCACAGTTTCACTACTGGGCACATGGAGAGCTACAAGAACTCCCAACGCAAATGGGTCAAGGATATCATGCCATCTGTTGAGGTATTCTTCGGCTTTATCGAGCCGTATCGTGACCCTTTTGGCGTCAGGGCGGAATTCGAAGGGCTTGTTGGAATCGTCAACCAACAAGAGACAGGAAATCTTACTGCTCTAGTCAAGAAGTCTTCGGTGTTTATACGACGGCTCCCATGGGCCGAAAATCATATTGAAAATGACGGAAAAGGACCTTTTGAGAAGGAACTGTTTGAGAGTCCTGATTTCACTAGCTTGCACAGTAAGCGTTTGTCGTTTCTTGCTGGAATTTCAAGAGCTGACGGAAGCACAGCATTAGCTTACTGCTCAAGCATCATCTTTCCTGGCAAAAATCTCCCTAATGTGAGACCTCATACCCCACTATTTCTGGTTAGCTGAGACATATGACAGTACAATGATATCCGGCAAGACGATGGCTTCAAAAATGTAATGACCACCAATACCATGACAGCGACAAATTCGAAATCTGAAGCTATGGCTAGCTGCCTGGATCCCTCTGAAGTAGCAACATTTCTCAAGCATAGAGAGCCCGCGTTCTATCTATGGGTTGTCTTTCACGAGCTTCTTGGTCATGGGACTGGTAAGCTTCTAGTTGAGAACCAATCCAGCGGGTTCAACTTCGACCCAAAGAATGCTCCCATCAACCCACTAACTGGATATCCTATCGATTCTTGGTATAAACATGGGCAAACTTGGACTGGCCTCTTTGGTGACATTGCCACTACAGTCGATGAATGCCGCGCAGAGTGTGTCGGAGCTTATTTCTTGAGTGACATGGAGCTTCTAGCCATGTTTGGGTACACCGACGACACTGAAATTACGGGTAGAGATTGTAAGTCACCTTGTTTCAAGGAGGTCCTCTCACTGACCTCTTATAGTGGAATACAGCATGTACATGCAGCTTGGCGTTGCGGGACTTCGGGCGCTTGAGAATTACAACCTCGAGGATCATGTATGTCTACCTCGACACGCCAACACGCTTCAGCTAACATCCGCAGAAATGGGGGCAAGCACACAGTAGGGTACTTTCCCCTTTTCTAAACATTAGCAAGATCAAGTACTCATGTATTAAAGGCACATTTTGCAATGTTCAAGTGTCTCCTGGCGGCTGGCGGCGACTTCCTTACAGTCACACACGATAAAATTTCAGAAAAACTAACCGTGTCCATTGATCAAACCAAGATCTCTACCCACGGTAAGCCTGCAATTGCAAGCCTCATGCTCAAATTGCATATTTGGAGATGTACTGCAGATGTAAAAAGGTGTAGGGAGTACTATGTACACCTCACAGAACCAACTGGTGTCTACCTGGAGTGGAGACAGATAATGCTAGCGAAGCAGACAGCGAAGCAAGTCTTTGTGCAACCGAACACATTCATCAGTGGCGGAGAGGTCTTCTTGAAAGTGTATGAGCCTACAGTGGAAGGGATGATACAGAGTTGGGCTGAGCGAATGAGGATGATAAGAGAGGAGACGGAGGAATAGCTAATGCATCTGGTTATTGGAGGCTCTGTAGGTACAATACATTGGCACTTGCTTTCTCTTCTCATGCACGGCTATCGCTGAGGCCCGACAAGCCAGGCTTGGCAATGATACCTAATTTCGGGTATTGATCCGTATTAATACCAGAATCGTAAGGTATCAATAAGGTTACTATCAATACCAGAATCGATTCTAAGCGAGAATCGAGGACCCCCTGTCTAACCCCTTTAACTACGATTTTTATTATACTTATTACCTTTAATTAAAAAAGCAAATATAGCGTTATAATTAGGAACATCGCTTTAATAGTTTTAGATATCTTTATAAATTTTTTTTAAGGACTTTAAAAAAGTCGACTTTTTTGGTGTTCCTTACCCCTCGCTAGCTGTCCGACCCCTCTTGCGATGTAAAGTACCTTTATATATACAGTACCCCCCCCCCTGTTCATATGTTAGTTTGCCACTGGCGCCTTGGCAGCCGCTTTATCGTTGCTATGTGATTTCCTTCCGGTTGCCTAGGACTAGAGGATATAAATAATAAGCTAAAAGCGGTAAGATTATCAAAACAATGGCGGTTGGGCCAGCTTTATTGACATCACTGCTTGCTTCCCCGCTCTACTATTGCTATGTGGCTTCTTAAATGATGTAATAGAAGTAAAAGAGAGTATAATCGATAGTAATAACTGCGTCAATAATGTGATATTCCCTCTTAATGGGTGAGCGATCTCTGAATCCCCTCAGTTATGACGGAGAAGTGTGTACGGAGTAAAAATCAGGTGATTTTTGATACCTATAGAATCGTCTATATAAATGGTACGTCCACAGCTCATTTTCCTACTAATTATCCATTCTATTTACCTTCAAAAATGGACTTGCAGGACATTCTCGATAATACAGTTCCTGAAACTGTCTTCCATGCGATTGAGGAAGACGTAGAACTAGTGGATTTATCCGCTAGTTCTCCTACCTCTCCCTCTCTAACCCCTCCACCCACTCCAACCCCTCCACCCTTAACCCCTCCTGCTCAGATCTTTGATATAGAGCGCGAAATCGACTTGAATCTTGCCGTACGCCCTCATAGCGGATACTGGTCGGTGCTTACTCCATTGTACGGTCTTCCGATTATCGAAGAAGACGAGGATATTGAATCCAATGGTGGTGAAGGTCCTTCCTCTCAAGAGCCTCCTTCTCAAACGCTTACACTCCCCTTTGGGGAGATTTCCTCAGACTCTGAAGACGAAATCGAGGAGATTCCACGTCCTTTTACTCCACACGAACCTCCAGAAGAGACAGTGCTTGCCGCACGCCTTCGCCAGGTAGCACAAGACCTTGAATCGCTCGATAATCCTCTTCCCTATACTCGTGCTCCTGGTCCTCGACTCCAGGGCATTCAACGACGAAATGAGGAGTGGGCAAGGGCTAATCCTCTCGATCGCGATGACCGAATTAGGGTCGATTTGATGTACAAGCTGGGGTTTACAGACAGCGAGATTGTAAAGGAGTTTAAGGAGAAGAAGTGGACGATTCGTCAAGTTCAACATGCACGAGCACAACCACATACCCCTCGTTCTCGATGTAATTTCCGAGGCCCTGTCCTTTGCACAGAGTATCGCAAGAAGCTTGTCCGTTGGATACAGGAATCGCCATCGTACCGGCTTGTCAAATGGGAGGATATACCTGGACGTTTGGACTTGGGGATACCATATGGTATAAAGGCTATTAAAGCTGCGATGGATACAGAGGGGTATGGGAGGAGAGTCTTACGAATTCGTCCTCCTATTTCTGATAAGGTTCGCCGCGATCGACTCGCATTTGCTTGGGTACATATCACATGGACTTGGATTAATTGGTTTCGCTATCTTTGGAGTGATGAGACCTGGGTAACTGGAGGATCATACGGAAGGGTATGGGTTACTCGTCTTATTGGTCAGAACGAGGAGTGGCATCGCGATACGATTACATAAAGGCATAGGAAGAAGCCTGGGTGGATGGCTTGGGGGTGCTTTGCTGGGACACTGAAAGGGCCACTCGTGATATGGGAGAAGGAATGGGGCATAATTAATGCTGTACGTACTTCTGATTTTGACTTGAGGCTATACTAATTAACCTAGTCATCCTATAGGGCTCATATACTCCCAGTTATTGGGCAGTGGATGGAGCAGAACTCTCACCTGGAGTGGACGTTCATGCAAGACAACGCTCCTGCCCATAATGCTCGTCAAACGAAGGCAGCATTCGCTAATATAGGTATAATTCCACTAGCCTGGCCTGCCCTCTCACCAGATCTCAATCCTATTGAGCATGTGTAGAAGTGGATGAAGGACTGGTTGGAAAAGGAGCGTCCTTTGGCTACTAAGCAGGAGCTAAAAACAGCTGTGAGGGAGGCTTGGGAGGCAGTACCGGAGGAATTCCTCCTGAAATTGATCAAAAGTATGCCCGATCGAATACAGAGGGTAATTGATGCTCAGGGAGGGAATACACGGTATTAGGTGGTTGATTGACTAGCTAGAAACACTCTTTTAGCTCTCCTTTTTTGTACTGTTTTCATGCTTCACTCTCGCTTGGGTTGCGATATATATATATACACTTATTTGGGCTTCAATTATATCACTGGTTTTTATGTGCTCTATATAGCTTCAATTTTGAATGGTCTGGCTGCAAATTGTCATTTGATTTTAGTGGGGCACCCCTATGTTCTGGATGTACTAAAGCAGCCAGATAAATCACCCTTATTTAGCTAGTAAGATCGGCACCACCAGTGGCAAACTAACATATGAACAGGGGGGGTACTGTAAGGTACTTAGCAGATTTCTCGCTTGGAATCAATACCGGATCAATACGGGTCGATCCTACCAATACTAAGTGTACTAGGGGGTATTGGTACCAGTATTGATACCTCAAGTATCATTGCCAAGCCTGCGACAAGCACTGTAAGAAGCCTTGTAGGGATGGAAACTACAGGGTAGTAAGCCCTATAAGTCTGGCCGGTGTGGCCGATACCGCTGAAGCGTTCAGCTGTATCCGTTGCGCTGCGGCAGCGCACGACAAGAAGCAACGCAATATTGAAGTAGAAGACGAGAAAACGCAAAGACAAGCGAACACACCTCCGATCAACTTCGCACCAGCAACGAAAAGCACCTGACTCCCCCCTCAACATAAACCATAATATTGCTACAGCGGAGATTCTCTCCTAATATACACTCCACTCCACTCCATAATCAATATCTACAACCCAAGTGCCTCCCTAACACCTACCATCGTCGCCTCCGCATTCTCCTCCGCCACCCTTGCTCCCCTTCTCTCAACATCCTCAAGGTACTCCTCCCCTTCCTTAACTACATCCTCATACGCTCCTCTAAACGTCTCCAAGCCCCCACCAATCGCCTCGCCAACCAGTTTCTTGAACGCACCTAGTCCCATGCCCGTCCCATACACCTGCCCTAACGTCTCGGGACTCCTGCCCTCCTCATCAAACGCTGATAGTAAAGTAAGAATATTTGAGACACCAGGGCGGTTAACGGGGTCATAAGATACGGAGTTGATGGAGTCTGTCACTGCAGTGGTGAGTTTCTTCTGGATGAGTTCTGGGGGGTCGGTGATTAGGATGCGAGACGCGGGCGATGGGTCGGATTTGGACATTTTTTTGAGGGGGTTAGTGAGGGACATTATGCGTTTGGCCGGGGCTGCGTAGCATCAGTTGAGCTTTCTTGTTAGGGATGGGGAAGAGAGGGAGAAACGAGAGGGGAAAAGGGGAGGAGGGGGAAGTACAGAGTAAAGTCTGAGGATACACAAGCTGCGGTCCATAAGCATGGTTGAAGTTCGTTACGCATTCGCGTGCGAATTCAAGGTGTTGGGATTGGTCTTCGCCGACTGGGACGTGTGTTGCTCTGTGCTCGCCGTGTCAGCTTCACGTCGCTCAGACTCATTCTGCTCCCATCTTTCTCCTCTGATACTGAAAAGAGGAACACATACCTATGAACCAAAATATCCGCTGCCTGTAAAACCGGATACGAGAAAAGCCCCAATTTCAACTTCCCTTTCCTCTCATCAAGCGGACTCGCGTCGTCTTTCAAGTCGAGTTTACTCTGTTCCCATCAGCCCATTTCCTCTCCTTTCTCTCTTCCCTTCCCCCCCTTCTTTTCTTCCTCCACTCCCCTTTCCATTTCTCATGATCCTAACCAAACAAAACAAAATGCGGAAAACTCACCTTCCACTGCGTCATCCGCCCAAGATACCCCATACTAGCCGTACAACTCAGAATCCACATGAGCTCCGCATGCTGCTTCACGTGACTCTGCACAAAAACCGTACTTCTCCCCCTTTTCCCACCTCCTCCCACTCCTCCACCTTCGCCCAGACCCAAAGCCAGCAAAACTCTCAACATCTCCCTCCTCCATCCCCTCAATTTTTCAGGTGATTGAGCGATAGTGATAGCGTGCAGATCCACAATGCTGAAGAAGAGTTTTGTGGAGGGAAGGGCGGAGGAGGAGAGGTGTACCCAAGGCAAAAGAGCGCCGAGGTAGTTTCCTAGATGCGGGGTTCCGGTTGGTTGGATGCCGCTGAAGATTATTTGGCTTTGTGTTTGGGTTGACGAGGGAGGCGGGGAAGGGGGAGAGGATGAGTCCTGGGAGTAGCACGAGCTTGTGGTTGAGAGTGAACGTGCATTGTGGGGCTGAATTGATGACGCCTGAGTTGATGTCATAAGTATCGGTGAGACATGATGGAGGAATTTCCGTCGAGCTGGTGGGAGGCGTGAAAACATTGTGTTTGTGAGTGTTGTGAGAGAAGGGAGGGAAGGCGAGGTGCACGATTTTCACGGTTTGGACGCGAGGACACGTGATATCAAACTACTTCCACTGCACTTTCTTATATTAATTGAAGGCGGAGAAACAGTGGTAGTAAGCATAATTACAGCTTGTGATTCCTCTCTATTTCGCATCTAGAGCTGCTCTCCATGGTACACATCTACTTTACAATGCAGTACACCCAAACTCCTTCTCATGACGATCCTCTTTTCGACTTTCCTTGAATTTACACTCCCCGATGCCAGCATGATACAGCTCAATTCTTGGGCAACTTGTAAGTAGGCGTCCGAATCATCGGTGCATTCCCACCACTCGCCGCCTTGAAATCCCCTCTATTAATAAGCTCCAGCACTTTATCCTCAACCGCGCTGCCTTTCTTGAACGCAAACTGGCGTAATGTAGGTTCGACCTCGCTCCTCATCTGCTCCATTTCTGCATCCATGGTTCTACCAACACCTACTCAAACATCAGCGCCATCCAACAAATGCAACCCTCAAGACTTCGGAGAATGGGATGTAGCTTACCAACTTTCTCAAACTCCCACACATTAGCCTTCATCCCAATCCCATAATACGCATACTTCTTCACAAACGCCAACCACACCTCCACCGTCTCCGGCTCCCCATCCTTGATCTGAATCAGCCGTCTCAGCGTCTTCCGCTCAAAGTTCTCCTGGCTCTTCTTATGGATGAAACTGCCCTTCGGCACCGTCCACCGCTCTACTATCCTCGGCAACGGAATCGGTCCAAAAGCCGGCAATCCCAAATAATAGGCTGCGCGCAGACAGAAATCGGCGAAGAATTCGAGGTTGCGGACGCTGTAGGAGCGGAGTTGTAAATCGCAGACGGGGAGCCCATGAGTCGCTGGACGTCGCAGAGGGCGGAGGTACGCGGCTTGCACTGCGCGCGGGGGGCGGACTGTGTCGGGATTTACTGTCTCCCTGCGAGGCTGTTCTGGGGATTCTGTTGGTGAGGATTCAGATGGTGGTGTGGTTGTAATTGTGCTGGCGTTGTGTGATTCCGCATCTACACCCGCACCCCCAGCTGTCCCCTCTATCTCAGTCGCTGCCGCCCTCTCTAGGCTCGCAGAAGCAAACTCGTTCCCTATCGGCGTATTCGAAGCTGAATCAGAAGCCCATCGCCTTGTAAATGGTTGCGGAATTGAAGCTGCGGGTGGGGTTTTGATGGACTGCGTTGTTGGTCTTGTCTGAACTTTCAATTAGCCCTCCCTCTGACTCCTCGCTGTGAAATGATACCATACCGTGACCGATCGTACGATTGCCCGCCAGGGTAACCGCATTGACGTTGCTGTTGCCATATTTGACGTATTGAAGTGCAGTTGCTCCTGTCTCTCTTGCTTTCTCTAGCTCAAGAAATTTCTCGGTTGTCATCCATCCATCGACCCTGCATGGCCGCCTCACAAGGCTGCACGATTTCCCCACACACACAACATTACACAGCGAATTTACAGGGAATGAAATGTGGAGATGGCAACCACGATTGAGAGTATCAGAGAAGCAGTTGCTGGCTTGAAGAATCTGCTCCCTGCAGATTTCAAGCCTGAGATTGGCATTATTGGCGGTTCGGGACTGTCTGCTTTGGAAGATGCGGTGGAGCAGCCTAAGTGGGAGGTTCCGTATGGGAAGATAAAGGGGTTTCCGGTTAGTACTGGTAAGTGTTACATCGCAATGGGGATGTTTAGGTTTCTGATTGTGATAGTACCTGGTCATGCGGGCAAGTTGGTTTTTGGTCATGTTGGGAGTGAGAAGACGATGACGGTTATGATGGCTGGTAGAGCACAGTAAGATGTCTACGAGAAAAAGGGAGTGAAGAGATGCTGATGAGTATAGCTATTATGAAGGACACGAGTTGCAAACTGCTACCTTTCCTATCCGGGTTTTGGCACTTTTGGGAATGAAGACATTGATAGGTCAGTCTTCGAGCATTTGAGTAGTCATCAAGCTGAAAACTCGACAGTCACCAACGCTGCTGGAGGATTGAACTCGACGTACAAAGTCGGCGATGTTGTAGTTTTGCACGATGTATGAGCCCCGCACCCCCTGCCCGATGCACACTGACCACAACAGCATATTAATTTTGCTGGCCTCTCGGGAGTAAATCCATTACGAGGCCCAAATCTCGATGATTTCGGTCCTCGATTCATTGCTCTCTCGGATGCGTATGACCTTGAGCTTCGCCGCGCTGCTCATCTAGCTTGGAAAGCGCTCTCAAAAGATCGACCAAAGCAAATGGCTATGCACGAAGGTGTATACGCATTTGTTGGAGGACCAAAGTATGTTCCATCTCACAAAACGAACAATCTGCTAACTGCATCAGCTATGAAACAAGAGCAGAGTGCCGTATGCTTTCAACGCTCGGAGCTGATCTGGTTGGTATGTCCACCGTACCTGAGATCATTGTTGCGAGGCATTCCGGTGTTCGTGTACTCGCAATGAGCTTGGTCACAAACGCCGTTGTAATGGATCCTGGTCCACGAGGAGATGCCATCCTATTGGCGGAGAGTAACGAGACAGAGTTATCCGACATGTTGAAGGAGGGTAAGGCCAATCACGAGGAAGTTTTGGAGGCAAGCCGCAATGCCGCCCAGGAGATAAAGGTGTGTTCCATGCCATGAGCTCGATCGACGCTGACCAGACTCTAGAACCTTATTGTAAAAATCGTGGAAGTGGAGGCATCGAAGAACAGATAGACGATGCCGGTCTTGGGAGGTTCTGTCAAGCATAGATACCCAACATATCATCAACTTTTGGAACCACCCTTCTTTCTCATGGCCTTCATCTTCTTGTAATGCTCTTTCTTGCCACTTGTCTTGGCCTCTTGGATCTGTTGGTACTTTGACTTGAATCGGCCAGTCTCCTTCTCTCCAGCAAGAATCTCCTCGACTAGTGTTCGCTTCCTTTCCTTGTTGGAGAGTCGGCCACTGAAGTATTCAGTTGGACCCTCGATAATTGTCCCCACTTGTGAAAATTCTGGGATTTGTGGCTTCGAGTTTTCCTTCTTGTAAAACCTCTTTGGATCTAGGACATCTCGCATCCGAAGTAATTGCAAATCCCGCTTGAGTTCTGGAGACAATTTTGTTCGAGGCAGGTTGTACCAATCAGCGCCGGCAGTAGCTTTCTTCTCCTGACCCCAAGATTAGCTGCATTTAGAAAGGACATACAAAAAGAGTAGTAATTTGGTTTCTTCTCAGCGTAACTATGAATATAATAGACATCATTTGTTGCAGGGTGGTACCCAAGACGGGACCAGATTCTGCGTCATGTTTTTTTTTGGATAAATTTTCCTCATAGAAGAATGTGCACAAATAGGAAGGGGATAGCGCGTACCTTTGCTGCTTTTGCCTTGGTTGCTACTGGGTCCTCCACCACTCGTATTCCATTTGCGAGTTTCCGTTCTTGGGCGGATGCGAAGTGAGAGGGATCGACGGAGGCGCCCTGATCGGTAGTCCTGATGTATGGCTCGATTGCCTTTTCAGATGCAAGCCGAGGAATACTGGATGCAAGTTGGTGTCAGTAAGACGATCTGCAAATTGTGGAGGATTCATGTAGCTTATGGGCGCGAATACCTGTTCTGTAGATTCAGAGAGGTCTTGGATCCCGCCCTCTTGCTCCGCAACCGCTCCTCTGCATCCTTGAGCAGTTGCCTGACCTGCTCGTCGGAGAGATCCTCGTCCGCCATGTGGGGGAATGGTGTTGGGTAGTTATTGAAAAGAAGTAATTTCTGGACGTGAAGCTTCACGAAAATTCAAGAGGCGGCGCTCGGCAAATAGAACCCAATTGTTGCGCCATCACGCATTAGGACAAGCGCGAGGTGGTTCAAAAAGTCGGTCTGTGAAGTCTGTGAAGTCGGGCTTAGCACGAAAGAGACACACGGGACGACCGACGACCGACGACTTCTAGTTTTCGCTGCTTGAGGAGATGCTGGTGGATTGCAGATCCAAGGCTTCGGGACTTGCTGCTGCCCTCAGCTGATTCGTGCAATGGCGGCCTGCAAAACGGTTTGGGCACCCACGGCCAGGCGGACCAGCCAGAGGTGGGAGGGGAAGTTGTGCGTTCATCATACAGCTACAGCTCCAGATACGATCGGACGGAGCAGGCAAAGTCTTCAGCCTTGCGAAGGCGGTGGGGGGCAGATGGGATGATGGGATAATGGGGTGGTGGGCTCAAGGTGGCTGAGAAGTGCTGGAGGGGAGGGGAGGGCAGAAGGACAACGCACAACGCACACCCACACTCACACTCTCCCTCCGCAGAACGGCTCCTCCGCTGCTCTGACCGTACGTACATGAGCATTACATCCACGATCCTAACTGCATTGCAGCTACGTGCATGGAAAGCTGCCCAATGTGAAGTCCAAACTCCCATATAAAGGCCGTGGCGCGCTGCTGGACTCCCATTGACCCTCGAGCTTTCACCGACCAGTCCACTGCCCCGTCACACCCTCTGCTGCACTGCGATCACCCCATCCGTCACGGGAATCGCGCACCCACCCATTCACGCTCCTGCGCCGAGCTCAAGTCCAGGTACGGGGGTACTGCCGTAGGGCGAAGATTCCAAATCCATCGAGTCGCAGCCGGCTGCGGTTGTGGGCGGGAGACCCATTCGCCGCACGTACTCCGTAGATTTTCCCTTCACAGCGCGCGGTGGTGCTGACCACTCGCTTCGCGTCGAAACAGAGTCCAGGCAGAACCCAGAACCCAGAACCCAGAAGCCCTCCGACCATCTCGTTCGCTCCGAGGACCACCTCCTCCAAAGAAGCCTGAGCAACCCATCCACCATCCACCAATCACGACTCGACCAACTCGGAGCTGTCAACAAGCTCGAGCTTGTCGCGCAAACAACATCTCCATCAATCGTCACATTCTCGGCCATTGCGCTGTGGAAACTGGGCCCGTTTGCGATCGCGACGTCCAGCTGCCAGCTGCCAGCTGCCAACTGCCAACTGCCAACCCTTCGCCGGACCGTCAGCTTCCGCCTCAACGGTGATTGCGCTGAGCCGCTCAACAGCAAGAGAGCGCCCGCACGCGCACCGCTCCGGCAAAGACGTGAAGAAGCGGCCATTGGATCTTCTTGACGAGGAGACTTTGCGAGATTCGGGAGCGAGCAAGTCGGCGCGAGAGAGCAGACCTCGAGGATGGAGCAGAACCCGCCCAGCTCGTCTCACGGGCAGGGACAGCAACGCGCCCAGCCGCAGTATGATACCAATCACGGAGGACACTATGGTACGTGGTCCAAATCACAGCAAACACCCTGTCCTGCGACCTTGAAGACGGTGGGAATCCATTGGCTAACCATTGTTTGCTACAGGTGCCAGCGCTGCAGTAAGTGCCTCGAAGCATTGTACTGTTTACTTACTGACGAACACAGCTTGCGGCTCAAGGCTATGCGCCCGTTGCGGAATTCTACACAGGCGCATGGGCAAATGTACGCTTTCCAGTCTCTGGATGATCAAATTGGAACGGAGCTGATGAACCCAGGTCAACCAAGGCCTCCACGGCACCTACAAAGATATCCTGACCACTTACTGGCAGCATGTAATCACCCACCTCGAATCCGAAACCCACGACTACAAACTGCACCAACTGCCGCTGGCCCGCATCAAGAAAGTCATGAAAGCGGATCCAGAAGTGAAGATGATCAGTGCCGAGGCACCGATTCTTTTTGCCAAAGGCTGCGACATCTTTATCACCGAGCTGACGATGCGCGCCTGGATCCACGCAGAAGAGAACAAGCGCCGCACCCTGCAACGCAGCGACATCGCCTCCGCCCTCGCCAAGTCCGACATGTTCGACTTCCTCATCGACATCGTGCCGCGCGAAGAAGCTGCCTCGCACGCCCGTAAAGCCACAGCAGGCTCCGCTCCTCAGGGCGTGCCCCCGGCAGGAACCCAGATCCCCGCGCAGCATGTACAGGGCCATCCGGGCCACAATGCTATGCCGCCGCCGGACTACGGCATCGGTGGTGGCCATGGGATCCCCCAGGCCGACGACTATAGGGGCGGCATGTACGCGACGCAGGTCCAGCCCGGTCCGCCGGCTGCGTATGGGGCACCGGGTCAGCAGATGTATGCTGGTGAGATGGAGAGCATTTATGGGTATCCGCCCATGCAGGCGCAGCAGGTTGGTTTTCTTAACATCCCCCTTAACCCCTGGAGGCAATTAGCTAAATTAAAATAGCAGATGTACCACGTCCCGCAACAACGCCCGCAAGACCCATCAGTCGGCCAGGACGCAGGGCACAATTATCCGCGCCATGACGGCGGAGAAGGAGACGCTGATGCAGAAGGCGAGCGGGACTACGAGGTTGGTTAAGAGCACCGAGGCTCGAGAGATGTCCAGCTCTGCTGAGTTGGGAGGTGCAGCAAGTTGGTGAGCGGGAGCAGCGAAATAGGATGTTTAGCAAGGTGGAGGTGGAGGTGGAGCGGATGGGGTGAGGACTTCCAGCATGATAGGAGGGGTTTTTGGAACAGACAGAGGGATCAGGGACGGAGTTATGAGTGGCTATTTCGCTTCAGCGCTTGCTTTGAGACAGTTTTGTAATTGAATGGACCATCAGAATCGGGCATCACCGGGAGGGTCAGAATCAGAATACAAAAGCAGATTTGCATGCCATTTGTTTGGGTTCTGTTCTACATCTACATGGAATGCGATGAAAACTCGCACCGCGAAATTCGTGAATGTGTTGGGTACAGTTTTGTGAATGGGTGCGCGGGTGGGGAGGGACCATTTTCGCTTCGGTCAACATGCAAGGCAATGCAATGCAGGCTTGAGCTTGCGAAATGCGAAATGTGTAATGTACAGTTGTGTGGGAGAATGCGAGGGAGAGATCACTTCATCCCGAATCTGGAGGAGAAGTTTGCGAGGCGGTCGTTGCGGGGGCTTTGGACGGAGTAGGTCAATCTATCGTCACATTAGCATTTCATCTCTCCAGCCCACACCACCATTCTCAACGCAACCCGAGAAAGAAGGGCAAAGGAACGGACACAAAATAACGAACATACTTCTCCAAGATCATCGGCCCACTCATAGCATCAACCCGTCCGAACTTCCGATTGCGCACGCCAATATCATAAAACTCATCCGGGTTCTCCGTCTGCATGAGCAGCACCGTCTGCTGCAGCTCATCGAGATTCTGCTTCAGAATCGGTGCGTTATCTAATGTGTCAATAAAGTCGGAGAGGTACTGGACATCTTTCGCCAACGCAGCAACGCCGTTGGGATTGATTTTTTTGACATTGGGGTTCAGGGGGAGAGCGAGGATGAGGTTCGCGGTGTGGGAGAGGGCGTCGAAGTAGATCAGTTCTTTGATCTCGCGCGGGAGGCCGAGCAGCGTAGATGTCATGATATTGGAGAGGTATTGGGTGAGCGTAGACATATAGCTGCTGGGCTCGGCTTCGAGGGTAGGGGCCATCCTGTTCGCAAACTTGGATTTAGCCAGAACTTTAGCACTTCATAGGGAAAGAAATAGATCCTGTACCAATCGTATTCGGCGGTCTCAACCAGATCGTCGATCTTGGAGTTGACGAGCTCGAAGATGCGCTTTTCGGCGGTCTTCTTGTTGCTACGGAATTCTTCGGTGGCGTTGAGGACGATGGGGCCGCCTGCGGAGGTGGAGGAGCGGGCTTGTATGAGGAGGAGTTCGAGTTCGCGGCAGGCCGTTTCGAAGTATTCGAGGTTGATGAGGATTTGGACGATTTGGCCTAGGTATTGAGAGTTAAGTCGCTCCACGAGGAGCTTGCAGACTTTTTGGCTGAGGAGGTGATCAAGGGCCTTTCAGCGTCAACATGGTCCGGAAATGGGAAGAAGCGTCTTATACCTTCTTGAGAGTCTCATCAATGACATTTGGATGCTGGAAGTGGTTATCTGCGAAGAAGTAGAATTGGTTGAGGAAGTTTCTGATGTCTATGCAGGAGAGAGGATACATCTGCGAGAAAGGGAGAACACATGGAATGCTGCGATTATTAGCACTTGAAACTGAATCCATGCCAAAGCACTCACGTAGGCTCCTTTTCTGGAGTGAACCAGGTGACGTTGACAACTTTTTCGTATTCCTCGAGAGTAGCGATTGGCATTGGCATGTAATCATCCGTAGACACAATCTGAGCAATTTTGTCAGCATGCTGTTGGGAAACTTAGCATTGGACGACAAACCTCATGGAAGTCTTCACTGAACCGTCTTTGCAACAGTTCTGCGTACTTCTCAAACAGAGTCAGCAAGAAAGTATCCAGCGCTGTCACCGAGTATCCCCAACCCTGTTGAAAGTCAGTATCAAGATAGGTCAGAAGGGTAAGAATACTTGCATCCATAGTCTGGATGAATAGAGCAATAACTCCTTTGATCTTGAGGACCACTTCCGCGTTGTCAACTTCGTCCAAGGCTTTCGTGATCAATTTCATGGCCGTTTGAATCATGGAATCCCACAGCTCATCAACCTGCAAAGATCAGTAATGAATGCACACAAATGGAATAAACCTACATCAACAGGTGACCGGAGGTTAGGTGATCTCCTCATTGTCGCCTTCTCTATGATCGCAAAGCCTGCAATGGCCTCCAGCAAGCTACTCAGACCATTTTCGTCATCCTCAATCAAACTAATAGCAGCTGGCAGAAGCAAGTCTTTTTGCTGCCTCCTAGTTGCTGCATACTCTTGTCTGAACTTCTCGCTTTGTCCGAGTGCCTCGTGGATGTGTATAGCCTCAAACAGAGGGCCGAATTCGACTGAAACCTCGTCGTTCTCCAATACATCAAATTCCTCGCTCTCATCAAAGACCAGCTCAATCGCAGAATTAAGGCTGTAGGTCTTCAGCTGCGGATTCGCCTCCGAACGCTCCTTCTGCCTCTTCTGACGCAGGCTTGTATGGTAGAAGGCTACTTCGCCTAGGAATTGTGATGTTTCCCGAATTCGGTACAGCCAGGTATTCAAATCGTTCATGACAGCGTCTGATATTGCCTTTTGCGATGCAGGTATCGACTTCTGGATAATGTCGGCAAGCTTGTGCTGGGTGGCATACTTGTTCTGGATTGTAGGAATCAAATGCTCGTTCTGGAGATCGTCCAGCGCCTTCAAGGCAGCATAATATTTTCTCTTTCGGATCAGATCGTGCGCTTGATTGACTGCGTGCAATATCTTCAACGATTCTTTCAGCCCTTCTGATGCCTCCGCGATATTCTGCCGTATGGACTTCGTTTCCACCAGCTTCTCCTTCTGCGCCGCCAACTTCTCCGTGCTTGCTTGTATGGACTGGTTAAGCTGCAAGATCTCTGACGTGAGCGCAACGGTGCCTTCGCGGACTGTCTGGAGCTGATTCACAGATTGGAGGAACTCGTCATGCTTGGTCAAGCCAATCTGCTCGATGTCGGCTTCTTTCTCGTCGGCATAGTGGGATAGGCTCTGCATGAAGGCTGCCGTTCGGTTGGAGTTCGTGGCATCTTTGAGGGCGGGTATCAGTTGATCGAGGTAGTCCGTATCTGAGGAGGAGGATATGATCTGGGGCTCTTGATTAGATCGAGGCAGGGCATGCGCGGGGAAAGCATACCTGTTGCACCGCGCCCCTGTAGTCATCGTATTGAGGTGGTCTTCGAGGCATGGCGGGCGTTGGGTCCTTTTGCCAAATGAAGCGGATTACGCAAAGGGCTACACCATAAGCTGCAACACCAAGCACCCAGATGTGATATGCTATATTGACTTCCGTGTCTCATATTGTGGAGGGATTGTCGGATCAATGACGGCCCGAAGGTAGTTCAATGGCTGCGCCATCTCCCAGTCAGCCTCACCTCCCCATTTGTCCTCATTCCCTAGCGGCCTCGGTTCGCAAAATCCCCGAAAGGTAATCTGAACCTCCATCCTCTCCTCCTTTCTTCACCTCGTGGGGTATGCAGGTGTCTGCTCGAGCCAGCTGTCTGTTTGTGGTTGATTTTGGACTTGCGAGGGATGCAATTTGACTGGTCTCAGAGGTCGTTCGGTTCATGGAGTTTTTGCTGCAGTCCTGAAGCCATTAGAAAGCATTCCTCTTTGATCATGACTTGGCTGACACTTACTAGGACCTCTGGCTCTGTGTGCCAGCAATTCGGGGTTGCAGTGGTGTTCTTTGTTGGTGACGAGGATAAGTCGGCAGAAAGGCCCAAGGAGTTTTCTTACCAGCACACTTGTTCGCTTGCATACATTGTCCGCTGATAATCTGCTCCTCGTCCACTGCTGCACATATCTCCTGCAGACCCAATTACTTGGACAGCTGTATATATCTCTCAGCTGTAGCTATAGAGCAGACTCCCCTGGCCTCTCGATCCCCCTTTCTTTCGTAGATGCTGCAAAGAATTGGGCCTAAGAAGATCCTTGGTGGCAGTTCCCCAGCCAGCAATCAAGACTGGCAATCCTATATTCTCCTAAACACCTCTCGACCAAGCTTTGTCTTGGGCTGCTGGTGATATGCAGAAGTTATAGGGTAGTTCTCTGATTTTTCTGTACCTCCAATGCCACCAGTCAGAAATGCAGCAGAAGCAGCAATCTTCCAAATTGATTTCTTGGAATGGGATCTGCAATAATCTCTGCAGGACTTCTAGCAAGTACTGTGGCATTGGAGATATGCTAGACTGCCCTGTCCTGCGATGCTGTATGTCTGGTCATCAATTGATCATCTCCTCTCGGGCAACCTGTCTTCTGGGAGGCAGAAGGCATTCAGAACATTGCATCTCCAATGCCGCGCCGGAAAGTGGGTTTTATACCATAGATACAGACTGCCTGCCCTTTCCAATGGGCATGGAGGCGCTTCCTAAAATCACACATCCGGGGAAGATACCAACTCTTAGAAGCAGCAAAACAGAGGCTTGGGAAGATCCGCCTTTCTAGAGGTGGTAATTCTATCCTCTGAAGGCATATATCACAGTCCTACAATCATCTCATACTTCGAGAACCTCGAGTTCCATCGTGCTCCATCTTGATAAGGGGTCAAGTGGCGGGTTCCTGAACTGAGCCTATACCCTGTCTCAAACCTCTACGTTCAATGCTCAAACAATGCTGCGAATAACCAGAAGATCTCTTCTCAGGGACTACCTTTGATGTCTTGTAGTATTTGCTATAGCTTGTCCTTCCTATTTCTGGGCTCCGACAGCCATGGGAAAATGGAACAAGGATTTTCTACCATATTTCCCTTTGTAAACTTCTCTCGTCTCTAAAACAATCAATTTACATAAATCTACCATATCCAAAAACACAACTGTCTTAGAACTTATAGCGATGTCCGCTTTATCAATCAGTGTGAAGGCTGCGATGCCTCGATGAAAGTTATAGACAGAGCTGGCAGATGGCCCCCAACCTTCGCCTCTGTACCCCCTCCCCCCGTGTCTCAGATGTTGAAATAGCATGCAATATCCCATCTCTACTCAGACAACTCATGTTGAAAACCTAATTTTTGTTCGCCTTACCACTTTGTGTGGAGGTCCCGATGAGTGGTCGAGGAGACTTGCAGACAAGAATGAGGAGATGCCTCCCAGTTCCCTTCTGCAGACTTACCCTTGTTTCTCGCACATTATAATTGCGTGCAAAACATCTTCTGTCTTTACTGAGACAATTTGTCATGGAATGAAATTCTTGTTCGCCTTGTCAATTAATTGAGGTTGTGATGAGAGGTCGAGGCGAATTGCAGCAGTTGCCCAAATTCACTCCGCCAAAATTCGTGCTAGCTCCTTCCACAACGCTGCAAGTGACCTTCCCTTCCCACAACAACAACTTCCTTCCCTCTTCCAACTCCAACTCCACCTCCACCCATCTGTCACAACATCAACTCCATCTCCCCTCTGCCATCAATCCCCATCTTCCCAATACGTTCCCCATACCTCAATCACGCTCTACACGCAATCTTTTGTCTTTGGAAGCACCTGCGCACATCTCTCTTGATCTTCGACATCACTTGCCACAGCATCTGATCACGTCTTGGAGTTGAGCAGAGCTGTCATAGCTGCATCAAGCACACGCCACACCCTCCCTTGGATCTCTATCCGTCGGAAGTCTACTTTCAGCGCAGGTTTACCTTGCAATTGTGAGTTACAATTGATATCTTACTTTCGTCGAATGTGCCTCTGACATTGCTGGTGACGCAGCTGCAACTCATTCTCAACATCAGCGGAAAATAAGCAACATCAGCGGAAAAGAACGACATCAGCGGAAACCAAGCTACGTCAACGGAGAAACCCTACTTCAGCATAAAGCAAACTACATTGGCGGAAAAGAAGAAGATCAGAGAAATTAACTACACATCCAAGACATTCGTCACCTAAAGAGTATGCCATCTTCTATTCCCACAATCATCAACTCCCTTCGTCACACTACACTCTCCCTCTTCCTTTCCCCTGCACAGCTGGCATAGGGCCCTTGAACATCCTGCACCGACAGCTCCTACCCCATTTCCTCAATTCCTTTTACCGCATTTCACTTTTGATTAGCTCCCTTCGTTCACTCAGGGAGCCAGTTCCAGAGCTGGACAGTCGTTCCCCCACATCCCCAACACTAAACTCGTCGTCACATTTCCTCATGTCCCTTCATCGTCTTTCACCTTCCGTCAACTCCCTCTATCCACAAGGACATTCATGCCTAAAGTGGAATGGCCCTGAGTTGTGCGCCGCCTTTCACACCTACTTCACAACTTCCTCCAAATCCCTTCACAGCTTTTGCCCTTTCTCACATTCTACATCGCCCATTTCTCGCTACGCGTAGCGAAGCCCCTTTCCCGGGTTATCATCGGGTTTCTCCTTTCTTACGTTCACCTACCCCTGCTCCCTGTCCCTTGAGTTTCATCGGATATCCCCTTACATTCTTCCTTCTCCTTTCTCGCTACGCACGGCGCACCCCCTTTCCCGGGTTTACTTTGGCTCTCCCCTTCTCACACCTCTATATTCACTTTCTCGCTACGCACAGTGTGTGCCCTTTCCTAGGCTTCTTTAGATCTGCCCTTCTCACATCCCCGATTACCCCCTCTCGCTAAGCAGTGCATCCCCATTCCTGACTCTTCATTGGGTCTCCTCCTTGTCACGTTTCTATCTTCCACTTTGTACAACACCTGACTAACTGCCCCTCGAGTTTAGCTAGATATCCTCCGACGAAGGCAACATGCAACACTACAAGGAATCGCCGTACTCTGTTTATGGCGGCGGAGAATCCACGGAGGGTACACCTGAGACCAAGTTGACTTCCTTCTCCCCTGAGGATGGTAGAGACAAGAACTTTGCTATGGCCAAGCCAACTACAAATCCAATGGACCACGTTCACGACCCCTTCGTCGGTACCTCAAACATGCCAAAGTCCGAGGGAAAGCTTTCAGCCACTGCCAGCTCTTTTGAGCCATTTGGTCTCGGTCTCAACTTCGGTTCTCTTCCTTCTACCAAATCGATGTACTCCATGGCTCCGAAGTCGGCAGCTCCATTGCCCGGGACTACTCAACACCTTGAGTCTATCATTGCTGCTGAGGAAAACAGCCCTTATCGCCGTGCACCACCTCCTGCCCCGCTGGTCACCAAATTGGGCTTCTTCTCCACAGAGTCTTTGGCCAGCAGACATGTCAAGGTTACTGGCATCTTCTTGGATGACATTCGTGATCGGGTTCAAGCATCCATCGACGTAAGTCTCCTGGTATCCTTCATATCCTCCCTCCTCTACTTGATTCACCTGTTCGATCCCTGACTGACGTTTTATAGAAGTTCAACAAGTCTGATTACCAAACCAAGAGTACCTCTCGTTTGGAACAAGTTAACAATATCGTGTATCTTTCGTTCGCTGATATTCGCGATGCTGTTGCCTTCTACAACGCCATCGCCAAACACCACGACAATATGGCGGTTGAGTTCATTCAGGGCAATGACTTGAACGAGGTGGGTTCAACCAATACCGATTTCCTTCGGCGATTTATTGCTAATGGCATTGAAGATCAAGAGTCCCTTGGCAAATGGTGTTTGCTCCGCTTATGAAGGTCAGGCCATCGTTCATGTCCAATACCCGATTGGCACCGACCAGAGAAAGTTCGAGGATGATATCCGAGCACTTCTGAGTGCAAAGGACCGCTCTATCTATGCTTGGCAAAAGCTTCTCGACGGACCGATTGGAACCTTTGCTCTGGTTGTCGAATACCATGACGTGTCTCATGCAAAGCTTGCCATTCAGGAGCTGCATGGAAAGGTCATTGGGGTATGTAATTTGTTGTATTCTTCGTCCACGAGCACAAGCTAAATGGAAAATAGGCTCCGCCGTTCGCAACCCTCATTTCCGTCTCTGAGCATCGCCCGGCTGGCTCGAAGAACACAACTCAGTCCAAGATGACCCCAGTTGCGACTCCGACTCGGCAAACCGGCGAACAGTCCGATCTCGCTGCGATGTTGGGAAAGCTCAGTATCAACAAAGGCAAGGCACCGGAGGCGCACACTTTTTCTTTCGCAACTCCAATCACACCAGCTGATCTCTCATATCTTCCGTCCACCAACACTGGCTTTGGTGTCCCAGTTGGCTTCGGTGTCGCAACCAGCACGATGTATTCTCCTAGCAGCATGGGTACCATTGGAGCTGTGGGAACCATGGGTATGGGCAGCATGTTGACTGGCATGACCCCACAATCGACATTTCCGATGGCAGGCTCAATGGCAGGTTTCAGTCCTTTTGCGCAGGCCCCTTACATCGGTCAAGGTCCTTCCCCCATCCGCTTCAGCCAACCCGAATTCGGTCGTCCCATGGGCCACCAATCATTCGCTACTGATCATGCGCACTATGGATCACCATCACCAGGTCCCTCCCGTCAACTTGGTTACTCCCCGCGTCCAATTGGTCCCGTCCGTCGTCAGAATGCAGTCAAGGTTCCCTACCATATTGCTGCCAACTACCGTAGTCGTAACCAAAACTCTGGTGGCAATCACAACTTCGTCGACATTGAAAACATCCAATATGGTATCGATGTTCGTACCACGGTAAGTGTCATTCAAGGAGATTCAGAGCACCTCATGCTGACATGGTTAGGTCATGTTGAGAAATATCCCAAACAAGGTTACCCAAGCTGAACTCAAGAAGTACGTTGATCAGTCTAGCTTTGGACACTACGACTTTATGTACCTTCGAATTGATTTCAGCAATGATTGCAAGTAAGCTGAATTTTTCTTCATTCTACTCTTGTAGCTACTGACTGGTCCAGCGTCGGCTACGCCTTCATCAACTTCGTTGACGTATGTACCCTCGCACCCCCCACCCACTTTCTGAGAATTTGACTGACTTTATGCAGCCGCTTGATATCGTTCCTGTATGTATCACACGAAGACCACCAAATCCTTTACTAACATGTGCAGTTTGTCCGATTGCGATCCGGTCAGAAGTGGGAGAGCTTCCGTAGCGACAAGCGTGCCGAGGTTTCCTATGCTAGTAAGGCTCCTCTCACTTTGTAGCCCAAGCCCGTCTAACCTTCCTTTCAGCCATTCAAGGTAGAGATTGCCTCATTCAAAAGTTCAGAAACTCGTCTGTCATGCTCGAGCCTGACACTGCTCGCCCAAAGGTAAGAACCACCTTCACAGCAGTGAATTCGGTATTCTAATGTTTCAACAGCTCTTCTACACGTTCCCAGACCCGATGGTCGGCCAGGAGGAGCGATTCCCACCGTCTGACAATCATTCGAAGCTCACTCGCTCGTGCCAAAACGCCGAGAATGTTGGTTAGTATTTTCGTTCCAATTTCCTCGTTTTGCGACTTACCAGCCGTAGGTTTGTTCGCTCCAAGTGCCGGTCAGCACCTTCGCGACGAACAGCGACGCCGCCGTTCCCAATTCGACCGCGGCACTTCCTTGGCTGAGCAGGAGGAGTATGACCTCGAGTATCATTCCTGGGGTGCTCACCGTTCATGTAAGTGAAAATTGTGTCTCTCAACGCCTGAGTATGCTAACCGCCTTGCAGACCGTTAAACGGCAGTTTCATCAATCCTTCCGGGCGCCTTTCTCTCACATTTCAGGCGACAATTACTTTGGCAACTTTTTCTTGTCGGTCACATCTACAACCTGGCTACATCTGCAGGTGGAGCAATTGGCGGTGTGGCTTTTGTGAGCTCTGGCGGGACATCCAAAGCCTTTTTTTTTGACGGAAATTTGGTCGGCTCTGGATGGATGGATATACTCTATTTCATTTGCTTTTGCTGATACCCCTCTGCACAAAATTTGCTCTCATTGGGCGATAGCATTCATGCGATGACGTTTGCGATGGATTTCCATAGAGATAAAATATCATCGGGGAAGCTTTCATAGCACACCGTCGCACTTGGCGTTCTAGGTAGTCTATCTAAGGTCTTGCAACCCAAACTTTGATTCTTGTGACAGTGACATTCTTTTGAGATGATCTTCGGCGACTGCGGCATTGTTCATATATTCCTGATCCCAACTCCACACTCGAGGCAAGTCTAAAGGACTTTATTATTTCACAACTCGAAGGACGAGCGTACAGCTAAAGCGAGCACAATGGAACCGGAATGCTTGTCAATGCACAGCAGAGGCAGGAACAATCACGTCGAATTTATTCACTTCAAATCCAAGGCTGATCCATGCATGTATTATAATAATATTCCTCGCATCTATCCTATCAAACTATCAAAGCACCTCCAATGCAACCCCAAGAATCCAATCCCAAACGCCGCGCTAAAGTCAAATCAAAGTACTGCTGAGTCCGTGAATCATACAACATACAGTATAAACAATCATCCCATTTCGGAGGAGGACGGGATTAAGGGCCCTCAGGCAAAGCAGGCAGCGGTTTCCGCGTTATCGTGCAGTTCCGGTTTGTCGTTGTGTTTGTGTCCGTTTCTGGAGAGCCAGGGGATGAAGGGGAATGAGGTTGAGGGTCGGGTGGCGGGGAGGGGAGGTGGGGTGTAGTGTCTTCTGCTATGGGTGAGATGTTTGAGGTGGTAGTGAGGCGTGGGGGATGCTGGGGGTCCGGTGGGGGCGTTGCTTCTTGTCTCGCAGAGCGGATGGAGCGGGTTGAGGATTTGCGGCGGCGTTTCTTGGGTGTGTTGTTTGGGGAGGGGCCGGATGGCGGGTCCTCAATCGGTGCTAGATCAGTAGGACGAGGGTGGTCCTTCGCATCCAAGGGCTCAGAGAGCATATCTCCGGTACCAGCCGCGTTAAGATCATCTGCGCCAGAAGGAGGTGTTAATGCGTGTTCGTCGGAACGAGAGTATGTTGATATTGGTGTCGGCGGGCTCTCATCCCTGCTTCTTGATCGCGAGGCAGCTGTATCGATATCATCGGAATGCACGCGCCGATGTCCAGTTTCTAGCCACCGTCCTGAGTCCGCGCGCGGGAAATTGGGACTTGCTGGCGGACTTGGACTACCGTCGAGTGGGCTTTCGAGCTGGTTGGGGTAGGAAGTGAGGCGGGAGTGGGAATGCCCTCTGCTGTGGAAGGTAGGGAAGTCGATGTTGCCTCCTCCTGAAACACGAGAAAAGATTACGAGGCCGAGACAGAGCAGCAGGAGGATAGATTGGACGATTGACATCCGTTTTTGGAAGACGACTTCGTCGGCTAGGATGTTGAGCCGCGAGCTGATGGCCAAGATCTCACGGCGAGATTCTTCCCGCTGGCCTTCAAGGGAGATGACGGTGCTCTGCCAGATCTCGTCGTATTGTTGTCTGAAGCCTCGAAGCTCGTCGAGAACTGTGTTGTTGAGTGTGTCGAGGAATGTGGTGGTTTTTTGGAGTTGCTTTTTCTCGACTTTCGTGAATGCTTCACGCAAGATCTTGGACTGTTCTTCGATGTATTTTAGGGAGAGGGTGGAGTTTGTTTCGAGGAGTTGGAGGCGCCGGGAGACGGCTTTGAAGAAGGATTCTTGGATTGTGGGGAGAGCGGAGGTAGAGGAAGAGGTGCTGGTCGTTTTGTTCTTAACGGAGCTGGTAATGTTGTGTGACTTGCTTGTTGTAGTTGTTGTAGAGATAGATGGTGTTGGAGTGTCTGAGACTGGATTGGTTGTATTAGATGCGCTGCCTACAGTTGGCGAAGACTCCTTCGTGGACGGCGACTCTGTTGGGAATACCTTCTCCGGCTGTGAAGCTTGGGGACTTGTCGTCGGTGCTGTTAAGTTTGCGTACAAATTTACAGGTGCAACAGACGGACTGGACACCGGCGCTGATTCTGCTGTCGACTTGACAGTCTCGGAAGGACTTGGTTGTGAATCAGGAGGAGTTTGGGTCGGAGCTTCTGATGGGAGACAAATGTCGTCGGCCGGCCCAGATTCAGGCAGATCGAAAATATAGAATCCAGGCTTTTTCCATGGGGAAGTCGTCTCCTCAACAGAGGCGCTCTCGGGTTGACTGGAATCTACAACGGTTGGCCGGGGCTCTGGAGTGGTTGATTGGGCCTTCAGCTCAGCTTGCAGTCTCTCCTCTTCTTGGACTACTTCGGCTACAGCTTCGGGCACGTATTGTTCTTCACCACCCCCAATCTCTTCAGGATCATCATCACTGCCAGCCTCGGTCTCCTTCCAGCTCTCCAGCATTCGAGTCCCATGTACTCTGACTAGAGAAAGTGGGCAATAGTATTCGTTCCCATAATGACTCAAGAACTCGATCCGGATATATCTCGCCCATATCTGAGGATTTTCAATCAAGAATGCTTGTATCTCTCTCGAGTTTCGAGCCTCGTATGTTCCCAGATCTTTCCACTTCTCCATCTTCACTGGGTATCGATCACTGACACTAACCCGGAACGTTCGAATCATGCTGGAGAAGAATTCGTAGTTGGCAAGGACGAGAGTATCGATCCAGATATCTTCCTGCAAGCTCATTAGCACAAGCATAAAATAGAGAAGCAAAGGATCATACCGAAAGCTCAATAATGATGAACTTATTCTCCGCCGAGCATTCGGAAAGCATATAGGAATCCTTATTCTCAATCAACACACTCTTCGCATTCTTCGCCCCGGGATGTGTTTTCAAAACCGTAGCCCCAGCATCAAAAGAAGCATACGAGAAGCGCTCCTTGCACGTCTTCCCCGCATCCTTACTCCGATACTGATCCCTCGTTCTTTTCTCAACCTCTTGGGATTCCCCTTCCCCTTCGGCCTGGGTGTTCTCAGTCGTATGCGCAGTCTCCTCCCCTTTTCCTCCACTTCTAAAAGCCCCAAAATCCAAATCTATCTCTCCTTCGTCCCCGAGCGAGTCAAGGTGGTTCTGTATACTCTCCGAATCCCTCTTCTTCCCATCCCCAGCTTTCTTCTTCCCAATATCGTTCCCTTGTCCCGCCTTATCCAACGTCTGCTTCTTCCACTCCTCAAACGACAAGAAAGACGCTTCATTCAACTCGCCGGTCTCGAGATCCGTAGCAACCGCTTCCCTGGTCTCCGCTGTGCTCTCTGCTTCCACAGGACTCGTACTCGACACCTCCTCTGCACTCCCCATGCTTGAGCCCACTATGCCATCTCCCGCCTGCGCCTCAGTAGCATTCTGCTCCTTAGCATGCGTCCCATTCGCAGCGCTCCACGAGCTCTTCAAACACAGCTGCGGCAGCGAGTCCGTGATATAGTTGATAGTCCTCGCCTCGCACGTTCTTATTAGCTCTGTGGCTTCTGTAGGCGTTGGTTTCGAAGGGGCGCTGGATATCGAACTCCCGCTGACGCTGACGGTCGTGATGCCCAGCAAGTATGCGGCTGCGCAATACCGAAAGAGGTGGGCCGGGACACGCATTCTGCTGGCTTCATCTTCTAGTTCTCTTTCGGTGGAGGGCGAGGAGGGCGGTATAGTTATATTTCGAAGGGGTGGTGGAACAGGTGGGGTGGATAAATTCTTGCGGAGGACGGTGGAGAGAAGGGGACAAACTGGCTTGTACCCAGACTCGCGGATTCACATCACATTGGCCAATTCGCGTGGATGATGGCGGCGTGCATGGCAGCTGCAGGCATTTCTTGTGGGCTTTGTTAATGGTTGTTGGGTGATAGGTTGGGGTTTTGTGGCGAAGGTGGCTTTTTTCCTTGCTTTGAGGCCGGATGCGATGTGGAGTCGCAGCAGATTGCAGATTCCAGGGTCTTTTACACGAGCTGGAAACAAGCCTTGTATGACATAGAGTGGAGGGGTTTTTTCTGCAAGTTATATTTCACCATTTGAGATACAGTTTTTCTCCAACAACCATAGAGAAGTTATGAAAGTGAGGTGTGAATAATAAACAGGGCTACAGTATTCTCGGCGTCTCCCCACTCGGCAAGCCGAGATCCAAACCTCCTCGGTTGGGCGAGTGACATCAGCAAATCTACCCCACAGAGGACAAAGGCTACCTACCACTCCAAATACCACGTGTAATTGAGCCTCATCGACATCAAATCTCACACCATTTCCCTTCTTCTCTTCTTCTCTCTGCTTCTTCAGACCAAAGTTCAAGACCCCCAAAAGGAAGAACAAAGCAAACAGACACCCAAAATGGCATCATTCCTCCTTCGCCCCCTCTTCCGGCCCCAAGCTCTCGGTCTCGGTCTTGGTCTGTCTATGGTTACATATCACGCACTGCACCAAAGACCAATGAGACTGGATTCAAGTTCTGTTTCTGGTAGCAGTGGTGTGTTTTCAGCGGATACTTATGGTAGGAATGCGAAGACGCCTGTGGTACAGGGTGGTCATCTGAATCCACGGGCTGTGACACAGATTAGTAGTGGGAGCATTGTTGGTATGTATTCAAATTATGTTTCAAAGGAAGAAGGTAAACTGAGGAGAGGGTGAGCTAATGAGTGAGTAGGTTTGTGTGCTGGGCTGCTAGTCAGTACGTTCTCGCGGTCTCTGGCGCTGATATTAGGATTACTGGTCGTTGGTGTACAGGTGAGTTTGATGTCTTTGGAAATGGGCTTAGGAGGGAAGGGAGAGGTGCTGATGAGAAGACAGTGGGCATCCAGCTATGGCATCCACATCATCCCTTACAACCGCCTGCAAAAATATGTCACGAGCATCGACCTGCGGTCCGCGGTGCAAGATAACGTAGCGTTCAAGATCTCGTTCGGAACGACGTTTGCATTAGCAGCCTTCATGCACTTCTAGGGAATTCAAATTAAGATATGTGGTGTGGCTCATACCGAGTTCATGCTTGCCTCCTGCCTCCGTTCCATGGTCCCAAGCTGTGCTGCTCCATCTTACCATTTTCTCAAAGGAAATGGAAGTGACCAACCCCTTGTAGGTACGTAAGTATCTTGGAATGTAATTAGAATGGTACCGTCTCCCGCTCCAACCACTTCATCTCCAGCTCGTTCTCCTTGAAGAAATCTTTCGTCTTGGCATGGACATCGGCGTGATATTCGTTCAACCAGTTCTTCTCTCTTCTCGTCAAGAGGGTCTCGTCAATTAATTTTCGGCAGTAAGGGACCATTGTTACATGCTCAAAGCCAAGGTATGGCTTATCGCCGAATTTGTGCTTCGTTTCTGCTTCTTTCACCATGACGATGTTCTCGATTCGGATGCCGAAGGTACCGTCTTCATAGTAGCCCGGCTCATTGGAAATCACGTTTCCGGGTGCCAACGGGACTTCGGAGTATTGGATTCGGGTTCCGATGCCGATTGGGCCTTCGTGGACGTTGAGGTATGAGCCTACACCGTGACCTGTGCCGTGTCGATAGTCCAAACCTTCTTCCTAGAGGCGAGTTAGTGAAATTCTCCACGTGTATGTTGAATAGACCTTACCCATAGAAATTGTCTTGCTAGAGTGTCCAAAGCGAAGCCAGTAGTTCCCTTGGGGAATATGGCAACATCCAAGGCAATATGGCCTTTCAAGACCAGGGTATAAGCCTTCCTTTCCATCTCAGTCGGTTCTCCGAAGTGGAGGGTGCGAGTAGTGTCCGTAGTCCCATCGAAGTACTGCGCTCCAGAATCACAGAGGTATATCGCCTTCGGATCAATGGTTGAGCAATTGCCTCGTTCAGGCTTGTAATGAATGACCGCAGCATTGGCTCCAGTCGACGAAATCGTATCAAACGAGAGCCCAACAAAGTGCTTGTGCTTTGATCGCATTTCTTCCAGCTTATCAGCTGCTGCAACCTCATCCAGCTCCACTTTGTGGACATTGAGTTGATCCTCGAGCCAGGAAAAGTACTCAATCAGAGCTGCTCCATCTCGGATATGGCATTGCCTCATTCCCTCAAGCTCGGTCTCATTTTTCACAGCTTTAGCATCCCCAATGGGGCTTCGCAGTTCATCGACTTTTGTCTCTCCACCCAGTGACCTCTTCAAAGCCCAGGAAGTCTTGTTTGACACAAGGAACTTTCTGATCTTCGCCTCTGGAGGGCCATCTCCATTAGTCGAAGCCAGAGACTGGCCTAGCACCTGGGTATCCTCAAAGATCTTCTCATAAGGCCGAACGGAGACCCCATTGTCAGTAAGATACGTTTTGCACTCGCTGCTGAGGTTGCTCTCGTCGACATACAAAGTTGCCGTGGTAGGTGTGACGCTGGCATAGGAAAAGAAGACCGGGTTGTATGGAATATCGTTGCCTCGCATATTGAACAGCCATGCAATCTCGTCCAGCATGGAGACCACAAATCCAGAGCTCTTCTTCTTTTCCAGATCCTTTCGAAGTTCGTCCAGCTTGGTCTTCACATCCTTTCCGGCGAACTGCTTTGCCAGAACCTTGACAGGCTCGCTGGGCCTAGGAGGACGTCCTGTGCCCCAGATCTGGTCTACGAGGTTCTCTTCGATCGCCATCAGCTCTTGTCCGCCTCGTTTCTTGATTTTCTCTGCCAGCTTTCGTGCATCTGGTGCAGAGATGACTGTAGGATCAACACCAACAATTTTTCCTCCCTCTGATTGATCTGCAGACCATTCTTGCCAAGTTGGAACATCCTGCAATCCTTGCTTGAGCAGCAGCCAATTCGAATCCAATTGTTTTGTTGCTTGATTGAAGTATCGACCGTCCGTAGCCAGCGCTGCCTTCTCATGAGTGACCACCGCGCACCCCGCAGATCCGGTAAATCCTGTTATGTATTCCCTTCTCGCGTCACATGGCGCAATATATTCGGAGGAATGGCTATCTTCTGAAGGAATGACTAGTTTTTTTGTCAGAGTCTTGGAGGAGAGAGGAATTTGCACACTTACATACTGTAGATGTCGACCTTGTGCTTCTGCATGAGCTCCCTTAGCCGGGTTAGGCGATCTGTTGTATCGACCTTCTCCATGTCTATGTCTGTCCTTCCCGTCAGTACTTCCCCACGATTTAGGTCTTCCAACGTGCCTGTTCTCGTGCTCGTAGAGCTGTATCGAAGGGAGATTCGAAGTCTCTGAGGTCGAAAGGGCGTAAACACGGAAACTGGACTCCTTATGAACGCTTTTCCAACAGCTCGAGGGTATCGCATTGGTTCGGGCCCCTCTGCGCAAGCACCTTCTGCTTCGAGATGCTAAGTGGGGGTTGCGGTGGTGGCAGAAGGTTGGCGGTAGACCTTGAGGAATTTGTTAGTCAGAGGTGGACCCAAAAAGCGGACTGCGGGTTGAAGCAAACCTCTGAGCCGTTTTTGACCCGTGGGATGCAGCGGAGAAGAGGAGGCTTCGTAGAATGTAACCCAAGCAAGCAAGGCCTTGGAAGAGAAGGCTGAAGCACCTGAGTCAGCAACAAGGGTCAAAACGGAAGGCTGCAGATTTCGGGCGACAAACTTCATACATCAACGGAACGGGCTACAATATGAAGAGTACTGAGCCGAAACGGCGTATCGTGTCATTATGATGTCGTGTGATATTGTTCACTCTTTTCTCGTCTCTAAAAGTTTTCTTTCAACCCTCGATCTGCGAATCTCAACCTCACGATCAGGCTACAACCACAAATTATGGCGAACGTTGATAGTGGGCAGTTGCCAACCTCTCTTGAGGAAGTTGAAGCTGTACGTACCACCGTTAGTGTATTATGGTCTGGGGCTGCTGTTTGATGGTCTTGGTTGATGCGAATGCGACCTTGTGGGCCACAGAGGAGAACGACGGTGATGACTCGCGGACCTCGTGGGATGATATGCTGACCTTCTGTAGCTGATTCGTCAGCTGTACTCCCCTGGGAGATCAGACCAGGTCGTCAAGACGCAAGAGACGCTGCAAAAGCTCCAGCGATCTCCAGAAGGATGGCAGCTCGCCAGCAGCCTGATGAACAACAGGGATCAGCAGATCAGATTCTTCGCAGCCTTGACTTTCATCGTCAAACTCAATACAGATGCGTGAGCCTATCGAAATCAGACTTTCGTGTTGAACTGACGCCATCCCAGCAAGTCCCTAGGAGAAGAAGATGCCCAGGCTCTGCTCCAGACTCTCATCGGTTGGCTGATTCGATGCATGGAGATTTCAGAAGGTGCCTTGGTGGTGAGAAAGTTGTGCTCGACGTTGGTTGCTTACTTCATGCAATTCTCCACCTCTTGGGAGAGATGTCTCAAGCATCTGATGTATTCCCTTTGCAATAACGAGGCTCGACCATACAGTTCCCTTGATGAGGCTCCTGAAACGGAGATATTAAGGCACAGTCTCTCAGACGCCAAAGCGGTCGCTGTATTCTGGGTTGCCACAACACTTGTCGAGGAAGTTGGAAAGACGGATTCAAATTCGATGAAGCAGCACAAATTCCATCGTCAAGTTGTGCCTAATGTTGATGATATTGTACCGCTGATTTCGAAGTACATCAATAACAACGTTACGGAAGCTGCACATGGAACAGTCAAGCAGGAGGCGATGAAGTGCTTCCAGGCATGGGTATCCTACTCACATCGCGCATTCATTGACGACGAGATTGTCCTTGAGCCACTGCGAAACTTGATTAAACCAGCACTGATGTGCTTGGTGGACGATGACCTCTACGAGACAACTGTCGAACTATTCTCGGATGTTTTGGCAAATTATTCCAAGTTTCTCCATAAAGAAGACTTCGAAACTCTCCAGTCTCTTTTCAACAGCCCATGGGCTCAGGAGCGGTACGAAAGATTGATCAACGGCGATTTTGACTTCGATTCTTTACAATTCGGAATGTTCATGATCGCATTTGGCGATGCTACAGTCCAAAATTTGACCAAGAACCTAGGAACCGATCCTCAATGTCAGCAATACCTTTCCGCCCTCTGCGGTCTTCTTGGAGCAGAAGGCCATGCAATTCATGACGACAAAATCTATGTCCCAGCACTGGAATTTTGGAATACGTTAGTGGAAACTATGGTTGATGACATCTATTCTGAAGGAGGAAAGCACCCGGCATGGTTCCCAACAGCTCAGGCACTCGTCATGCAAGCAATTGAAAGATGTTGGCGGAAGAGTCAATTCCCTCCTGCTAATGAGTTCAGTTCGTGGGATTCCGTGGATAGAATCGGCTTCAAAGATGCCCGTAGAGATTTCTCGGACCTGCTTCAGCAGTTCTTCCTCACCACTGGCATACCCCTCCTCCAGGTCTTCATCGATCTTATTCAGAAATCTGCCGCCTCAAGGAACTGGGCTGAACTCGAGGCTTCTATCTATTGTCTTGGAGGATTCTCTGATACTTCTTCCGAAGATCCGCTGCGTGATGAATACCTTGACAAGGTTTTCACGCCATCACTTCTTGATCTTTTCACAGGTCCTCACAAAGAGGTCCCGAGACCAACGATGCAGTCATTCCTCGATTTAATCATCGGCTACTCGGAATACTTCAAGCACAGGACGCAGGCTTTGCCAAAAGTCTTGACCTTTGTATTTCAAGCCACCAGCTCTCCAAACCTGGCTAAGAAAGCATCGAAAGCTATCACAAGGCTGTGCTCTGACTGTCGGAAGATTCTGCTACCTGAGTTGGGTGCATTTCTTCAACAATACCGTAATATTGCCTCAAATTACTCTCTTGACGGATCTGTCAAGGAATCGATCATGGAAGGCATTGCCTCCATTATTCAAGCATTGGAGAAAGAAGAGCAAAGAGTGGCCCCGTTGGAGCAGTTGCTCAACTTTATTGAGGCTGATGTGGAACAAAGTCTTCTTCTCCTTTCCTCCATCGTTCCTTCCCAGGAAAGAGACCAGTCGGACCCCTCCCAGATGGATGGCGGCCGAGGAGCAATGGCTTTGGAACTTGGGGTCACAGCCTTCAAATGTCTTGCAGGAATTGCAAAGGGCATCCAGATCCCAGACGATGGACCAGTGGACCTTGAGAAACGGGAATCCAGATCATCCACATTTTGGACAGAGGGCGAGGGCTCGCGCATTCAGCAACGGATATACTCCATGATGTGCCGTATGTACGACGCACTTGGTAATCGGGGCGAAATTGTCGAGGAAGTTTGTGATATTTGGCGTCAAGGATTCCGAGAGATGGAGCCAGGGCCATTTGTGATGCCGCCAAATATGGCCGCCCAGTTCTTCATGAAAGCTAACTTTCAAACACCACGGCTGGGTCGTGTCATCACCACAGCAGGTTCTTTAATTAGTAGTAATAAATGGGGCGATGGGTTAGGCGGCGTCCTGGCTGCACTGTTGGCTTGGGTTGCCTCACTACTCCATACTCTTGGAGGTAGGTTTCCGGATTCAACTCAAAGGTCCGATGTTGATTAGTTTGCAGAACCCGGTAATGATCCTGAGCTTACACAAACTGGAATTGAGTTTGTATTCCGACTTCTTCCTAAATATTCTCACGTTCTTTTGAACCATCAACCATCGTCATCTCTGGAGTTCGTCTTCATGTTCACCCTCAAAGCTCTGGCAGGCAGCGACCCCCTGCCAAAACAAGCAGCGGCTGAATTCTGGGTATGTCGTCCCATCTCTGCTTCACTTTACTGTGCTAAAACTTTCAGGCAACCTTCATCGGCCTTCCAAATCAACCAGAACCATTACAAGCTTCCGTCAACAACGCCATCCAGCACCTCGGCCCATTGCTCGCCCAAGCACTGATCTACAATATTGGTGGTCACGCCGCAAGAAGCGAACTAGATAAGCTTTGCGAGCCGGTGAAGAAATTGGTCGTTCGACAAGTCAATGCAAGAACCTGGCTGGAGGCTGCTCTCCTTGATCCAAGTTTTCCCAGCGACATAGTGTCCGATAAAGACAAACAACTTTTCTTACAGAAGATCATGAAGTGAGTAATACGTCTGCAGTACCAAATTTGTAAAGGCGAAGCTAATCTTGAACAGTCTTCGGGGAGCCAGAGGAACAAATCAAGTGGTCAGAGAATTCTGGCTCACGTGCCGCGGCACGAACTTCGCATACGTCTCTTAACAATTTATGAGTTTACTTGATACCCATTGGTGAAATAAAAAGTTTTCGAGAATTGGATGGAGAATAGATACTGGGTGCTGCGGAGATTTTGCGGGAAAGTGCTCATGTGGCCTCTGATGCTCCGTCCCGGACATCTAGTGGCTGATGGATGGACTGACAATTCAAAGTGGATCACCTCGTTTACCTGCTGCGAAGTTTGGGTTCTAGATTTACAGCTTTCCGATTAGTATCGGGTCTTGCCTCCGTTTCCATCCCCAGTGGGGTGCCTTGATGGCGTTTCTCCTGGCCCAGTCACCCAATTCGCCTTTATCATTTAAATGCTTCTTTAGCATGAAGTAAGGCTCAACGTTCTTGTAGAATATTCAGATGCTCACGGCCACCTCCCCAAATCAAAGAGCCGAGATTTGGGTCTGATTTGCTGTGATTTTGCGCGTACCATTGATCATGAGGTGTAATATTGGCGGCAGCCGATCCGATAAGCACATAATAAGGAGTAAGGTAAGATCCAGGGCTATCTTGGTTATAGACAAGTAAGCTAAACTGAGAGCATCCTCAAATGACGTCATAATGTTGAATGAGTTTTTAATACGTTTTCTTGATAATGAGATGAACTTCGCGAGACCAAAATTCTGATACCTGGTTGATTCTGCAATAAATATTCGGCTAAGATTATTAATATAATTTATAACGAATCTGGGCGGCTCTCAAATCTACTTTCGTCTTTGAATTAGAGTCGCTACTATCCTAATCTGAGTTAGAACCTGGGTCTTGATCACATTAATAAGTTAGCTGGATTATACTTAGGGGTTCTTCTTCTAGCCCCCGCCAATACAGGAAAAGGGAGCACATTGGTTTGCAGGACTCTACTTGAGAGTAATCGTGTCTGATGTATTTTATTTTAGTGTCCTGCGTAGTGGCATATATCCCTTATTCGTAATATAGGCTAGAGTATTCCTAACGAGTAATTGCAGTATTATAATCGGGAGCACTCCGGCTAGTAGTAGAACAATTCATTTGCTTTCTAACAAAAAATGCCAGGTTATATAGTTTATTATATTTAACTTTGCTCCATATTTTCCCTCGTTTTCCTCCTAAACCGAATTCCTTGCCAGCATCGTTGCCCATTTAAAGCCATAAATACTTGCCAACACCAATCTTCGTATTGCCGCATAACAAGAATGAGAATTCCTAGAATACCGAAGCCGAAGACTAGGCTTATAAATGACCCGAAATTTGCAGGAATAAATGAAATTACGTCTCTGTTCATAGAGAAAATCGCCGCAGCAAGTGCGATAGGAGAGATATAGATCTGTGAGTGTGAAAGCTGTTAGAAGTCTGGGGGTTGGGGGTTTTTCCCTTCCTACTTCCTAAGGAAGTAAAAGACTTACCATCATAATTAACGCCAGTCCTTTATTATCCTGGGCTATCTTGTGCTGCATATTTCCTACTTCATTGCCCTCAAGAATAAGTCGAAGTTCGAGCTAAATAATTCAATTACAATGTTAGTAACTGTGTACTAGTAGAGCTTTTATAACGAGTGGAATAATAAGCTAATAATGGAAACTCGCCTCTTGTGCAAACTCAGAGCAGCTTTCCGCCAAGTACTCGAGTTTGTTCCTTAGCGAGTCTAATTCAGTGAAAGTTATTTCAATATCACGAAGAGACCGTTCACCACTAAGCGGGCTAGAAAGGTTCTCGAAATATATAGCATGATTGAGACAGAAGTTCTCACAGGCACCGACGGTTTTAGATAGGCATTGAAACAATTGCGTTGTGAGTCTTTTGACTTGAACGATCCAGTCACGCGATGACTTGACCATTTCGTTGTGTTCTGCTGCTGTAGAAGAGGATCGCTCTCTGGACATGCACAAGGAATACTGATACGTCTGTTTAATGTGTTAATAGACATCAAACCAAGCAAACAGCTTGAAAATATCTTAGATACCAGAATGCTTGCCATCTTCAAATATTTCCCTTCGATGTCTATTTGGTAGACTACAGCTTCGTGTGGATTCACATTGCTCGACTCCCCGCTTTAGAAATATTAGAAAAGACGACTCACCTGCTCATAATCGCGAATGCTCTGCCTTATCTTCGCAACCACTTGCACCCATTCACGTTTAACTTGGGCAATGCGAATTCGGAAACAGGAGAGAAAATATTCTCGCGGTGTCCGAACTGTCTTCTCCGCGCCGATGACGCCAAATGTGAGAGGGTCGGCATTCATGCCGCCCTCCATTATAGCATCGTCGTGGTATGCCTCCACAGTTTCTTTTGCTTCACCGACGGCGTCGAAGTAAGTGTCAAAAAAGCCGTAGGCGACCCACCGCGACTCGTCCTCTCCAGCTACTAGACAAGACATTTGTGCCTCGTAGAGAAAGTTAGAGGGCCCCGAGCTCTTCCAATCCAGGAATGAGACATCTCGGCATTGCCTCAAGCGATTTGCGTTTGAATCAAGACGATGATCTTCCCACGCTCTTTCCGACACCCGCCATACATAGAACGGGATGTGGAATGCCAGTTGAAACATGGGCAACCCAGGCTATGTGGCTTTGTTAGCAAGCACCCTGCAGCCGGATCTGGACCAGTCTTCTTACAGGAAATGTGACGCCAATAAAATTCTCCCAAGCAAGGTGTTTGTAGAGGGTGTCGCGAAGGCCCAAGGCTTGAGACTCTGATGCGGTACCGATGAGGGCAAGGATGCCCCAACGGTCCAGGTTGGTAATAAATCTGCAGCTCTGTCAGCATTACTGACCCACAGAAGCGTATTGACACGACTGGTGATTACGCACATTTTCCGTTGTTCGGCATCTGGCTCTGGCTCTGGCTCTAGATCTAGATCTTTGGGCCGCTTTTCTTCCTCATGAGGATTTTCTAAATCCGGCTTCGGCTCCGAGTCCATGTTCGATAAAGATAAGTCATAGTTGCCGGCTGTAGCCGCGCTCGCACTCGCGCTCCCGCTCTCGCTCCCGCTCTCGCTAACCTTATTCGTACCAGTGGCCGCGGCAACAGAGAATCGCTAGGGTAAAGTTCAACATCAGCTTGGCCTTTGCCCTTTATCTTGCTGGGTTGGGGGAGTGGGAAGTGGCAGGTTCAGAGGAGGAACGCAGGGAGCAGGTTTGGAATTTGGGCCAGCTTACGGGTCTCTTCAACTGCTCATACAGCTGGCGCGCTGTAAGCGGACCTCGGTATTTCCGTACTTGTTCCTTTTCACCGGCGCAACTCCTTTCATCCAACCAAGCGATAGGGCCGCCGACGTCTCCTTTCTCTGCTTGGAGCGCTCCCAGACTTGCGCCAAAGCAATACTGCTCAACCTTGTCCGCCCGGGGGAGACAAGCGTCCGATTCATCACCATCTTTCATGAAGCCTCGAACGACATCGTCCTCCTGCAGCCCTCGGTTTTCGATACAAGTTTCGTTTTCAACACCGAACAGAATATTTGTGCGGCGCGTCGCGAATATCGGATTCCACTCAGCGTGGCTTAAGCTCAGAAAGCGGCTAGGCCCTGGTCGTCCACTAGGTGGTTTTCGTTTTTGTTGCACCATACTAGGCATGGCTTGCGGCTCACGACGCACTCGGGAATGAACAACCAGAAAAAGATGGAACGGCTGGAGGCAAAAGCATCTGGAATAGCCACCTAGAGGAGAGTGCAAATCGAGGCTGTTCGGGGATGCAAAAGGAGGGCACACAAAGGTGTAACTTTTCGCTCCAGAAACCTCCTCCATAAGTACTCGGAACGCTCATCTAAGAACGCCTTGCTAAACACACCAGTAACGGAACACCAAACCGCTTTAAACCATACCTGCAGTCAAACTCATCCGCCCACTTCTGGTCCTTCTAATCACGTCCTCCTAGCTTCCATCATTACTTGACGAATACCTTCTCGGTTCGACATTCTGCGCATCGTGGCTGTTGGCAATTGGGGCAAGCATCCGTCATTATATGTATCTTGGTCTGTCCACAGGAGCACTTCTTTTCGGTGAGCCCGCATACCGTCGAATATTAGGAGTCAGAGGGGTCGTACGCACGTCCACACGAAGATGGTCCTCTTTTTACTCTTCGAGGGCGGCTGGTATTCGCAGAATAGCTTGTCATTGAAGGCTCCTACTGGCGCTCTCTTCATTCCGAGAACTAACCATCCTCTATGTCTCGTCTAGTAAATCGGGCACGCGTGCTGTGGTAAGGCTTCCCTTTAGGCTGTTCGGCTCGACGTGGCTGGTTGGGTATGGCTGCATGCAGACAGCGGCAGGGGTTTTTTGACCCTGTGGGTGTTAGCTCGGCATCAAATCGACCAATTGGGGCATTACCTATGGTGGAAATAGTAGCTGGCTGCCTTTCAGGATGCGTGATATGTGATATATTAGGCAAAAACTGTCGGTTCGCAAAGAAACTTTGGATGGCTCCCGGCGGGAAAAAGTAATCGCAAGGTGTTCTCTTCATACGAGAGAAAAGTGGCCGATTTTTGGTCCGTGCACCACACCCTCTGTGACGGCTGGCGTAAGGGCATGATCTGCCAAGGACAGGATATCGGAAACAGGCACAAAACGAAGCTAAGCCGGAATTGCTTGGGCGGAATAATACTAAAGGTCGAGGCATCCTCCCTACTTTATTCCATAGCTTAGTATTTTCTAATATATGAGATTCTTTGAACTTTAAACCCTCGACCATTTTATTAATTCCACTATTATATAATACTAAGCTTACTCGACTCGGCCTATAGAGATAATATAATACTACTAGTAAAGAATCCGTATTTATTCTTAAAAAGCAAAAACAAAATACTGCTTTTAATATTTAATAATCTCCTTAAACTATAAAAAACCAGAGAGCTTAACTAAAAATATAATATTCTCTATAATCTAGTTAATTTTAGAGCCTAACTCTTAACTAGAGTAAATAATATTTCTTTTCTAGTAATTGGTTCTTTACTAATATAAAAGAACAAAAATACTATTTTCTATAATCTAATTAATTTCGGAACCTAATTCTTAACTAGAATAAATAATATTTTCTTTAATATTAATAAAAGTAAAAAAACTGGCCTTTTTTTCTAGTATAAAAAGAATTAATAATAGTTTACTAATTTAAAATAAGAAAAGATAATAATTAGTTTTAGTTTACTAATTTAAAACTAGATAAAATAATAATTAGTTATAATTTACTAATATTAAATAAAAAGAATTTATTTAATACTTATTTCTATAACTAATATCTTTTCTAAAGCTATTATAAATAGCCCGGAACTAAATACTATTACTATAGATATATTAAATAAAAGGCCCTAGTATAATAAAATAGAAAAGCCAGACTTTAATATTATAAACTTATATTATTAGAGAAGCTATTATAATACTATTTCAGAAAAAGATATTAAAGAATAACTAGCTAACTTGGAACTTAAAAATTCCGAAAATAAATAAGGCCTAATAGAAATTACTTATATAAAATAATCTTATTAATAAATACTATCTTATAGCTAATAAATAAGCGGAATATTATTAGAAATTTCATTTATATATTAACTAATTTACTAAAAAAGTTAATAAGCTAGAGGTAATTACTAGTTAATTTTATATAAAAAAAGACTAATATAAAAAAATATTATAAAATAAAGATTTAAATAAATAGATATTAAAAAATACTATAGGTTCTTATTAGAAGAACTATATAGGAGCTAATATTAAAGCTTTTTTCTACTTTTAGCCTATAATAATTAATTATAGCTTATTAGAATTAAGAATTCTATTCTATTTATAAATAAAAATAATTACTAGATTAATAATTAAATATTAAATATAAGAAATAAATTAATATAAAACTTCTCTAAATTTAATAATAAACTACTAAAAATTATTTATATAATATAATTAGTTACTGGAAATACCTGTAATTTTATTTATAATTAACTTAAACCTAAATTAGTTAAATAAATCTCGATTATTAAATAGATTTTTAAGATTCACTAATAAGCTTATAATAAAAATAAAGAAATAGAATACTAGAAAGTAAAAGAAATATATTAATATCTAAAATAAAGAAATAAGCTATTTCTAGTATTCTAAATAAAGTTTATTTACTTAATAATAAAACTAGAGAAATTACTAGATAATTAATATAATAATTTAATAAATAAAATGAATTTCGAGCTATTTAAAAGCTTAGATAATAAGAAGTTTAATATATTCAGAAACTTTATTAAATAATATATAAAATAAGAAAATAGGCTTTTTTTAATTAAGAATTAGTAATTCCAAAAAAAAAACTAGTAAAAACCATTTTGGACTAGAAAGCCTATCGGAATTTAAAGAGCTATAATAATTCTATATCTAGTAAATTAACTTTAATAACTAGTATTTTTATAATTTAAAGAAATAGTTTATTAAGAATTTAAAAAGAAATTAAACTAGCTAGAGAGTTTTTATTATTATAGCTATAAAAAGCCTAGATATATAAAAAATATCTATTAGTATAGCTATTTCTTTGGGAGTCACGTGCGTAGTCACGGGATACGGGATACGGAATATGGGTAATAGGATATAAGTAATGAGATATGGGATACGGAATATAGTTATATAACCTCGCGTCTTATTAGTAACTCGACTAGTAGACTAGACTCTTTTAAGCTTAGTAGATTTAGAAATTATATATTAATATTATAATACTATAATTCTTATTTCTAAAAAATAATAACTTTACTAACCTTATATAAATAGTACTTTTATACTTATATAATAATACTATATATTACTAGTAAACTAATACTAATTAGTTTATACTTATAGATTAGAGGAAGATCTAGCTAGTTAGAAAAGCATTTAGTAGCCTAAAACAAGTAGTTTACTTCTAGTTAAAGAAGGGAACTACTATTAACTCCGGAAAAGTATTTAGTAGCCTAAAAAGAAGATATTAGCTCTTACTAATTAAGAAGTAATTAGCTATTTAATTAATTAATTATTTATTTAACTTCTATTATCTTTTAAAATTAACTTCTTTTGGCCCCAAGATTACTTTCTTGGAAACTATCTTTTCTATTTATATAATACTCGTATCTATAAGATTCTTTTTCCGGAATATATATCCTATATATATCCTTAAAGCTCTTTAATTACTACTTTGATTTTACTATTAAAAATCGAGTTTTTTAAGTTTTAGATTCTTTCGGAATTATAATATTTTACTTCCTAAATTTCTTATTATAGACGAAATATTTAAGAGCGAAATATTTATTTTAATATCCTATTAGATATCTGGATATCTGATATTTAAATTAGATATCTAGATATTTTAGATATCTTTATTACTAAACCCTTTCTATAAACCTATTATAAATTACCTTACTTTCAAATATCTTTTACTATAAACTATATATATATACTAGGGAGAGACTAAACTTGGTTTAGTATAGATAATAAAAAGGAGAAGAAATTAATTAAGAAATAGGAAAATAGAATTAATACTAATAATATTATAAAAGTAGATTTTCGGAAATATCTAAATACTAAGCTATATTAGTATACCTTATATAGAACTTCTAATAAGAACCTATAGGATCTATTTAAGAATAACTTTAAGGACTTTAGTAATATAACCTTTAGTTAATATAGTTATACTAAACTATAAACTCTTTGAAAATACCTTTAGTATAATAATATCTATATTAAATAGAACTATATATATCTTATTATAATATAGTTTCTATTTAATATTATTTAGGAGAAAATAATATATATTTAATATAAAGCTAATATTATTAAAGATAGCTTAATTAGAATAAATCTTCTAAAGGAACTCATTATATTAGTTTATCTTACTTTAGAGGAAACTAGATAGAAAGAAATCAAGTATTCTCGGTTAACTAGCTAGTTAAATTAAGGTATTTATTTACTTTCTCTAAATTAAGATTATTTACTACTTTTACCTTTATTACTATTACTAGATTTACTATATCTAAAGAACTCTTAGTTAATTCCTACTATTATTACTAGGAAGTTTATTAGAGAAGTAGTAAAGATATATATTAAGATATAGAAATATAATAGAACTAATAAGAGTTTTAATTAAAAACTCGTTATTTTCTTTAATATTTACTAATATATAGAGTTTCCAGAAAAGGCATTAGTAAGAGCTTTTCCTACTATATTAAAGGAACTAGTATAAGACTATTTCTATAATAACTAGCTCTTTTAATATATATATAAAAAAGCCTATATAAATATTTATAGCTTCTTTAAAGGCCCCGGTTACTATTATTAAAATTTAGATAAATAAAATACTATTACCTTAGTAATTATAATAGTAAAAGACCCTAAAAAGACAATATTCGAGCTTATCTAATTACTAATTAATAACCTATATAAATTATAATATGGCCTTATTCCTGCCTTATAAACTACTAAATTCCTATATAATAAGATTATTACCTCTTATTAAGGCTTACTAGTATACTAATATATAATCTCGGATTCTTCTAATAATTTTGGCTAGCTTATTAATAAGCTCTAATTATTTATTACTATTTATAAGAAGAAATAATAGATTAATATCCAGATTCTTTTTACTAATTAAAAATACTATTCTTAAAACCCTTTAAATTACTATTTATTCGGAAATTATTAATACGAATCTAATTATAATTTCGGAACCCGTAATAACTATTTCAAGCCCTGTAATTATAATAATTATATTTCGAAGTCGTATTTTATATATAAGAAACCCGAATACTACTTATAGAAATATATACTAAAGAAATAAAAGACTAAGAAGGCTCGATTTAAGAATAGAAATATTTACTAATTTAGATTCCGAAATACCTATAACTTTAATAAATGCTTTAGTAGTATTTATATATAATATATTACCGAATTTAAAGAAAAAGAGAATAATAAGAATAATAAGAATAAACTAGTAAATAATACTTTTAAAGTCTTACTAGTAGAAATAAATAAAAGAGAGAAATATTACTTTAATTTCTATTTTACTTTTATTAAGAGCTTTCTATCTATTTCTATAGTCTTTACTTTTACTATTCCTATAACTAATACCCTTATAAATAACCTTATATCTCTTTCTCTTATATATTAGATAATAGGCAAAAACCATGCCTTAAAGCCTATTAAATAAATAAAAGACACCCAGATATTTATAGTTAATAGTATATTAAAATATAATACTTATTACTTTTATAGAATTATAATTAATACTAGAGCCTCTAGATTCTTAATTACTAGTTCTAACTAATTCCAAGCTTTATAGTAAACTAATAATAGTATTAAACTTAATAAAACTACTAAAGATTAAGTTAATATCTAGTTTAGTATTAAATCTATATTTTCTATTAGATCTATAATAGTAAAAATACTAATTAGATAAGTATAATTTTATATTATATCTATAAAAACTCTATTTCTATTTAGTTTAGCTAATATAAATAAGCTAGGGATCTATTTTAATAATTTTACTAATTATTTTATTACTTCTAATAAATGCTTTATATCTATAATATAATGTTTTAGATACTTTTTTTTATTTTAAAATACTATTCTATAAAGCTTTATTTCCAAATTCTTTACTTATAATTTTTGCTTTCTTATAAAAATCAAATTATAATATCTATATTACCGTTTTAGTTATTTATTTATTAGTAAGCTTCAAAATATATTAGAATA